TTTTTTTTTTTTTTTTATAGATTTTTTTAGATTATTTATTTTAATTTAAAGTTAATATTTTTTTAATTTTTTTTATAGAGATTTTTTATGTTTTTTTGATGTGTTAGGATAAGTTTTATATTTTTTTTTTTATGTAGAGAGAAATGATTTAGGATAAGGATAAAAAGATATTAGTAAGAGATTTTTTATTTTTAGTTTTTATTTGTAGGTTTATTTTATTTTATTGTTTTTATTTTTATTGTAGTATTGATTTAAAAAGAGGAAAAATAATATGAGTAGGTGAGGAAGAAGATTAGGAAATGTTATATATATAAAGTATTTTTTTTTGTATAGGATATAGTAAATAATGTTTGGTTTGAAGTAGGATTAAATTGTGGTTGAGTAAGATTATATAGTATTGATAAATATGTTTTTATATGATATAATGGTATAATGGATGAGGTTAGAAAATTATATTAGAGTAGTGTTGGTTTTAGAATGAGAGTTTTGATGAGAGTGAGTATATTTTATATGAAGAGTTATGTTTAAGATAGTTTATAAGATTGTGGATAGTTAGGTTGGGTTTTTTATGGTGAGGGGGTTGTTTGGGGAGTTTAAGAACAAGTTGGAGAGGGGAAGGAGTAAGGAGAGGGCGGGGAGAGAGAATAGGAGGGAATAAGGGGGGTGTTTTTGGGGCGGGTTTGATGGGTTTGGGGGGTTTTGGGTGTGGTGGATGGGTTGGTAGCAGTGATATTGGGACAGTTATGGGAGAGATGATTCATGGGGCAATATGAAACCGTGTTTTTTGCTACTCTGTGTGTTTGACAGGAGCGTAGACCTTTGAAGATAGTTGAGACGTGTCGAAAGATACTGGTCAGGCGTATCAGCATAATCAAGAGGCGCATCACTATACCTAACCCAGATGTGTCCTGTTATCCATGAAGGCCATGCTTGATTTCACATGCAGTATCTCGTCATCATTCTATCCGGAACGCTGTGCCGTGTACGGCAGCCACTATATATATATACCACGAGAGTGAGCAGTATCAGGGTAGTTAACAACCCTTTGACATAAGTGTGAAATTCCTGTGTTTTCAATATTTATATATATATATATATATATGAATAGAAAGCCTCCCCCCCACTCCGTCCTTCTTCTCAGGCGACCACTCAAAACCCCATACATGTTCCTTTTTGGAAACAATCCATCCAGCATCCTACTTACCGAACCCACATCACATCGCTCACTTCCCAAAAGTGATACTTTCCAAACAAAAACCTCCCAAGGTATAGAAACAAGAAAAAAATCAAGATGCTTCAAAACTTTATGTCAACACTCCCCCCCAACCACATTTCCACCCATCTTTCCAACTATTTTGCTGTAAAAAAAAAACAAATATCACACAGGTCTTGTGTCCCTCCCCTTTTCCTACTCAAATCCAACAATCCGAAACACACATAAATATCACCTCATATTCAAATCCAACATCTCATCATCCCACCCCGCTCCCTACGCCCTCGCTTGCTCCACATTATCCAAACAAACCTCAGAAACGTCTCCCCAAAGACTCCCTCAAATAATCCCCCCCGGCGGATCATACCCCATCATCCCCATCCCCCCTCCTCTCCCCCCAGACCCCAACCCCGCACTCCCCGGCTGCTGCTGCTGCTGCCCCCCATCCCCTCCCCCTCCCATCCCCCCACCATCCCCCCCAACCGCCCCCCCAGCCTGCGCATTGTTTGTCTTCCTGAGCATAAACATCGGCTTCTTCCCCTCCTTGTCCAGCTGCTTGAACAGAATCAACGGCTTCTCATCCAGTCCCAGACACCTCTCCTGGTCCCCATACACAATGTACAGCGCATACTGGTCCCAGGGCGCGTTGATCTGGTACTTCTTCAACGCCGCCGGCAGCACCTTGTAACACGGGTCATCCATGCTCACCCTAAAAGACTTGAATATTTCGACCGAGTTACTCGACCCTGGTGTTTCCGGCGCCGGGGTTTGCATCCTTCTCGGCGCGGGGACGGCCGTTGTTTTGGTTTGGTTGCCGTAGTGGTCGTTTTCGGAAAAGGTTGTTCTGGTTGACGAGGGCGGCTGCTGTGGTTGTTGCTGTTGCTGCTGGGGTGGTTGATCAGAGCGGTAGGCTCGTGAGGACAAGGTATTGCCTGCTAGACCGGTGGTTGGTGGCGAGGTGGGGGAGGGCATGTTTGGTGATGGATATCCCGGGGAGACGGAGCTGCCTACGCCGTTCATAGCTGCGAGGTGGGACGACGACATGACTGCTCTGTCTGCCGCTCCCGAGGGGTCGAGGGTCTGCTCGACTAGGGAAGGGTTGTGTGTGGTTTGAAGATGAGTTGGTGATGTTGCTTTTGGTGTCGTCCCGAGCTTAATCACCTTAGTTGAGTATTTCCTCGACAGGCTACTATTGTATTGGTTGGCTGATGACGGCGTTGGTGCAGGCGGCGATAGGGTATCTCCATATGACGGATCGTGTGGTAAAGGCTGTTGGTAATCCTTGGCCAACCTCAACGCGGGGAGCATATCCTCGCGCAGCCTCCTGAAATCGTCCGTCAGTCGACGCAAGTCCTGTTCAAACATGGAGATCCGCTCGTCTCGAACACGCAGTTGCTGGACAAGATGTTGAATGTCCTTCAACGTCGCGTTTGCTGCCTGGGCTTCGGTTTCCGCAGCTGCGTTTTCCTCGTGTTAGTCACCAAGCACATCCTCCTGGAACAGGGGGTTACCACATACTGGGCGGCATGTAATGATCGCTCTCGATAGGTACATCCTGGGCTTTTTTGACATCATACACGGATTTCAATATTGTCAGGCGGTGGCCCACGCTGTTGATTCCCATGGATTTGAGATCGTCATGCTGAAGAGCCACCAGAGCCTCGCCCACAATCTCGTTTTCTTGTCAAAGAATATTAGCGGTGACATTCCTTCGTGAGACCCAGCCGGCGCAAGCGTACCTAGAAATATATCTGCATATTGTTGAACGCCTATTGACGCAATAAAATCGGCACACTCTTCGGCAGTCCATTCCGAAATGATGGTCTCTGGGAGCCTGTCGGCGCTTGAGCGATAGCCATAGGTTGTCGGTGTGTGTTCGGTTGAAGGTGGGTCAGAATCGATAGGAGAGGTCTCGACATCGGTGGCCATGGGCGAGCTTCCATGGATATCTCTCTCGTACTCGTCGTCGGCGTCCGACTCGGCGTAGGCGGTACCTGAATCGAAATTCATGACTGAAGTAGTTCTGTGAGGCCCTCACAGCCCAAAGCTGCAACGAGGGCCGGATTGTCGGTTTTCTGGCGCCCTTAAAGGGAGAACTGGTAAAGCTACCAGGAGACGAGGTGGTGGCCAGCGTCGAGGGCAGAGGGTCCTCGGCGTGGGGGGCGACGATAAGGGGTGCGACGGTTCAGGATCTTCTCGCGGGTCCCAGAAAGCTGATATGTGTAGAGGAACGGAGACGATATACAGAATAATCACTTTCAGCAAAGCAACCGATTTCGGCGGCGATGGCGTCCAACGGCGCCAAAATTGGGAAAATCCAACTAGCTGGAAAGCCGTTCCAACAATTCAGGTACAACGGCAGCCCCTCCTTAAGCCTCAACGGGCGGTGCGGTCGGCCTCGGGAGACGGGCTCTTTGCTCTTCGGTCGGCGGATCGGGGGGTCGCGATGGTGGCAGCGACGACTTCGGAAGTGTCTTGTCGCTGTTGACGGGCGACCTGGAGGAAAAACAGGCGGTCGTGATGCGGGCGGAGGTTGATTGCGGATTCAGGTTGCTGCTGTCGTAGCCGCTCGCTTTGGCCGCTTGGAAGTGGTGGTGGCACCCGAAATGGTCTTAGCGCCAAATTTGCAAGTCGGTTGCTTGGCCCCGGCCCCTCGACCCGCTTCTTCTTAACGGGGGAGACGGGGGGTTTCCTAGTCCACCGTTGCATCTGTTTTGAACTGATCCTCGACCTTTGACCTCAACCTTGACCTCCACGACTGCTGATCACAAACACCAATTCCAGTTATTTTTTTTGGTTGTTTTCGTCTGAATATTCTGAGCACTCTGAATCTCATCTCAGCAGCGGCACTTGAACACCTTGTGCCTGGCCACCAGAGTCCAAATGGCGTATCACCATACAAGTTTGTGGCAGCAGCACATTCATAGGGCTCTCACAGCCTTGCCATAATTGCTTCTCCCCCACCAAAAATATATTGAACAGCAGCACAAGTCCGCAGTCAACTCACATTCTTCCTCCTCGTCTAACGTTGCCATCTAATATTTATCTCAGCTCATCACAAGTACGCCTGGTACACTTATTACACTCTTTCATAGGCTGCGCAAGTCACCAGGCCACCACATAATCATCACCCATCTTCAACACCCCCGTTCCCCCCCTTCCCTACCTCCCTTTTCCACAAAAAAGAAAGCTTCAGTACCCGCCCACCAAGTTTCACCAAAGCCTGCCCCCATCGTCCAGAACGTCCAACACATCCCCATCAATCCCCTGTCCATATATAACCACCCATATCCCAAACCCCGCGTTTCACCTTTTTTTTTTTTCCCTTAACTCGACCCAGCCAAACGGCCCGGTATCTCTTCCTCCCGTCCACCATGCCTGGTCACCAAAATCCTCGGATCAACAAAATGAATCCTTCTCGTTCTTCTAGAAATATACACCTTGCAAACTCAATTACTTGATTATGCATTGATCTGTCAAATCTATATGTGGACATCACCTCACACATAAACTTGACACAAAAAAAAGTTCAGATGATAGTTCACAAACAAGAAAAGGAAACACTCATGGTAGAGATGAACTCCCCTATCTCAGTGATAGGGATCATATCATCATCAAGCTTTTTGAACAGCCGTCTCAAACAAACCGCCAAGCGGTTGGCACAAATGCTACGTTCGTCATGGGCGGTTATCGTCGTATTTTAGTCCACTCAAACAAGGAACACATGCTTGCTTGTTGCTTGGGTTTCTTCAACCGATAAGTTCCCCCCCTGGGCCAGGGAGCCTGAGTAGGGGTAAGATCCACCCGAATAGTTACTCGATATATAGAAAGATTTCTGTCGTGTTTCAAAAATAATTCCATTCAAACTCTTCGCTAACAGGTTCATGATATCTCGTTGCCAAAAAAAAAAAAGAAAACAGCTATCCTCCCCAAACTCATTATACCAAACCCATATCAGAATTCCTCCCAAAACCCATTCCCAAATTCCCATCATGCTTGATCACTTCTAGTATGCCCCATCCATGTCCTACACCACCCTCATAATCCCTCCTAACCCCCCTAAAACCCAGAACTCCTCTTCCTCTGCACCCTCCTCCGTCCCCCACCCCCCTCCTCCTCCTTCTTCGGCCTATGCGGCAGCGTCTGGCTCAACTTCGCCTGCAACTCCGGACTCATCCTACTCTCAACCTGACTCCTCACATGCTCCAACTGCTGCCCCGCCCCCTTCCAAAGCACATTCAGCTTATTGCAATGAAACGGCCCCTGGCCCCCTTGCTGTTGATTCGCGCCCGACCCCGGCCCCGCACTCACCGGTCGTGGCGGCAGCGCCGGCGCCGGAGCACCTAACCACTGCGGCTGCTGCTGCTGTGGCGGCGGGGGGGCAGGGAAAAACTGTTGCTGCTGCGGGATAGAAGGCGAGTTATTCACCGATGACGCCGGCCTAGGAGGCAAAGAAGGCCGATCCGATGGGAGGTCCTGGCCCTCAACCCCGTACTTCTTGCGCAGACGCTCCGTTTCTTTGGCGATTTCCGCTTCTCGCTTGCGCTGGGCCTTTTCCTCCTCTTCGAGCATCTTTTTGATGCGCTTCTGCTCTGCGCGTTCGGCCTTCTCTTGCTCGCGTTGTTCGCGCTCGACGAGTTCTTGCAGGCGGCGGGTTTCTGCTTCAATGGAGGCTGTAGGGGTGGAGGTGAAGCCTACGGCTTGTTTGTTTGGTGGGCCGCCGGGGGGCGGGGGTGGGATGTTGTTTGCTGTTGTTGTTGGGGGAGCTGCGCCAGGTTTGGAGGAGGTAGTAGGCATTGTGTTGCTCTTGACCGGGGGAGGAGTGTTGTTCAAGGCTCCTGACATGGCGGCTGGGGGGGTTGCTGCCGGGGGTGGAACAACTGCTGCTGCTGCCACCAGATTAGGACGGGAGTTCTTCCTCTTCTGCGGGTTGGGGAGGGGCCCGGGGCTGGTGGCCGAGACGTTGAACAGCCCTGGCTTGGGGTTGAGGTAGAGATCCTTGATGACTTCTGCGCCGAGGAGGAGGACCAGCTCTAGTCCCTTGCGGTCTTCAACCTCTACTCGGTGAAGGTTTGGCTGGTAGAGCGTCATGGCGCTTTCTCTTGATCCCTTGTACATGGCGACTGTGATATCGGGCTCCTTGCTCTTCTTGCCTGCCGTGTTCTTGCCTGACATGTAACATGTCATATCCTTGCTGAGTTTGCCCTCCTTTTTCCAACGGAACATGATCCGCGGGATCAGATCAGCAGCTGCTGGAGAGGTGTTCTGCTGCTCACGGTCGAGCTCGCTCGTCGTGGGGGTCTTAAATGTCTGAACTGGAATCTCAAACTCCCAGGTATCACTCTTGTTCCAGCTGCCTGCCATCAGCTTCACTGCGATAGTCTGATCTGGATCATAGAGTTGGATAGAGAAGCTGTCTGGAATAATCGCTGTCGCTGGCGCAGGAGGAGCGCCAGACTGTGCTTGGGCGCGGATCTCGGCCGCGGAGAGGGTAGGCAGTGTCCATTCCGGTTCGACCGTCACCTCGCCGTATACAACATTGTGGTTATAAGGATCGCAAAGCCCAACGCCATACTTGTTGCGAGAAGCTGGCAGCGCGGGGTCTGGTTTTCGCAATAAATACTCGGGAGATGGCTCGGAGCCGTTCTGAGTGAAGTAAAGTATGGTTGAGAGTGGGTCGTCTGACGACGGCTTGAACCGAAAGGTTGGAAGGTTTTCGTCGAGCATCTTGAAGTTCTGGGTGCGCGAGGGGCAACGTTGAAGAACTTTGGAGACAAGCTTGGAGTTGGAAGGAAATGAGCAAGAGTTTACTTTTCTTTGCAGATGATGTACAGAAAAAGGAATGCTTGGCTACTGCTGCTGACGTCCCGTGAGTCAGGCGCAGCAGAATGGAAACGGACACGGGGCTAAGTTATTGGCAGCTGAAGCAAGCAACAAGATGCCGACCCAAGTTGACCCCGCGATGTTGGACTGGCCCGCCCAGGCAAACGTCACCGTCGGTCTTCGGCTCAGCCACCAAGCGAGCAACCACCGCGCGTGCAGTTTCGGATTGCCATTGGTTGCAGGGACTGCGTCATGTCGAGTTCTCAGGGGCAAACTCCAGTTTCTAGCTATTTTAGTTTGCAGGTATGAAAGGGTTCGATCTGAGATGCCGGCTCTCTAATTAATTATCTTGCTGACTGCGGGACGCTTCTTGAAGAGTCGTTTCTCGATTGGCTCAGCTGTTGGTTGAAACCATCACCGAGGCAGAGGCATGACAATGAAGGAGCTTGCCAACTGACAATGAGACTGGTCATGCTTCCTGAGCAATGTCTGGGGAAAGTGGCGCGGAGGGAGCCCAGAAGTTCGCTCTCACAGGGCTGATGCCAAGTGAGGTAACCCTAACCCTGAACGTCGAACAGGCAAAATGCAGCCCCACATTGTTCACCTTAGCTGGTCCGTGCCTGGGCAAGTGAATTTCTGCCCCCCACACGTGACCACACACAAATTCGAAAACCCATCGGCTCACAAATTCGCTAACGACCCTTTTTACGAAACCTCGACAGCAACCAAATTCTGGACAACACGAGCGAAGCCTCGACAACAGTTGCCCATCATGAGTTTGGTCTCGGGTGAGAAGGTACGTCTGTCTATCTCTATCGCCATCAGCTGTTGAGTTTGCCGTCTGCGAAATGCCTGTGTTGTGGTCGCCGCCGCCTCCCCGATCGAAAACTTCGAAGCAGAACTCGTCCTTGACGATATCATCGACGATCGCAATCTTCCCACCTCGAAATCGATCAAATCCAACATCGTTGCCTCAAAACCCATCAATTTCGACCTTGATGGCGGCCGGAAACACAGTCGACACATTGCACCGACTCAGCGGATCTGCCGGATAAGCCCAGAGCTTTGGGACTCTATCTAGGCCCCAGATGCCCGCGATGTGACTATTTGAGTTATTGGACGTGTTTGGCCAACATCGAGAGTTTGGCAATATCACAAAATGAGAGATGGCAGCATGGCAAACTGAGCAGACGGCGGGCATCATATTGAGTGTCGAGGGGCCGGGCTAACTCGTCTCACAGAGCAATTTCAACCACATTCTGCGTCTGCTCAACACCAACGTTGACGGCAAGCAGAAAGTCGTTTACTCCTTGACGTGAGTTCGAACCGCACCAGTCGCAAACCGCTTGGACATTGGCTAACCCCCAGTCCAGCAAGATCAAGGGTGTCGGTCGCCGCTACTCCAACTTGGTGTGCAAGAAGGCCGATGTCGACCTGAAGAAGCGCGCCGGTGAGCTCACCTCCGAAGAGCTCGAGCGTCTGGTCACCATCATCCAGAATCCCACCGCCTACAAGATCCCCGCCGTATGTCATCCCTCGGTGCCCTCCCGCCACCGAATAGCAAGCTAACAACATGAATAGTGGTTCCTCAACAGACAGCGCGACATTGTCGATGGCAAGGACTCCCAGATCCTCGCCAACGGTGTCGACTCCAAGCTCCGTGATGATCTCGAGCGCTTGAAGAAGATCCGTGCCCACCGTGGTCTCCGTCACTACTGGGGCCTCCGTGTCCGTGGCCAGCACACCAAGACGACTGGTCGCCGCGGCCGGACCGTCGGTGTCTCCAAGAAGAAGGGTGGTTAAGCATTTGCGGGAAGCGTGCGGTTTTGTTTGGCACTGCTGTGCTTGGCTTTTCGGTGGTGTTATCTCAGGCAAAGGATGGTCATGGGGCTCGGGTTGATTTTTTTTTCCTTTGCGACGTCTCTACTCTCCGTGGAGGTCGCCGGATTGCTAAAGGGAACCACCATGATACACAGCATGACAATACAGGCGCAGATATGAAAAAAGTACATGACCATTTCTAGTGACTTGTACTTTCGTATGGCGACTTGTGTGATACAAAATCAAAAGAACTTTTTATTCCTATCAACAGTAACTAGTCCAAGGCATGCTAGAAGGGGTATCAAGATATTTGTTTGGGCATCTTCAACAAGTTTTTTTCTCTTTTAGTCCTCGTGTGTGACCGCCCTATCCAGCACCTCGACGTTGCCTCTCCCCTTGGTCTCGTTCTCGATGAAGTCTGAAAGATCCTTGAAGATGCCTGGTTCAACGAAACCAACAGCTTCCCACTCGGAACCCATGACGTCCTGATTCTCGACCTGCTCGAATAAACTGAGAATCTTATCCTTGACCGTGCCTGGTGCCTTCTTCTCCCCATCCTCGTCCTCCTTTCCAGCAGCCGCTTTGGGAGCCTTGACTGACTGCTTCAGGACATTCGTCGGGCAAGTAACACGCACCCGCATGCGCGCTCTCGCGATAGGTATCGGCTGGTGCGCAACAAGAGCCTTCATCGCCTCCAACGCCTGCGACTTTGCGCTCTTGGTAGCGCTCACGCCCTTCCAAATCGGCTTCGGCGCCTGCGGTTTCGACTCCCCTACCTCCCCCGTCGCGGGCGTCCCACTGGCACTGTTCCCGTCCTCCTTCTTATCCTTGTCGTTATTACTCTGCTGGTGCGCCTGCGAACTGAGCTGATCGAGCGCCTTTTCGATGATACTCGTGGTGTACACCCTCTTCGTCCTCGGGTCAACCAGCTTGCTGGCCACCATGCCCATCACCTCATTGTGCACGCGCTCCAGCTGGGCGGAGCGTTCTTTTTCTCCGACTTGCATCTCGCCCTTTTTGAGAATCTCGAGGATGATGTCGTCGACGGAGACGTCCTTGCCAAAGGCTTTGGCGAGCTCGGCCGAGGGGGCGGTTTGGCCTTTGGAGACGTTGAGGAAGACGTTTGGGATTTGGAGGACGTTGTCGAGGTCTGTTTCGATGCCGGAGCGCCACTCGAGGACTTTGTTTTTGTAGCAGGCGATTTCGAAGCGCTTTTTGCCTTTTTTGAGACGGACGAGGGAGACGTTTGTTAACTTGATTTGGTTGGAAGGTTGTTGGATGACCATTGTGGTGGTTTGGCCTCGGTCGAGGGCTTGGGTAGTAGATGTGGTGGTTTGGTTGGTGAGAAGGGGATGCGGATGTTGCTGCGATTAGAACAAGGGTTTCATTTGTACAGTGTGACTGTGTCTTTTGTGAGGCTGGAAGAGGGTTGCTTGATAATCATCAACTTTGTGATCAAGGTGGGACAGGGAGATTTTGCTTCAAATTTGGTTTCTATCAAAATCCTACCCCGCCAATCTTGGTCACTGGCGGAGCAGATCTGGGTGAGCCAAGTTCTTGGCTGACTCTAGGCCTTGTCGATTGCTAGCGCGACACATGAGATCGGTCACGTCGTTGATGATCCCCCTTGAAGCTTGAAGGCGCGCTGTCCCTTCCTGGAATGGTTCTCAATGTCTGAACGAGAATTTCTTCGCAACGAATACCAAGCTCCGACGACAGCTCAGCAAAAGCCAGCATCTTGGGATGCGCCGGAACTGCGATAGTCACACCGGGTTGCGCACTAACAATCACTGATAGTGAGTCAAGACGGTGGGTCACTGCAGCGCGCGCTGGCACCGCTTTGCTGGGCTTGGACCGACGTAATGCCATCCCCACTTGCCTTACTCTCGACCCCTACAGCATCGGTCGCGCCTTTCGTACGGTGAGGACGGATAGACAGGTAGTTGAGATGAACTTAAGATAGGAGCTTTAATCTCATTTCGATGGGCTCAATTCATTGACAGCAGAAATCGCCTGCTGAATCTCGCGGGGCTGGGTGGCCAGCTGAGGCACAGTAAAGCAACTGGTTGCCATGGGGCTCCTGGCAATGACGAAGCTTATCGGCTCGGGGGACGATAACCGCCAAGTTGATTGGAGCTGCGCCCTTGTCTGCAGGGTTCGCACAGAAAATGCAGCCTCGCGCGCTCACTTGGGCATAGTTTACCGCATTTTCTGTAGACCGCCAAACGTTCTCGTGACCCCAACCTGCAAGGTACCAGTGGCGCAACCCAGATCTGCCTGTTTCCCCGACCTCCGGGAACAGCTCATTGCTGTTTCAGTTATTAGCTATCCTCCCCCAAGCTTATTCCTCTTCCTCTCCTCCTTCCTCCATCCATCACCATCTCTAAATTGACTCTTCATCACCATACATATCTACAATGAGGGTCGCTGCTTCGACAGTGCTCCTCGGAGTCGCCTCGGCGGCTTCGTTCCAGCAGCAAACACAGCATGTTCTCTCGAGCGGCTACGAACGGGCCCAGGCTGGCATGAAGCCGCTCGCCGAACAGTTCGTTGACGCTGCTGGCAAGCCCATCGCCAACATTGAGGAGGCCTTCCATGGCATGACCGCCGAGGTCAAGGCCCTCTGGGACGAGATCAAGCTCCTCGTGCCAGAAAGTGCCTTCAACCACTCCAACTGGTTCACCAAGCCCAAGCCCGCCCGTCGCCGTCACGACTGGGACCACGTCGTCAAGGGCGCCGATGTCCAGAAGCTCTGGGTTCAGGGCGAGAGCGGTGAAGACCACCGCCAGGTGGATGGCAAGCTTGCCGATTTCAACCTCCGTGTCAAGGCTGTTGACCCATCCAAGCTTGGCGTCGACAAGGTAAAGCAGTACAGCGGTTACTTGGATGACGAGGCCAATGACAAGCACTTGTTTTACTGTACGTTCTGTCACCCCTAATTCTGCTTAATCGCATCAAGCTAATGTCTATGATTAGGGTTCTTCGAGTCCCGCAACGATCCCAAGAACGACCCCGTGGTCCTCTGGCTCAACGGCGGTCCAGGCTGCTCTTCCCTCACTGGCTTGTTCCTCGAGCTCGGTCCTTCATCGATCGACAAGAAGCTCAAGGTTGTGAACAACGAGTTCAGCTGGAACAACAATGCCAGCGTCATCTTCCTTGACCAGCCCGTCAACGTCGGTTACTCGTACTCTGGCAACTCCGTGAGCAACACCATTGCTGCTGGCAAGGATGTCTACGCTCTCCTGTCCCTCTTCTTCCACCAGTTCCCCGAGTACGCCAAGCAAGACTTCCACATTGCTGGCGAGTCCTATGCTGGTCACTACATTCCCGTCTTTGCCTCTGAGATCCTGTCCCACAAGAACCGCAACATCAACCTCAAGTCGATCCTTATCGGGAATGGTTTGACCGACGGTCTTACTCAGTACGAGCACTACCGCCCTATGGCTTGCGGCAAGGGTGGTTACCCCGCCGTTCTTGACGAGTCTGAGTGCCGCAGCATGGACAATGCTCTTCCCCGCTGCCAGTCCCTCATCCAGAACTGCTACGACTCTGGTAGTGTCTGGAGTTGCGTTCCTGCTTCTATTTACTGCAACAATGCGCTCATTGGCCCCTACCAGCGGACCGGCCAGAACGTTTATGACATCCGTGGCAAGTGTGAGGATAGCAGCAACCTCTGCTATAGCGCTCTTGGCTGGATCAGCGACTATCTCAACCAGCAAGATGTCATGGATGCTCTTGGAGTTGAGGTCTCTGGCTACGAAAGCTGCAACTTTGACATCAACCGCAACTTCTTGTTCCAAGGCGACTGGATGCAGCCATTCCATCGCCTCGTCCCCAACATCCTCAAGGAGATCCCGGTTCTCATCTATGCCGGTGATGCCGACTACATCTGCAACTGGCTCGGTAACCAGGCCTGGACTGAGGCTCTTGAGTGGCCCGGCAAGAAGAACTTCAACAAGGCCTCTATCAAGGACTTGAAGCTTGCTGGCGCCGAGAAGGAGTACGGCAAGGTCAAGGCCTCTGGCAACTTCACCTTCATGCAGGTGTACCAGGCCGGCCACATGGTTCCCATGGACCAGCCCGAGAACTCTCTTGACTTCCTGAACCGGTGGTTGGGCGGTGAGTGGTTCGCGAAATAAGTGGGGGGTACACATACACAAGGCAGCACAAACAACAGCGCATTCCTAGCATTGTTAGCAGGCTAGATTGATTGTTTGGGGGTTGGGAGCTTTTTGTCGAGCTTTTTATCTTGGACAGTAACACACGGCGCATTTCAGGGAGTAATTCATTGGGTTTGTGTTGTACACACTGTGCTTTTTCTCTTTTCCTTGTTTCTTTTGGACCAAGCAATAGTAGTAAATGATAAATGATAGGTCGTACATTGACTACCAGCTGAATTTCTATTGCCTCGTATGGTGTTGTGTCTATTTTGATAGCTCCGTGATGTTGTCACACGCTTCCAGCCCGAAAAGCCGTTTTTGTGTACCTGAGACAATTGGAGAACGCTGTGTGACGCTGGTGGCATTTTTGATGGGAGCATGGCGATTTCCACATGTCTCGGGTTTGTGGGAAGGTTTGACGGTTCCGGCCGTTTGGGAATTTTTTTTTTTGGAAGGGTGGTGGAAAGTATAGGATGTCTTGGTTTGGAATGGAGGATCACGATGAGGGGATGAAGACGGTTGAAGTGGACATGTTCTATTATTAACTCCCCAATTCTATCCCTATGAACCGAACATGACTGTAGGAAAAAGAATAATGCAGCGGGTGTGGTTTTCCGGTTTTTTTTTTTTTTCTCTTTCTCTTTCTTTTCCCCCCTTTTTTCTTCTTTTCTTTTTCCTTTTTCGGCAGTTTTCTTGTTTTCTTTTGGGGCTCTGATGATTCCTCGGCCATGATGGGAGGTAATAACTAATGTCTGAAAGATGAAGAAATCCACTCAAACACATATGAGTGTTATTAAACAAGGAGATCCCATAAAGAACACGAACAGGAAGATCTTGAAGCATCATGTAAAAGAGAAAGACTTGGGAGTAATGTAAGAGCACAACTCCAATGTTGACCGTGATTCCAGTGCGCAAAAAAAGTAAAAAGAAAAAAAAGGGACTCTTGAAGTGAGATGTAATGATGATGGTGATGATGATGATGATGATGATGATGATGAATGCGCCACAGCCCTTTGTATATCGGTGTCGAAACTCGTCCATGTTATTGGTGTTAACTCCTGGTCCTGTTGACCGAGATGTAGACTGCTCAGTGTTAAACCTTGCCATGAAACAGAGAGGCCAGGAAGAAGCCGTTTGGGAGGCACCTTTTTCGAGGCTGGTACCGTCTCCCCTTTGTAGTCGAGGTTTCTGCTGTTATGTGTGGTTTTATATTGTTGTCGTCGTGTGTGGGTGTGTTTGTGTGGTTGTCTTGGTGGGTGGTTCCCCTCAAATGTGGTTGTAAGATATCGAAATTGCTGTTGTTGCAGTTTGTAGTCCCGAGGTCGCGTCCTTTGGGTCAAGTGTGTTGCCGAGATCCGTCGTGTTGTTCTTCTGCCTTCTGGGTCGTCTTCGTGGAATCCTCCCTCGACCATGGCACAGCCTTTCGGCTATATCTTTCTTCGCTCGTGGGAGTGTCTTGACCACATATTGTGGTCTTGACAGTCGTGAGTCAGGTTATCACTCTTCGTATGCTCGCCATCGTGTGGTGTCCTCGCCCTGAGAGTGGAACCATCGTCGTGTGCTGCGTTTCTTCCGTGAGTGTGTGAGTGTATGTCTGTGTGTCTGTGTCGTATTGACCGTGTGTCGTCGTGTGTCGTCTCTCTACCGAGTCGTCGTGGCGGTCTTCTCTGTGTGCTGCTTCCTCCTCTGATACTCTCCGGCTCTGTAACCATGAGTATGTCGAGATGGGGATTGAGCCAAGGAAACAAAATGAAAAGAAAATAACTTCTACTATCGAACGGCAGTAATACATGTGGTCTAGGGAGTGTGTATAAGGACAAATGTAACAAACAAAACAGGGGAAGCAAAACAATGTCAAGTCCAAACGAGCAGACACCAAAACACACAAACTGTCGTACGCGTAAAGACAACAAAAAAAGCCATCACGAAAACAAGAGAGCAAAACAACAAGAATGTGGCAACCAATCAGTGCTATGAATGATTAATTCATGTCTTATAGGGCCACCCCCCCCCGGATTTCCATGCCTTTAAGCCCTTCCAACCCACCCCATCCATCTACAAACCCCCCTTCCCTGACCCGCCCCCTTTTTATCAAAACACCCACTTCAAGAATCCGTAATCCCGGATGCCTTTCCGGCATCCTAATCTTTCAAAGAAAACAAAAAGGTATCTTATCCGATGACCGGACAAGAAAAGGGGAGGGTCCATCAATCATGCCCAAAAAGAAGGTTGAAAAAAGACCAAATCGAGAAAAGAAAAAAAGAAGAGCTAAAATAGAATGAAGAAAGGTTTGCGTCCCCGAGCCTTGTCCCTGAACCCTTATTATACAATACAAATGCATTTCCCCAAAGTAACATGCAGAACAAGACTCCTTGAGCTCCCCTACAGTGTTAACTAACTCGTACACATTCTTCTTCTTCTTCGTCGTCGTCGTCGGCGCGGCTGATGGAAATGGCGACTACACAATGCCGCGGACCCGAAGACTGAGTAGGTCTCGGCAAGCATTGGAAATGGGTGATGCGGTATGCGAATGTATGCTCCTGCACTTGCTTGCGTGCGAAGGAGGTTCGAGTTCTGTCGGGTAGGTGAAGTCGCAGTGGGGACTGCTCCTCAACTCATCCGACCAAATGCGTGGCGGAGCTATGGGCTCGAACTTTTAGGAGACCTCTTCCACATATCCCCGAACCTCTGGATAAAGCTGGTTTTCTTCTTTAACTGTCCGCCCGGAGCCAAGCCCAATTGTGTGTCAGATCCACCAAGATTAGTGTTTCCATTCAGGTATCCACTGTTAGGCGAGGCTTGGTGCTGGAAAGCCCCTTTCCCCTGGTTCCTGAAGGAATCCGGAGTGCTGCTTGTCACTGCACAACTGACGGGAGGGTCAACCGACGAATTGATGCTCACAATGCTCGTTCCCTGCGTGCTGGGTGATAGGGGCATCTTCCCTGTACCGGCACTGTCTGGTGCTGAGCTCAGCTCGGTCGTCTCGCTGCATCGCTGCCTGTGGGCACAGTGAGAGTGCGAATCGTCGTCCACCGCGTCAAAGCTTGTGTTGATGCCGTTGATTTCGGGGGGATTGGGCCGGCTGGCTGCGGGCTGCATGGAATTTTGTGATGAGTTTGGCCTTTGAGCATTGGGGAAATCCGTCTGAGAGGGCGAGCTCTCATGCTCATCCCCGTCTTTCAAGATGGCCTCGAACTTCAGTTTGTTCTCCTTGATTGCCTCGACGCAGAAACTCAACTCCGGAATGAGTTCCGCCACGCCCACGAACAGGGGAGCTGCGAACTTATTCATAAACAACAGTTGGTTCGAAGCAAGAGTCAGCTGGTCATTGCCAGGCAGCGAGTGAACGGACGTCGGCACGTTTCTCTCTCTCTCTTTTTGTCGTTGCTGGGCCGTTTCCCTGGACAGGGTATGCATCCATGTCACGGCTGTGTCGTACCCTCGAGCCTATATCAGCTGGTAAGACTAGTGTTTTTGTTCACATGAGTGGCGACCACTTACAACGTTGCTGATGTCGGCGCACTTGATCAAAAGCGCACAGATCAGCGTCTGCTTCGGCTCCATATCCATGTGGAAAGGCGAGTGATTTCGAGCCATGTCCTCTTGTCCTTCGCGAGCCTTGCGGATCCTGTCCAAAACACCCCTCAGTTGCACCATATAGTTGTCGTGCACACCCATATCGGTGGCCAAGATGGAGTCGATCACAAGCTTCTTCATGGTGGCGCATTTGTAGAATTTGGGCCAGTACTTGCGTAGGATATCCGTGAAGGCGGCACAATGATAGGATTCCAAAACGGACCGATCACTGTACAATCGGGCGAGCGGGTCGTTGGTCTTCACCAGGAAGCCGTTGTTGACTCCTGGATGCCCAACATCATGACCAATGGCGGTGACGAGGAGTGTGAGTGCTATGTGGGGCTCGATGCACTGCGCGAACTCAGAGTCTGAGGTAGGCCTGGGAGTGGTGCTAGAGGTAGGTGGATAAGGAGGCAATGCTCCTATGCGAACAAGAGTGTGGAAAATGTGTTGCAAAACGTCGACCACGTGGCAAAAGTTGTGATATTCCACATCACTCTTATACGCGGCACAGCAAGCGTCAATAAAGGCTTGCAGTTGTCCTGCGAAAGAGAGGTCAGCATAACAGAGCATAAACAAAACAGAAGGACAGACGACGAGCAGCAGTGCCTACCTCTCTCTAACCGCCACGGGGCCAGCTCAGGCGCTGAAAAGGCATGCTCGAATATGAGTGACGCCGCCACCTTCAGTTCTTCGCGTTCGAATTGCGGAGCGTCAAATTGAAATTGGCCGATAGCGTGCGAAAGCAGGGCCTTTTTTTCGGCATCAATGCGAGTTTCCTCCCAGTTGAGGGGGACGTCGATTCCTTGAAATGAAGTACAGAGGTCGGGCAGGAGGGTTGATATCATGGTCTCGCCGACTAGGTTGTTGTTGTTGTTTCTTCCATGTGGGCTGAATGCATTTCGATTTCGGCACACCCGTTCAACATGTACCCTGATGTCGTCAAGACAACTGGAGCTGAGTGGGCTCAACACAGCATCGGTAGCCCCACGGGAGACAAGTTGAATTCGCAACGACCTGAGAACTTCGGGATCGATAGCCAGCGAGCTGTCTTGCCGAGTGACCACAGGAACCACTGTGACAAGGTTAGACATCCTCTTGGCGCGTGAGTCTCCGTCTATCCATTGCAGCAAGTCAAACCCATAGAGATCCGGTTCGGTGGGAAATTCCCACCACTTATTGCCTGGTATTGGCTCCTGAGCGGGGGTGTCTAGGAAAATGATTGTTGGTTTGGTTTTGGTCGACGGCTCCGAGTCAAGCATCCGCAAGTGGCCAAGGCAAGCTTCCCCTGTGCCACACAGAAAAACTAAGCTCGAGTATTAGCAAAGCTCACAGCTGCTCACGATCATTGGAGTTGTTTGCCTACCGCTCTCGAAAGCGCTCGAAATGAGACGGACATTGTCCTCGAGCGAGCCAGACACTCCGCTGCCAGATAAACCATGACTTGATTGGACATGTCGGTCCTCAGAAACAGCGCGGTGAACGTATATCACATTGCATTTCGCACTCTCCATTGGGTTTTCCATGCTCCCTTGAAGCCCTTTCCAGCCAGACGTGGCTGAACCTTTCCACCGCGGGAGATTGGGTTGGCGACAACAAAACAGAGGTCTTGTTCACGATTTCTGTACCCGCAGACTTGATCGGATTCACCAGGCCTGGCCGCGACTAGGACGGCGAAAGGGCGCAGAGATGCGATCCAAGAACTGACGAGGACCAGTCACGCATACGTCGTGGAATAGTGTCGGGTCCTGGATGCTGCTGCTACCAAGAGGGTGATCGCCAGGGTCTAGTGACCGGAGGTTCGATGTCGACAGGCGTCGTGAAATCCAATTCGGTTTCCAATCCAGCTCAGAATGAATCCGCCGTAGGGTGATGGGGGTGTTCAACGGACTGCTGCAAGTTAGACATGCCGCGCGACAAGTTCAATCAGATAAGACGAGGCTCGGTACAGAGAGCTGTGCGATAGGATGGTGGTGGAGGGACTGCGGGCGCGGACCAACAGAAGAAAAGAGCTGCCAGGTTGGGGTCATCAATTCGAGCGAGCGACTGAGTGCCGGAGAACGGCCTGGGGTCGCGCGTGGATCAAGACGATGTGTGTGTGTGTGTGTGTGTGTGTGCGAGCTTGTGTGGGTTCGAGCTAGGAGCAGGCGGGTGGGGACAGGAGGGGGGGAAGCAACGGGATTGGGAAGAGTCGACCAGGAAGAGCAAAGGAAACAATGGAAGGGATGGAGCGAACAATACTCGGTCATACCTGGACGGGTGTCTTGTGTGTCTCTGTCGTCCACTGTGTGCGCCCGTTGCGGGTGGGATGGGCGTGCGCTGTGTGCTGTGTTGGACGGGTTCGTGCGTGTGTATGTGTGTGTGTGTGTGTGTGTGGTGAGCGAGGGTGGTGGTAGGTAGTAGACGGGAGAAGAGAGGGAGACAGAAACGAAGCAAGAAAGAAGGCTCGAGTCTTTCGGCTCGAGGCAACGCAACGCACGGCACCTGTTCACAAACCACAGATGGTGCGCGGTGCCTATGGGGCGCGATTGCAAGCTGTGTGTGTCTCTGAAGGATTTCGGGGACGCTGTAGGTGAGGGAACAAAAGATGAATGGAACAGGGGTAGGTGCCCGTGAAATAATATACGGATAAGGTATGGCAGTCCCTCTCGTTCGTCCACCCCCGGGGAGCACCACGACTGGGGCAAGATCAGAAGGGAACCATGGAGAAGGCGGACCGGGCACTACGATGGGAGCCACGATCAGTAGGTACCGGATTTCACAGACCGTGGTTTTATTCCAGAAGGTGACTTGATTGAGTTGGGGAACGCCGGCGTCTGGCGTCTGGCAACTGGCGCGAGACCAGGTGTTTTAGCGGGCAGTGGAGGAAAGATGGTGGAATGAGTAACCTGGAAATGGAAGGGGGGGGGTTTTCGAGCAGGGTTACTAGAAGGTGTGGAGAAGCGCCCCCTCCTCGCGGTCGGCACCCCGGTCCAGCCATTCACAGCGCCCGCCCAGATGAAGCGCACGGAAGCGCAGCTGCAAAGGCGGGAAAGGTGCAATCTCAGGGATAGCCGGGGGGCGGGTTGGCTCTCGACAAACCATCCAAGCTTCTGGCTGCCTTCGAGAAGGGCTGTAGAACACGCTAAGGCCGATAAGCCTGTCATTACTGTATTAATCATCATCACGGGCCCTTCTTTGTCTTTGTGTCTCTTTTTGGTGTCTTCTCGTGTTTCTTGTGCTTCTTGTGTCTCAACAAAGACATCCATCCCGTCATCACTACCCATTATTACTCGGGAAGACCCGTCCTCTTGGGTCATATGAGCATTCTGGGCCACCGATGCGCACCACTGCCACCCCGCGCCTTGAAGCTAGGTGCAAGAACGATCAAACCAACACGGAGTGATCGTCATGGTATCGCATCATATAGTCCCCGGATTATGGAGAAGAAGGACTCGGAGAGCACGTCAGCATCACCAAACAGCTATGATAGCGGTTGTACATCATCTCTGATGCCCATTCTCCCCATTGTTCAATATCGATACAATTTCAATGCAGAATGCTCTACCTTCCCAACTCGACCACAAGCCGTGCCTGGCGTCGGTCTCGATCCAAAAGGGACGGGCTGTCCTTGGTGGCATTGAGACGAGTAGCCGCGGGGTGTCCAAAGCGTGGGTTCTTGAATGCAAGTCTGAGGCGCACTAACCTCTTTACCTTCTCGAATAGGCCAAGCCCTTCGATGCCCTGGCTGGTTTTATACTTGCGCAAGTCGATGAGTAATTATTTTTGGGGGGAAGGGGGGGGGGGGGGGGATATTTTCTCTTCTCAGCCTTTGCTCTAGGTCTTCCTGATGACTTGTTTCTTTCTTCAATGCTCACTTGAAGCACCCCCTTGCATCGCGATCTCGAGTGGAATACTTGGTGCCTCCATAATCATGTTCATCCTGCTTGTTTTTAGCCGCGCCGCAGCCCTCACGCCCTTTCGCCAATGAATGCTGCCTGCCGCTGTGTTCTGAAAGACCACACATGCTCCAGCTTCAACACCTCCCCAAAGGGCTCAATCTATCTCTGACCTATCACACGTCTAGCCCAAAGGGGACGGCATGCAGGGGATGCAGGGGGTCTGCAGTACTTGAGCTTCGACAGGGCCGCGCCAAAGAAGGATGGGATGCCACTCTCTGTAAGAAGGGGTCGGTATTACACCGTCTGCCATCTATCTGCCTTGACGTGACAGGCTCGAGTTCGACGGATGCACTCGCCAGACCTTTCGGTGAAGGACCGAGAGCTTAAAGCCCAAGCCATTGCATGGGACCTACGAGTCGCCGTCACCGAGTCCGGATGCGAGGCTAGCGTCCAGCATACAAACCTTGATTCACGGCCACGCCGACGACCTTCGAAAGCGTATCCCATCGCGATGCATTGCCGTTTCGAGAGGGTGCCCGAGTCAACGACACAAATATCTGACCAACACAGCAAACCAGCATGACATTTTCGGTCGACAGAGAACACATGGAAGAAATCACCCCCAGAGCCCCCCCGGTTTCTGTACGAGTAGCTGCCAGACGGTTTCAGCCCTGCCGATCGATCGAATCCACGTCCCTGTCTGCCGTATGTGCTGACTGACATGGCACACCGGAGATCTAGGAAAAGGCAGCAGGCCTTCCTCGCATGCCGTGTGCACCCAGATCCAAGCTCTCGGGTTTGCTTCTGAGTCGGCCAGATGCCGGTGGCTGGGAAAGAGTTTATAGAACCCTCTGCTATTGCCAGAACATCAATCGGCCCCCTCATCCTGAGCTGCCGTCATGCTCCATTCGCTTTCGCTTCAAAAGTAATCTTGCGGCTCAGCAACAATACATGCACCAACGCAGTTCAGCGGGCGGTGCTTGCCATTGGTTGCGAGTGTGACACCGGAGCATGTCAGGGTATTTTTGTACAACCTGAGCGGTTGAAGCATAGACTGATGATGTTGAACCTCTAGCTGAGCAAGGACGTTCTTAAGAAGCATTGGTGCATATCGCTAGAGCTGTAAGTAAACATCCAACTACACGAGGTTGTCTACAAAGAAAAGGGTAGAACAAGGCCCTTGTGTCTAATAGCAACTGAGAACTTTTCTTGTAGTTATCAATTCGAAAACCATCAACCCAAACCAAGGGGACGACATCCTATTCGACCATCAAACTCAGCTTTAGAAAGGAGATCTTTCGAAAGGTCCCCGCAAAGCTCAGGTTTCACCGATTTCGCAAGCTAAAGAATTCCAACACGTCACGATACTGCTCCACAAAGCTGTGAGTTAAGCATAATTAAAATAAAGAATGTATCTGCCAACGGCTTCCCTTCCCCAGACATTATCGATGGCCGATTTTCCGGTGGTCACCACTCCACACTCAGATCTCGATGAAAAGCCCCATGATCCATTGTGTCAACCGACCGGTGGACGCCTACCAAACCAAGCTTCTGTCGCGCTGACTCGTATTTGGTTATGACCAGGTATTGACAGACTACATGACAGTTCAACTCTTAGGTTCCCACGTGGTTCCGAACTTTGCGGGAGTGCCGTTGCGCTTGAGTATGATTTCGGCACCGCCATCATGTGGCTTCCGGAACGCCAGGTGTGGCAACATGAGCGAGCAGGCCACCCCGGAGCTCTCTCCGTGAATCAGCACCGCTCTTGTCAGTCTCTCGTCGACACCAAGGTGAAGAACGGGCAACACTACGGTCTCACAGGACCCTTCCCCGGATCACCCAATTTCACCATCTTCACGCCGTCCACACCCAGCAATCGCAGTACTCCTCCAACCACCGTCATAGAAATTACCCTGGAGCTACGTAATTGGACCTCGTGCTCTCAGCTTCCAGAAGTCGGGCTTCCACCGTAGCAATCACATACGAGAGGTTTCTCCCAAAAGAACACGGCCACGTCAACAGCAGCTTTCTCAATTTGCGGCTTCCAAAAGGCGCTTCCAAAGATGGTTGCTTTCCTGTGGAATATTCCCGAAGTAGGTAGGTGCAACCTACGGGAGCTCCTCAGAGGAAGAGCTCCTTGCCAAAACGTGGACCATTGACGGATGAGCTCCCTCCCTGGATGCCCTTTCTAAATAGAAGCTCCCCTTCCCAGCAAAAGAAGGTTCATACCCAGAGACAGCTCCTCCCTGGCACCCCACAGTTGGAAAGTACGATAATGCCTAGGTACGTATGCTCTTTCCACCTCACAATGCTCGCAACACCATGAGTCTCTATGCGTCAACTGTTTCTCAACAAAAGAAGAAGGAACATTGGCTCGTTGGTCCGAGAGTCATTTCGTGCCATCACTTTCTCAACAGTTTTGTGGTCAGCTTGCAACAACTGCACACCCATGAGACACACCAGAGGTTATAACACCCCTTTTTTAAATAACCCAGGAAATCCAAACCTCTTGACAAGCAGCACCTCATCATAAGGAGGAGGGTACGACCCCAACCCTCACTTCCCCACAACACAACAGCTTGGACTATCAGCAAGTACAAGCAGCTTCACACTTGCAGTGAAGCTACAGCGAAGCTACAGTGAGCTTCCAGCAGGGCGATCCGTTGTAGAGATTGGTGCCCCACTACCAAGCTATGGTATGGTCTGTGCATGCGACTCCACAGTACAGAAAGTTTTCTCAACCTCTGCCTGGTCAATTTTTTCCCATTTCCACTTTGAACATCATCCCTTTGAACCATTCCATCACGAGCAAACTTCCCCACGGCAACGCCGACGACGACAGATATGACGGCAGCACTCCCCTCTCTTGCAAAACTCTAAAGCTGTTATCTGGGCTTTTTTTTCTCTTTTCTCTCTCATCGAGCTTGTTACGGAGTAGCGTTGTCCGGAGTTCGTATTCAGTTGAGGGGGGTGTTGTCGTCGTCGTCGTCGCCCTCGCCCTTCCCGGGCCAGTGTTGCTGCCCTCAACTTCTCTCCTACCTCCTTTTCCTCCCTTTTTGCTCCCTTCTCCTTTCCCCGATTCGTCCCATAATCACAAACATAGTTGTCTTCTTCCTGATTCGTTCAGCTCAACCTCCCCCTTTGCTGTCCTTGAGTCACAGGATGCGCCTGGTTCTCCCAGAGCGTATTAGACTAGACTGAATCACATGCAATGTTTTTTGAGTGCGGAACCTTGTTATTATTTACCATAGGGGACTTTCGCAATTTATCTGTTGCTACATTCTTTTTTTCTTGTCTTATCTTCACTAGGTATCCAGATATCCAATATCAAGTTCAGAGTTTGAACCAAACGCCCTCGCTATGCTATGTTATGCTGTGTTCGTTTCCAATCATTTGACCCAAAAAAAACCACACCGGATCAGAGAACAACCAAGGCCACCCCCAAAAACCCCACCAGCGCCCCAAAAGCCTTGAGATTCCCCCTCGCCCCGGCTGCATCCCCCGTCGCAGCACCAGCAGCTGCACCACCGCTCCCCTCCACGGGTAAGGTTGTCCTCCCAACTGTCTTCCCTTGTATCCCGTTGAGCCTGTCGCCCGTCTCTATCGCGGGTCCACGGTTGAAAAAGTCTACAAGGACAAATACCGGTTTTGTGCCCCACTGGTCCTGTCCGGAGCAAAGCTCTGCGTGTCTGCCTAAGGAACCGGTGGTTACAAGATCAGGGGAGTTGGTCGAGTCGATGGAGTCGACGTTTGGGATCTGGATCCCGGAGGAGAGGTCGACGTAGAGGAAGTGGTTCAGCAGGGGTAGCAGGCCGGAGGATAGAGCGGCGGAGGCGGCGCCGGCGGAAAGGGGGCGGTCGAGGGTGCAAGTGAAGGAGGAGGGGGAGGTGTTGTTGAAGGGGGTCTCGAAGATGTATGAGAATTCGGGGAGGAGGTAAGGAGACGAAGGGGAGGGGGTGATGTTGGTTATGAAGGTTACTAGGCGGTGGTTGAGGGATATCATTTCTGATAGGGTGGCCCAAATGGTGGTGGTGTTGGTGGGGATGAAGCCGTATTGGGAGAGGGAGGAGGATTCGAAGAGGGAGGCGAAGGAGGTGATGGGTTGGGAGTCGGAGTTTACGAGGAGGAGGGTGATGACTTCGTTTGGGTTGAGGGAGAGCCAGCTGGCCATGGAGGAGAGGAAGGTCTCGAGGGGGCCGGCGTCGAGGAGGTCGCAGAGGGTGTGGCAGAGCTTGAGGGTGTTGTCGTGGAGGTGGACTTGAGCCTGTAAGAGGCGGAGGCCGGAGGAGAGGGCGAGGGTGGCGTTGTAGTATTGGTTGCCGGCGATGGAGTTGCCGGTGGAGGCGTCGCGGAGGAAGGCCGAGTTGTGGGCGCCGATGTGGGTTATGTTGGAGTAGGAGCGGGAGCAGAGGTCGGGGGAGTTGTTGCAGGCTGTTTCTGAAGGTGGTGGTGGTGGTGGTGGTGGTGAGGAGAGGATGGTTGATTGGGCGGCGATGAGGGATGGCAGCAGGAGGGCTGCGAGAGGTAGTGGTGATAATCGGACCATGATTTTTTACTTTTTGGTTTGAGAGAAGATGTCAAAATAAAAGGGTAAAAAGAAGACATCGGCTTAAGAAGATGAAAAAGAAGGGATGAAGAACGTCATAAATTCCAGTCCCCTTCTTCCCACGTTCGCCTCTGCTCGGCAACAAATGATCAACTTCTTGGGGTGAGGATCAATTACAAGACTCAAACAAACCACCACTTATCATCCTCGGCATTATTGAACGAGACCAAAACCCACACTTATTTTCCCACACAGCCACTGGCTTGTTTTTGGTAGTTGATGGCAGCCTGTATTTTTAGGAAGGAGACAAGTCACTGCGTCAATCAACCAGCTCAAACTTTCTTGTTCAAAGGAGCCGTTGCTGCAGTAGGCCATCTAACCTGCCCTCCTGATTCTGCGGGTTGAGCCGGCCCAGGCCAGCAGGCTGACCAGCAGCGGGCCGGAGAAATCGCTTGACACAGGCATTCTTCACTCTGCTGTCTAGTTATTTCTCCAAGATGCTGAAGAACCGAATGCATTCAATACCTAGGTGCCTAAGCCAACGCCCAAAACAACACTTCAACCACCGAGTCACTCTCTTACGCGTCCCTTGACCGTCAAACTCCAGAACTTCATGCATCTTGGCGATGACGTTGCCTCTTGTTCTCCACACAACCCGTAAGCACTGCCGGGCGATCCTCAGGGGGCGACACCAATAATAAAGCTCTCATATACCTACCTATACCAAACCTGAAGTACGCAGACATGTCTGCCCATTTGCCTCGTGCAAAGAACTGAAACCAGCTGTAGATGGAATTTCTGTCATTAAACAAGATAAATGCTCTACTAAATATGCTACCTGCTACTGTGCCTTCCCCAGAGCAATGCTTGCTAACCCCCGTAATGCGGCCCCCAGAATGAATGAATGAACCGTCCCAGCCTTTGCTCCCCCAATGAAAAAAGCCCCTATTTGTACCACAGACTAGCTGCCATCAATATGTATGTATCCCACCCCCTCACCTGACCAACAAAGCCCTCTGACTACTCGCCATTAGAGCCCTGTGATCAGCCTCACAGCTCCCGCAGTACTCAGCATGCCACTTTGCGAGGGCCTCCTTCCTCCTGGCATCGCCGCCTCCAAGCACCTTTTGAGCCTCCTCCTTTTCTTCCTGAGAGAGTTGCTTGGGAGCATTGTGCGTCAAGAGCCTCGCGACCCGCTCACAGCGTTGGTTCTCGTCTTCGAGCCAGTTCTCCCACTCCGACTGCACCATCTCCAGCTCGATGCCGTTGACCACACGCATGGCCACCAGGAGATCGTGTCTGTACCCGGCCAGACGCTGGCGAGTGCGACGGAGACGACGGGCCGCTGCTCGGGTGGTGGCTGAGGTGAAGCCTGCCCCGGCGTCTTGGTAAGGAGCGTCGAGGTTGGTCGAGTTGACGATGGCCTGGAAGGTGTCGTAACTGTTGCACTCAAATTAGCATCCTCTATCAACCGCCAGAGAAAAGAAGCGAAGCATACCACTGGCTCCCCACCGGCCTTCCTAACTCCATCCCCACCGCCGACCCTCTACTCGCCTCCTCCAAATCCGCCAAATAAATCGCCTTCCCCATCACCAAATTCGGTCCCACCCCCAACCTTTGCATAAACCTCTCCGACCTCCTCTCGGTCCACCACCGGCTCGTCCCCTGCCCCCAGCTAACCAAGTTATACCCCAAGCTAACCACCAACATCACCAATATCACCCGGTTCGCCTTCAAAACCCCAAACACCTTCTTCACCGCCGCAAAAGCCCACATCATCACACTGGTAATTGCGCTCTCCATGAAACTCCTCCCCGTCTCCCACATCATGGCCCCCAACGTCCTCGGCCTCACCCCCACCCCATCCCCCTTCAGGTCCTCATCCGGACTGAAAACAACCACGTCCCCCCTCCTCCCCACATCCCCATACACCTGAATCGCCCTCTTCGTCCTGCTGTGAATCCCCAACTTCCTAACTTGATCCGTCGCCACCTCGGCCAACTCCTCCCCATCCCTCCTCGCATCATCCAGCGCCTGCCGTTCCACCATACTCCTCGCAGACGCCTGCTGCCCCCTTCTCCCAGCTCGTCCGTGTATAAACCGCCAGCTTGCACTTGCTCTTGGCCACATGCGTAATCACCACCTTCGTCACAAGCCTGAAAGCCCCCGAGTGCGGCAAGTGCCACGGCGTCCTCACATGCGACACCACATACGTGATGTGATCGTTGAATATGTCAATCGTCTGCACGTCCGTCACCTCCCCCGGCTTCCTCCTCCCCAGCATGTCCACATAGTCAACCTTGAACCTAAACACCCTCTTCATCTTGCCCCCGTGATCGCTCAGCTCCCACGGCCCCTGCGCAATCTCCTTTGCCCTCCGCTCAAAATACAGCTTCGGAAAGATAAACGACTTGTCCCCAAAGAGCACATGGAAGCACGCCTTGGCGCTCATCTCAAAGTGCCTCTCCGCCACCGCAGGCCCCATGTCCTCCGGCTCGTACATCACCGCGTGAGCCGGCAGCTGAAACTTCTGCACCTGCTTCTTCGACCCCCCCTGGCGCGAATACCGAATGAACCTCCCGCTCAGATCCCCCACCCGTCTCGACACCGGCCTCCCAAACGGCGTCCCGTCGTCAACCGGAGTATTAGAACTAATCTCCTCCCAGCTCTCCACGCTCGGACTCCGGACATTATCGTCCTGGTTCCTCTCCATGTTGAGCAGCGTGGTAATAATCTCACTCAAATCCATCGGTTCCGCCGCCTGCAAATCATCAATCAAGAGATTAAGCCTAGACTGCAGCAGCAAAAAGTCCTCAAGGAACACCTTGATCGCGATCCGAGCGTACGTCGTGTCCTGCATGTCCTGGTTCAGATGCAAAAAGATAAAGTCGCAGTCCCTTCCCGGAGCCGAGGTGACCTCGGTGATGCTATCCAGACTGATGGTGTAAGCTACCACCAAGCCCAGCTGGTGACCATAAAAGTACATCCTGTCAGATGTAACAAAAATACGGCCATTGCCAGCCAGCCCTTGATCCTCTTTTCCTTCGACCGGCGAGCTCGACCACGCAGCATTGAAGACGAGCACCGGTTTCTCCTCAGGCGGTGCTGTGGGAAAGACAAGGCGGAACTGCGCATATTGCGCTCTGAGTTCGGGCGGGTAGTTGGCAGGAAGGGCATCGCTCCGTGCCTTTTCGGTCACCTTGGGCTCCGTGAGGGTCGTGCCCACGCTCTGTGTTTTCCTATGTCCACCAGGAGGAGGCTGAGGTTTCTCAAAGGTGGGTGTTCGCGGCACCATGGACGCAACAAAGGGGTCGTTAGCGTAGGGCTTAGGAGTAGGGGGTGCCCCAACGGCAGGGCAGTAGATGGCTGTGTAAGGACTGCTTCCCCAGTAGTTGGCCAAAACGCCGCTCGACATGAGCCGGATAGGAGCATTGTTGGCGCTTGCCAGAATGGCTGACTTGCTTAGGCTCGTCGATATAGGAGGCTTGGCCAGAGTCGCGGGTGCCAAGCTGCCTGACTGGTGATCGAGCAACAGAGTTGGCAGACGAAGAGTCGGTGTCTGCCCTCCCTGAGGTGTAGAAGCCGTGCTGGTCATCAAGCTCGCGCCGGTGGTCCCAGAAGCAGACATTGTATCCATCGAGCTAGCAAATGTTGCCTTGCGGTGAAGATCAAGCTTCTGCATGATACGCGCCGCATGCTCCCTTCCAGTCTCTCCCTCCTCCCTTCCAAGGTGAGTCGTGATGGACCGGCGCGGCGGAGCGATCGCCACGTCGAAGCTGGAACGTGCCGCGGCATTCGGATCAGGACCAGGCACAGGCAGGTTGCGTTGCTTCTCAGAGCTGTCAGCCTCGTCAAGATTCTCAACCGCTCGGGCAGAGAACTCTGGAATCGAGGGCGGCGTGATGACGAAAGCAGGATCGATGCCCCCAACAAGCGTATTAGGATCCCGTCCCATGCTGGCCTCGATCGCCTTCTTCTTGGCCACCTCAAACACCTCAAGCCACTCCACCAGCTGCGTCTGCGTCTCCGCCTGCAGCAGAATGGTCTGCGTCTTGGTCTTGATTTCAAAGCAAAACCTCCGCTCCTCCTGGACAGCGGGTCTCGCACTGCAAAGCAACACGCCAATCTCATCACCCTGCAGCACCCCCTGAGGTGCCTGGATCAACCACCCAAAGATCCCATCCCGACAATAATACCACCTCCGTATCCAATTCGGCCTCACCGGCTTCCCCGTCAACGTCCTCAAAAACAACCACCCCTGCTTCTCCGAAACAACTGCCACCTGATCCTTCCTCTGAATGCTCAACGGCCCTTTGCTCCCCAAATACGGCACCGTACTAACACTATAATCCTCCAACTCCCTACTCGGCTTCGCCATCGCCAACGTGCTCTCCCCAACATCCCTCCTCGCCATCCCCAACTCCCGTTTAAAAACCCCCTCGCTCGCCTCCATCTCCCTCGCCCACCCCCTGATCCGCTCCAGCTCCTCCCCCCACCCAGCCTGAAGCGCAGAAGCAGAACCGTTATTCCCCTTCCTCATCTCCCTCCACAAGTCCGCACAAACCCTCACAAGCAGCTTGTCCAACCCCGCCCTCACCTGCGGCGCCATCTGGCAAAAGTCCATGCTCGCCTTCAAATACCCCTTCCTCGTCTCAAAGACAGCAAACGCGTCCTCCCTCAGCGCGCTCGGCTCCTTCGTCTTGCTCTGCCCCACATACCTCGCCAGCGTCGTGTCAAACACCTTTTGCGCCGCCTCCAGGTTCCTCCTCTGCTCCCGCAGCACCCTCATGTCATTGTTGATAAAGTTCCTGATCGGGTCCACGCTCACCGGCTCGAGCCTTCTCACCGCGGAGAGTATCCCGCCCCACCACTCCCTCGCCCCGTCGCCCGCCCTCCGCAGGGCGGGGAGTGTGTAATCCGCGTCGAGAACGGGGGAGTCAGGCCCCGTCGCCATGGTGGGGGGTGTCATTTTGGAGAGGTAGACGTTGATCGTGTCCTCGAGAGCCAAAAAGTCGTGGATGACTTTGGTCGTGCTGCGGGTGTAGCTGTCGAGCCAACGTTCGATGCCGTCGAGCTGGTCGCCAAAGTGGATGGCTGTCGAGCGGAAGGTGGGAGAGTCGAGGGCGGCTTCGTTGAGAATCACGGGGATGGCTGGGCCTGAGGCTCGGGGGACAGATGCCGTCGTTGGCTTGGGCTGTTGCTGCTTTTCTGACGGTGGTGCTTGGGAGGAGGAGGACCCTCCTGTTGTCGTGGAGGGGGCTGTCACGGTGACTGGCGGTGGTGCTGAGGCGTGCTTGTAGCTGAACGCCGCCTGGGGCGGTATCGTTGGTTCGTTCATCTTGAGCCAAACCTCTGCCCTCTCCGAGGAAGCTTCTGAATAGTGATGTGCTCAGAAGTATCCCTATGTACTGTAGAAGTTGCTGCTTTGTTCTTTGATGAAAGCTGTTTGTATTATTCCGGGATGCTCGGAGGTGAGTATGCCGTTTAGATGTGGAGATTGGATATTATCACGACCTTGGCCGCGTGTATTTAGTCGTGTAGGTCTACTTGAAGCACCCAGTCCTTTTTTTTAGGAAGAATGTAAAAAGTTGCGAGAAAGCCGGGCTCAAAGGAGGTAGACGATTAATCGGTGAGAGGGTGCAACCTGGAACATCTCTCTCTTTTGGAAAGCTGCCCAATGACGTTTGTTTCAGTTGCACACAGCGCCTGGCCGACGGGTCGTTCTGGGGTTGCATGACGCTAACAGCATTCGGGAGACATCGCTAGCCGTTAGCGTGTTGGGTGCTATTATTGGACCCCTTTCTGGGAGCACAGTGCGGCGAGGTCCAACAACACCATCATTGCTTTTTCAGGGGTAAAACATGTAAAGGATGATGATGTTGCTACATTATGGGCATACGTCTATCTAATCAGGATACTTCCGCGTATAGATACACCAAGTCTTAAGCTTTACGTGTAAAAGGGCCAACACTCTATCTGCAGATTCGGAGCCGATTGTTCGGATCCGGAATGCAGTATCAAGAACCAAGACATTCCCGTCATCCTCTCACTGGCCATTCATGTCCACATCTTCCCAGCTCCTTGGTAACGTATAGGTCTTGTACATGGCCCTGTCCTTGCCCACAAGGCAAACCCGCCCTGGTATCTCGCCGCGTAGGCTGCATGACTTTTGAACCATCATCTGCACAGGCGTGAAGTGGGACAGATGAGAGAAACCTCTTGTACAAAACAGTGTCTGGTCATCCATGTCAAGAGGCCTTAATGATGGGCGCTGACCAGCCTCGTAGTGTCGGTACAACAATGTGGCAGACTGATAGCTAATTTTGATGAGGGAAAACCCAGGGTTGTCACCTATAGCAATGGTTAACTTTAGGCACTTTGCTGACGTGTAATGCTTTGACTTACCCGCAGTGCAGCATAATAGTAACAATGAGTTCTCATCGAGAAAGCCAAAATCAACAATGCTCTTTCCCTCTGGCACAGAAAGCCCACAGGCTCTCGTTGGACCCAGCTCACTGACACCTTTCGTACCCTGTATGACGGTCTTGAATAAAAAGACTGATGAAAGCCGTTAGCACTGCATGGATGTAGCAGAATCTTCCAGCTTACGTGTGGTTCTGTCTTGCTCTGATACCAACGCCGTATAAGCTGTCTGTCCCGTCGCCTCCTATAAATCTCTTGTCAGTTTTGTGACCCCATACGCTACACAGCCATACCAACCAAGACTTACATCTTCTGGCTTGACACACAACCGAACATCATGCTTCCAAATCCCCTCCCCAATGTCCAATACAGCATCTGTTCCAAACAAGACACCTCGTTTCTCAGCCTCGGCAATATTTTGAAACACCTTGTTGGCTCTGCTGGTCAAGTAGTTGACAAGAAAGTCCACATGGGGCAGCGCTCTCATATAAGGCTGCCCCGACTCCTGTCTCTTCAGCTGCTTCACAAGCATCTGTAGAAGGGACGGGTTGTCCTCGGCATACTCCTGGTCTTTGACATAGTCTTCTTTGGTGATTTGGTCAAAATACATGGCCAATGGACTGCTGGTTAGGTATCTTTGAATGTAAGTCAGGACCTTGGCATGGTCCATAGTCGCTTCCTTTTCGGTGAGCTCTTCGGTGGCAGATGACGAGGAGGCTTGTTGGTCTATCTGTAGCCGTAGCCATGTTGAGAAAACAGAGAAATATTCCAACTCATCCATGACGTTGAGAAGTATCTTGTGGGCGACGACAGTCAGGCAGGAAACAATGTCCATCAGTCTGGTGATCTGAGTAGCATTGAAGCCAATACCCTCCTCTGAGTCGTGGAAGCGGGCAATACCCAGCATTCGACTGAGAATGATACCGCAGCGTTCAAGTGCTGGTATTAGGTTCTCATGAACCAGACCTCGGAGGTTGAGCAATCCCGAGAGTACTGCCTTGTCCCAGCGTTTGTGGCCCTGTCTCCTCGTCAGTTATCAGCCATGTAAACCAGATCCAGAGACTTACCCTCTCAGCCACAACATCCACCAACCACTCCTTCACCGGCTTGAAAACATGCCCCGTAGCCACCGTGTGACACAAAGCCTGGACAATACTCAACCCCCCACCCTCCATCCTCTTCAAATCATCCTCCACCCCATTCAAAAACCTCTGCGGCAGCTCCCTCGTCGACTTCCACTCATTCGTCATGTGCGTCTGCGTCTGCTTAACATACCTCAGCAAATTCTGCAACATGGTCATCTTGCTCGCCAACAGCGACAAGTTCACCGGCGAGTAATGCACAAACGTCAAATCCATCGGCACCAAATGCAACCTCCTCACCTCCCCTTCCCTCGGCCTCATCAACAGCACATGCGTCGACGTCTCCTCATGCGAAGCATGCCCACAAAGCATCACCCCCTCCCCCTCCACCGGCTCATGCCTGAACATCCCAACAACAAACGAATCACAAATACTCAAATGCACCCCCCCATCCTCCATCCCAACAACCATAACATGCACATCATCCGCCTCCTCCGCCTTACACCCCCTAAACACCCACTCCAGCGACGTCGTCGACGAAAACAAAAACATATCATCCCCCCCCCCAGCACCACCACCCCCCCCAGCAACCGGCAAAGGCCCCAACTTCGGCAACGCCCCCTCCACCTCCAAAAAAGTCAACTCGTGCGGCAAATCACTCACCCCCACCTTCCCCCCTCCAGTCTCAACTTCCACCCTCCTCCTCTTCCTCCTCCTACTATTCCCAGTAACATTCCTCCCCCACCCCAAAAATTTGATCCTTTTGCCCCTTCCCTCATCTCCCACCCGTATGCAATAAACACTCCTCCCCCCCCCCTCCCCCATCAACCTCACCACCCCGTCCCCCCACCCAACAGCAAGAAACTTGCCGTCCTCCTTCCACCGAACCGTCTCTACCCCAGCCCCGCTCCTCTCGGCGTGCTTGAACACCACCTGCTCGTTCGCCCGCCAGACGTAGACCGTGCTGCTCTCTTCATTATCACCATCCGAAACCGTCGCGGTGAGCTCAATGGCTGGGTTGAGGGCCACGACGGGGTTGCTCTCTGAAATCGGCGCGCCGGCGGTGGAGAGGCGGGATTGGGAGAGGAGGGGGAGGAGGGGTAGTAGATCTGGGAGTGGTTGTGGTGGCATTTTTGGTTTTGTTTATGAAGCAGTTTTGGCGGGGTTGAGAATGTTGAAACTTGACCGATGTAAGTGAGTGAGTTGAGAGGTGAGAGAAGTGAGTGTGAGCGGTTGGGCTTGAAAACGCGGCGGGTCACTGTTCCTAGTTTGTCACCGATGTCTGATTTACCAGTTTTAAACAAGAGTCTGGGTCAGAATCATTCAGGCAATTCTCTCGATTTGAATTCGTCGTGTTTTGCCGTTGTTTTTCGTTGGAGTGAAGCGCTCTTGCTCTTCAGAGTTCAGTGAGAAGTGTGGAAGGAATTCATGAAATAATTGGCCCTAGCGTTCGCACTGTGCTGCCCCCAAGCGGTCAAAATACGGGCAGCCCCTGAAATGCTTGTCCACATACACCATAGCAACAGCACGAATACATACACCAGGCATTCGATGTCTTGCAGAAACACGCCAAATCAATTTTATTAGGGGAGCTATCCGCCTCCCCAAGTCTTCTCTAACCAGACACCAAAAAGACACATGCTTGCTCGGTGCGCCAAACACACAACAGATTCCTCCCTATACCACCTTAATCACCTCCATTTATTCAATCAAGTACGAGTCCGCCACCGATTTCACCTCCTTGGAGAAGGTTACCTCCTCGTTCATTTCGACAAGCTCCACCGAGGTGACCTGGAAGAAAAAGTTAGCATACTGTTTGTTTTCTGTGTTCGCAGTCAGAGGATGGAAAACTTACATCAACATCCACAAATGGCGAGGTCTTGGAGAAGCGAACTTGCATGGGGAAGAACTCGTTCTCGTCATCCGTCTGCGCCTCAAACTCGAAAGCACCGCTGGGATTCTCCTCGTTGACAGTGCCAATGGACCACTCAAGGCTGTCACCAGACACCTCGTAGGTGGCATCGAAGCTGGCAACGGATGGCTCGGCGCTCTGGTAAGGGATCACAATGCTAACATCCTTGAGCTCATCACCGCCCGACAGCTCATACTCGACAGTCAACGAGCAGTTGCCGTCGGAACCCTTGTTGACCCAGACAGTAAACGCAATCGGCAAGATACTCGTATCGTCGGCCTTGGGCGCAACTCTCCAGCGCAACACACCAACCGCGTTGTTGACAGGGAAGCCCCTCGCCGTGTTAGCCATCTGGATCGCTTTCGTGCTGTTGAACAGATTCTTGTCGACATTTGGATGTGTCCGGAACTGGGCACCGTGCGAAGGAGTAGCATTGAGATTAAGCTTGAGCTTGGTGAGTGATGGATCTGACACGCGCAATGTCAAGTCACCGCTGATGGAGAACGAGCTGAGGGCCCCATCCCTGGACAGTTTGGCTGTGATGGCTTCGTTGACGGTAACGTGGATCGCATCCCGGTCCAGGGACGTTGATACACGGGAGGCGGCGGCCGGTTCTGGGGCAGAAGGAGTGGCAACCGGTACAAGGGGTGCGTCGTCCACTGGCCCCAGCTCGGTCTTCACACGCTCGAACATATCTGTAGTCTTGGACTTCTTGCCCAGCTGCATACCCTTGCCCTTGGGCGCTCCAAACCTGATTCTGTCAGTTCCCGCCCACCAAACGTCCAGACTGTGAAGGCAACGTACTTGGATTTGTTCTTCTCCGCCTCGTAGGTATCGTATGTCTCAGTAACAGCCGGTCGGACAGGGGGTGTGTATGTTGGGTATACGGCTGGTCGTGAAGCCATGCCACCGGGGCGGCCAGCTCTCCCAGACTCCTTGCGCTGCATCTCCAGCTGCTTCGCCTTCCTCTTGCGCTCTTCGGTAGCCTCGAGTTCCTTGTTCTACACCGATGTCAGAACCCCAAGCAGCCCATAAAAGTATTATTCCACCTACCCGAGCAATAATCTCCTGGATGCGCTCCTCGTGAGACTCCATTTCCAAGAACGTCCTAATTTGGCTGACAGTCAGGTTCTCACGGTAACCCAGGGTGACAATCTCGTCGAAGGCACTGATAAGTTCGAAGGCATTTCGGAGGATTTCTCGCTCGTCGAGGCTCTTGCAAGTGCTGGTAACGACCTGGGCGAAGAGGTGGAGGGAGTCGATGTCCTGGAGGATGTTGGACTGCTTGTTGGTGATGAGCACCATGTAGAGCTCATCCAATGGCTGGTATACGAATCGAACATTGTCCTGTTCGACGGTGGTGTGTTGGGTGCCCGAGTTGGCAGCCTTGGGGAAAGATGCGAGGAGGGCTTCGACACGAGTGCGCTTGATGTCGTGGAAGGCCCTGGCCAGAACAGCCTTGCCGCCCCGAGTGCAGATGGACGCAGCGAGGACAACCTAAGGCGCAATGGTTAGCTGTTTGTTGCGCTCTGGATTGCATCATCTCGGGAGGGCTACCATCTTGAATTCAACAGCTGGACGGGTTGCTGGGGCTCAGTTGGGAGAGGTCGGGTTGGTATCGGTGTCGGTGTCGGTGTCGGTCGAGCCGTTAATTACTGGCAATTGTAGCTTCACCTCCCGGAAATGATACAACTGTGGTCGATAGGTGGTCTTTCCAGCACCCAGTGGCAGCTGAGGTGTGCCTGACGAGGGGCTGCCAGCTGGCATCCACCCTGACCGTGCCACCACTGTGAAGTGAAGCTCTTTCCCCTATCTGAGGACATATGGATGGGCACGGACCAGGTCCAGGCTGCCAGACGGGTGTCAGTCCACTAAACTGAATGCGGGCCGTCCTCCACTCGATTATTCAAATGAATTGCCGCTTCTCCAGTGCTCTTTCACTTTTCCGACAAACACGCTTTCGATTACTCTCCTCTGCGCGCGTCAGCAGAGTATAAGAAGTCCCGACCTACCTGCCTTCATCCAGTCCACAAGATTTCGCTCTTGACTTCAACAGCAAATTCACTCGACCCGCTCTCGACTTCTGCTTCTGAAAAATTTAGAAGTCGGCATCCCACCGTTCTTCAGGAGCTCCCTGTACAAGAACAAGAACTTTCTCCATTTCCACTTCGAGCTCTTGCCCATGTGCTGGATTCGCCCAAACCACAACCTAAACTCAGTAGTTGACCATCAACCGTAACCTGAATTCCGCGCGCCCCTCGACTTTTCCACTCCAGCCCTCCGGTCCTACCGTATCGACTGGACTGAGCGTGTACAACCATTATCGCTCGATTTCGGCGTTTGCCTTGAGAAAAACGTAAACTCGACATCAGCCCCACGTCCAGCCACTGGCGTCGTCGATAATCCTGCGGATTTTCAGTATCAAGCCCACCGCCTTCCACCATATACTTCCTACCAACCAACACGGCAATAGCCGCTCATAACCAACCAAAAAACGTAGCCTACGCGTCGGGCTGCGTTCGACATATCACCCATCTCCAACCCAGCTCACCATGGACCAGGTTGAGCTGGCCGTGGACCCTGGCCCCTTGGGCCAGTTAGATCAGGAGGCTGTCCCGGATTTTGATGCCGATGGATTTGATTTCCAGCTGGATGGCGTTTATGATCAGGCAGATGAGAACCAACAAGACGCCCCTGCAGTAATCACCAAGAATGTAGTCGATCAAGTTGACGAGATTGGCTATGAAGACGACGAAGAAGAAGCTCATTCGGAGCATGCCGCGACCAATTCAGCTGAAGATGAAGGCCCCCCGAACGAAGTAGCGGGTGATGAGATCGCGGCGACAGGCCTGGAGTATCAAGAAGAGATCGGCTACGAAGAGGACTACAGCTTGACCACGGAGGCCGTCAAGGCTGACGAGAATGCCCAAGATCTGGCCGTCGCAGATGCTGAGCAGCCGGAGTATCAAGCGGAAGACGAGTTGGACCCTCTGCATGAGGACCAACCGGAGTATGAAGCTGAGAACCAGGCCGAGCCTCAGCCTGGAGACGAGCCAGAGTTTGAGGCTGAAGACCAGTCTGAGCCTCAGCATGAGGACGAGCCAGAGTATGAAGCCGAGGACCAGATTGAGCCTCAACATGAGGACCAGCCAGAGTATGAAGCAGATGAACAGCCCAGCCCTCAGCATGATAATTCCAGCGGCCAACCCCAGATCCATGCACAGGAAGACCAGGCGGTTTCACTGAACAACATTGAATCAGAGAAGCCTATGGTCGAAGAAGATCTTGACGACCAGCTTGATCATGATGATGATGATAATGATGATGATGATGATGACGAGAAGGAGAAGGTTCCTGAACTGGGCAGCCACAGCGATATGGACTATGAGGCCGGCTCAAATCATGCTGATGGCAACGAGGATTACCTCATGGATGATGACGAGGAACCCAGAGGCGGCCTCAGTGAAGTTGACAAGGCGATCGAAGATCTTGCGAGTTCTCTTCATGGTGTTCCCGACATTGAGGTCTTTTACAATGACGTCAACTACTCGCTGTTTGGGACTGCAAATGACGACCCAGACGCTTTCTTTCTGTCGGATGTCAAGAAGATGGATGAGCCCCTTGCACAGTTTCTCTCTTCTCTTCGCCAAGTCATTGCGAACGAAATTGCTCCTACCGATACCCTCTTGGTCAGTTTTGACTCTCTGGACCTCGAGTTTGGCGAAAGGTCTAGTGAAAGGTTTCTCAACCGGACACTCCGTGAACTACTGGATTGCCACGCTGCATTGGCGGCAAAAGACACCGCCATCGCCTCAGTTCCTGTTTTGCAGTTGATTGTCCAGCACGATTGCGAAGAGCGCTTCCTACAACTTCTTGATGAGGCCAAGTATGGCGGCGAATCGCCATGCCGCTCTGGAAGCGTGCTCTCTGAACATGAGCATTCTGAGCATACCGAATCTAACCATCAGAACGGATGGGTCAACGAAGAACTCCTTGTTGACGAGGATGATGACACGGCCCATGATAGCTATGAAAACGAGACCCCAGTCAATGGCATCGCTTCTAGCCATGATCAAAGCCGCAATCCTAGCGTATCGCCTGCTGTTGAGAACGACGCTACCACTCAAAACGAAGATGCTGCCATATCCAGCACACACTCCCAATCGCCAGAGCTAGCAGCTGAAGGGCAGCCAGACCATGATGATCAGGTTGTATATCAAGCAACCCTCGAGACTGTGCACGCTGAGGATTCCAATACCTCGGACTTTCCTCAAGAACAGGTTTCCTACGAGTCTGTCGATGTCGATGTGGATGAGCAGGAGATGAAGGACGCCGATGAGGCCTTCGATGTCATCACAGAGCTGGAAACAACTGAGGAGGCTCAACTCACCAGCAATGGTGTGTTTGAACTGACAACAGGTTCAAATGGTAAACCCCCTTTTTCTTTACACCCCACCAACCATCTGCTTTTGTCCAGTACGAGTTCGACCAGGGCGTCGCAGCTCGCCACCCCCGAAGTTGAAATTGACATCGATTATGATGATGATGACGAACCTTGCGAGCTGGAGGGTGCAAGCGGAACTCAACTTGGATCCAGAGTGACATCTGAGCTGGGTTCGTCAAGCTTTACCGTCGATGAGGAGTACATCATCGATTATTCTGATGACGAGGACAACGTGGAGGAAGAGGGCTTGAATATGTTGGACGCGGCATCGCCATTGACCAACAATTTCTTTACGTCTCACTCTCGCGCCAGTTCGCAGATAAGCATCAGTTTTGGTCACTACAGCGACGCTAACATTCCTCGCTTTCAAGATAACGATCTTCTCCTCGCTTTTGACCAGGACGGCGGCCTCTCAACAATCGACGAGCAAGAAGGCGACGGCGGTCAAGGCGGAGAAATATTGAACGGCGTGCCCGAGGTTACCAACACCGCAGCCGATAACAATGAAGACGCTCTGGAAACGGACTGGCAGGCTGAGATTTCACAAGTCTCTCGGGGCATGTCCCCCACTGTGAGTAAAGATCCGCAACAGGGGCCGTCTGCATCAGCAACAGGAGACACAGCGTCCGATCATACGAGCACGACCATGAACGGCGACGAAATTGACTACGACGAGAACGATGGGGCAGATGATTCTTTCACGCCAGATAACAGCGCGCCGCACTCCGTAGCGGCCCCAGTGGAAGATGGTGATGAAATTGACTGGGGCAATGATGGGGATGAGTACGAAGAGGTGCATAACGAGGCGGAAGGAGATATCACATTTGAACCGCAGCCTGACCTTGACCTTGCTCCGTCGAGCCCCACTGGAAAACGATACAGAACTGACGATGCAGAGAGCCTCGCTGAGGAATCCGGTATGCGTTCCCACCTTTCCCCAATACGACGTGCTCATACTTACATACGGATAGATCACAAGCGTCGTCGGACATAATCGGCGGGCTCTGTACAGGTTTTTCTTGCCCATATCTCTGAGATACGGTTGTAGTTCAGCCGCGACATCTTTCTTCGAAGGAAAAGGTTCTGACCCCGTCCCGTTTTTGTTTTCGAAGGTACTCATTTCGGCCAATCATCGACAGCTCGTATTGTGAAATGCCCAGGTAAGTTTTCGGCAACACATCGAAGAGGATGACGACGGTATCACGATTGCGAAGTTCTGCCGAAATTTCATCATTTTTGCGATCTTTTTGCATCTGCGTGGGCCAGCACGGTCACTCATTACTTGCGCAGCAACGCAATATCATTAATCAAACAACTTTCAGCCTTGGGCTGAATCGACGTTACCGCATGCAGGCCACAGCATTGCAATTTTATACCCAGCATTTATCTGTAACACTACCATGGATGGGCAAAATTTCTGCATTGGCTGGGGATGGGATGGGCCAGGGGGGCTTATCAACGGCTGGAGCTGGCTTTTCAGCAGGCTTGTCATGGCGTTGGCTTTTGGAATCAATCATTGGAGGCAGGCTTCGGGTTTTTTTTTCTTTCTCGTCCATCTCAACTGGGGGTCTGTTAGTTTCAGAGATAGACCCAGCTTCTCACGGCAAGGGGCTATCTAGCTGAGTTCGGTAGTCGACGTAGCTAGTTGAGAGTCACTTGGGGGATGACGGTTTGGAGGATGGGTGGGGGGTTTTCTGGTTTTTGACAAAAGTAAGATGGATTTCAGAGTGGTGGAAGGGAAAGAAGGGTGGGCACTGGGGATCTCTTCTTTTTTTTCTTTCTCAGTTCTCACTGTCACCCTTTTGGCTTTTTGTCACTTCTGATTTTCGACCTTCTTTTGACGATTATAGGAAGCTTTGCCCTGAGTCCAGATTGTTGACTTGATCCTGAGAGATAGGGGGAGAGGAGAGTGTTGATGGGGTGTTGTGTAGCAATGTACGAATTGAGAAGAATTGCCCGAATTATTGTAAAGAGAGGTGAAGAGAAAAAGGCACCAGCAGTCTGGGACCGGGAAGGGCGGACGTCGAGGTACTTCGAAGGGAAAACCCAAGACGAATAAGCTGATTGAGGTACCCAGTTTTTTTGTTTGCACTGCCACGATTTTCAGGGTTCGGAAGTGCTGGAACATGTTAGGTACATGAGTAGAGGGAGCTTGGCTGTGACTCTTGGGAGAGTTACAGGAGCTTACCTGGTTTGATCGCACAGACGTGAGCTATGATGAGCAGATGTGGTATTTGAAGATGCTACGGATTTTGTTGTGAAACCTGTATTATTTGAGGTGTGATTGCTTCGCTAATAACATCCTATGTAAATTGCATGGGCATGTCCTACAGTAATGGACAGAGTAAGATGGATAAACTCTTCCAGAAAGCTGACCTTGTTGTTGCACTCTACAATGGAAAGCTTACGTTATGTAGGTACAGAGTACGGGGATCTGCAAACTTCAGGGGAGGGGGTTGATGTGAGGGGAGTTTGGGTGTTTGGTACCTTGGCCTGTGCGTCCCGAGTTCTCAGGTCTGTCTGTTTCTTTGTCTGGTTCGATGTCATCCCATGTGGGCATCGCGAATCCCTGAGATCTGGCGGGAGAGAGATCTACATTGTAGATGGGGTTGTATGTGTAGGACGGACTTTGAGGGCAGTTACGTATTTAGACGTCTGCAGGCATGTGGATTTCAACGGCGTGATATTGCTGGGATTCCATGAGCCGAGGGACACTGGTGGGTTCATTTCCAGCTGCTGACGACGCTGTAATAACTTGCAAGCTCTGCGGGGGATGGGGGGAAGGGGGACAATTTATAGTTTTTTTGTTGAAGAGAACCCTGAGATGAAGGGGCGTACTTGGGTCTTGGTACTGGTGGCAGGTGATTGGTAGTTTGGTAGGGGGACATATCGAGATAGGAAGCTACGTTCTAATCTAGGATTTTCTTCAATCTTCAAGCCTCAAATTAGAGTTGATAGGAAAAGAGCGTTGAAAGGATGGGAGAACTGCTCGTGTGTGGCGCGGCCGCCTCGTGTCCTCTCTTGTCCCGTCCATGGTGAGCCGCCCTCGACCCAAACTTCAGCAGGCCAACCACAACCAAAAACAGCCACAGCGCACTGTGTGTCGTGACCCTGTCAGGCGTGCAGGCCCCAGGGGTCCAGAATTTCTCGAGCAGGGGTTGGTTGAGGTTTCTTGAAACCAGCCCGTCCCCAGACTTTGCTGCTCGACACCACCGCAGCAGGGGGCCTCGAATGAAACTTATCAGCAACACTTCTCTCCATGCTCTATCAGAACACATTCGTTTGCGCTACCAAGTAAACACACACCACACAAACGGAACTCTGATCTGGTGTCTGGACAAATTCTCTTGGGTCAGCGATATCACTGGGGAAACACCACAGACGGCAACAACACGAACCCAAGCAGCCCCAGCGCATATCCAACCCTAGGTAACGCTTGCTTAACTATTACGGCCCTCCTCCACCCGCCGCCGCCGCCGAGCCTCGAGCGCACCCACGAGCCACCTGTGTCCTCATCAGACGAGACGAAAACCGCTGCATACTTTCGACCGAGCAGGGAAAAAAACATTACACGGAAAACGGATTGCGCTCCAAGCTCTCAATTAGTATTGGAAAAGATATACCGAATGCATAGCAGACGGCCAAAAGCTTGATATTCTTCTTGTTCTTCTTTCTTTCGCTTTTTTTTTTTTGCAGACCCTCGCCCGGCGCGAGAGAGAGCGGCTGCTTGCTTGCCCCTCCTAGAAACCTCGACAGTGTAGCTCCGGCTCCGGTTCGCAGCAACCACCACCGCCACAACAGCAACAACAACAACAACAACAACAACAACAACAAGAACAAGAACACAGGCAGCGCGTTCTCGTTGCTGCCGTCGCGCTCGTTTTCTTTGTATTGCTTTCAAGATGATGCTGGAGGAGAAGTATGCTGCTGCCCTTTTCTTTGCAGCCTGTTTTGCAGGTCTTGGGGGCTCAGCCCTGGTGGCGCATCGCAACTGACGCTGTGGTTTTCTGTCTTTTAGATATATCGGCCTGGCCTTGGCCATGAGCTCGAGTTTAGCAATAGGTCTGCGCATATTCACTGATCTCGAGGACCCGGGAGAGCGATTGGGGCTAACTCTGGTCGTGGACAGGTATCAGCTTCGTCATCACCAAAAAGGTACGGCCTCCCAGCTCGAACAGCCAGCCCCCTTATGTTACACACCAAGCACATGCCCACAGGCCACGCCATACGGGACGAAAGGAAGAATGCTGACCTGGTGAGCGGCTGTTATAGGGATTGATGCAAGCAGAAGAAAGGCATGGGTTTGAAGGGGATGGGTTCGTTTACTTGAAGAACCCAATGTGGTGGGCAGGCATTGTTTGCTGTATGGACATTTTCCTCCCTGGATCTCGAGGGAACTGCGCGCGCTGACGAAGCATACAGTGGTTTTGGGCGAAATCTTCAACTTTGCAGCTTACGCTTTTGCGCCGGCCATCCTCGTCACCCCTCTTGGAGCGTTGTCGGTGTTAGTGGGAGCTGTGGTGGGGTCATACGTGCTCAATGAGGAGTTGGGGACGTTGGGCAAGCTGGGGAGCGCCCTCTGTCTGATCGGAGCTGTCATTATTGTGCTGCATGCGTCCCCTGACGAGGATATTCAGACTATTGACCAGATTCTCGAATATGCGATTCAGCCAGGTATGAACCAACATTGGCTGCCGGGACATGCTCCAGGAAGATGTGGCTGACCAGGTATAGGCTTCTTGTTCTACTCGCTGTTCGTCTGCATTTTCGCGACGATTATGATCTACAAGGTTGGGCCGATCCACGGCAAGAAGAATCCTCTTGTCTACCTGAGCATTTGCTCGACTGTTGGATCCATCTCGGTCATGGCCGTCAAGGCGTTTGGCATTGCCCTCAAGTTGACCTTTGCGGGGCACAACCAGTTCAGCCACCCGTCGACTTATGTCTTTATGATCATTACTGTGGTTTGTATCCTTACCCAGATGAACTACTTTAACAAGGCTCTGAGCCAGTTCCCTACCAACATGTAAGCCTCGCCAGTCATGCGGCAGTCTTGGGCCTATCGCTAACATTGACTAGTGTTAACCCCCTCTACTATGTCACTTTCACGACGGCAACTCTTATTGCCTCCTTCATCCTCTTTCAAGGTTTCAACACAACCGACACAGTCAACACCCTCTCCCTCCTCTGCGGTTTCCTCGTCACATTCACGGGCGTCTACCTCCTCAACCTCAGCCGAACCGACCCCTCAGGCACCAAGACGTTGGCCCGCAGAAGCGGCGGCGACTCGACGGGAACCGACATGATTTCTAGCATCCAGACAAGAATGAGCATGGAAGCCCGCCGCTCCCAATCCCACCGGATGAGCGTCGGCAGCCGCACGGGCGGTGATCGTGACGGTCTCATCCGGGCCTACGACGAAGAGGCCGGGCTTGGTCTTCACGACTTGGCAGACGACACAGACGACGACGTGGACCCGCGCTCTCCCATGATTTCGAGTTTTTCCCAACAGCAAACGAATGGGAGACCAAACGGCGGGAGTGGGAGTCACGGGACGCATTTGACGGCGGGGAATGCGTATAACGAGTCAATAGAGCTGCAGAGTAGGAAGTCGGGGGATAGATGATGATGATGATGGGGGTTGGAGGGGGGGGGGTGAGATTTGCTTTTTCTTTGGTTTTTCTTTGGTTTTTCTTTGGGATGTATTTACTACATGGTTTGCTGCTACTATTATCACACAGTTGTCTCTTGTGGCATTCATTGGATCTTTAAAGAGAGAGAGATATATATATGGTGGCTTTTTCTTCTTGGGGGCGGGAGAGGGGAAAGGGGGGCGTCACAAAATGGCGTTTGAGGGTGCATAAATCAATGGGAAATATTGTGTTAATGGATATCTTTGTTCAATGGGTGGACTACCGGGAGGTTGGGTGGGTTATTCAATGTTTTAACAACAAAGCTTTTTGATCTACTTTTTTTTTTTTTTTTTTTTTTTTTTTTTTTTTTTTTTTTTTTTTTTGGCTCCCTTGGGTTTTTTCTGGTTGTGTGAAAGTTGACTGTTAACTGCTGATGGATATCTTCAGGTGCAATATATACCATGCCATGCTATCGGTATAGAGGGCGGGGATAAAAGGGTGGTGGCCTACAGTGTGGTGTTCTGGTATGTGATGTGTCGAGAATATTGTCTTTGTCGCACCAGATTGAAGCTTCCTATATGCTATGATATCATTGCATATATTATTCTCTAGAAAATCGCCAGCCAAAGCTGGCTGGCAAAAAAGGGGTTGGTGGGAATGGAAAATAGTCGTGTGGTTGGTTTAGTTGTACCAACGTCCAGAGCCAACCACCCAGATATCATCGAGGCAAAGAAAACAAGTGGTATCACATTGTTAAAACAAAATACATCTGGCGCCCTTCACCACCGGCATGTCACACAAGAGAGCCCGTTCACTTTGTTCAGGAGGTCTATTCCCGGTGTGTTATCAGGATCATCTTGACGTTGCTGCCCTTGTCCATGGGTTCTGTAGATAGTTACAAAGCCACCCCTCCATAAAGCAACAACCCATCCGTTTTCCCTTTTGCAGACTCAATGCAATATGCTCAAAGTTGACGCCGTAAACCCATTCCTGCAACCATACCGATGAGCGTGTGGCGCGCCCAAAAGAAAGATCTCCTCATCCCTGCCACAACGCTCCCCTTTCCGATTTACCAGTCATCGCTGTTGTTGGGCGCAGGCTCAGCACCCAGATCGACGTAGGACTGGGGTATCTTGGGAGATTGTCCAGCACCTCTACCGCGAGCATCCTATTGCTCAGCGGCAGGGGCAGCCTCCTCCTCAGCACCAGCCTGCTCCTCCTGGCGGGCAGCCTCAGCAGCAGCCTGGGCAGCGGCGGCCTTAGCACCGTAGTCCTGGCTCATAGGCTGAACGACGGGGGTCTCCTCCTTGGGGTCAATGATGGTGACGGCGTCGGGGAGAGACTTCTGGGGGCCGGCCTTGCCCTCGGGGTCAGAGCCGCGCATGATCTTGACCTTGATACCAAGGACACCCTGGCGGAGGAGAACGTGGCGGGTGGCGCTGTCGATGAAGTCCTTAGCGGGCTGACCGGAGTGGATCATGAAGCCGTCCGTGAACTTCATGGACTTGGCGCGAGCAGCGCGGAGCTTGCCGGAAACGACGACCTCGCAGCCCTTGGCGCCGGACTCCATGATGAAGCGGAGGACACCATAGCAAGCACGGCGAACGGCAAGACCGTTGAGGAGCTTGTAGCGGAGGGACTCGCACTGAGCGACGGCGGAGAGACCACGGTTCTGGACCTTGGCGGCGTAGAGGGAGACCGAGTTCTCGGGGAACTTGAAGCGCTTCTGGATGAGGGAGGTGAGCTCGCGGATGCGGCGACCCTGCTCACCGAGAACCTCCTGGGTGTGGGTGGCGCGGATGATGATGTCGGTAACGGTGGGAGTGACGCGGACCTCGACGCCGGAGTAGCCCTCCTCGGCCAACTCGCGCTGGAAGAACTCGTTCAACTCGGCGTAGAAGACACCGTCAGCGACGAACTTTCTCCGCTTGGAGCTGCAGACACAGACAAGTCAGCCATTGTTCCCAATTTTTGAGCTTTGCCCATGAAGCCTCCTCGAGAGTTTTCAGAAAGCCGTCCATCTCCAGATTCCCCTCCTCCAGACTCTCTCCCTCTCTCTCTCTCTGCCGTCGAATATGGCCGAATTGAAGATGGTTCAAACGACGGGAATTCTCTCGACTTACATCTGAGTGCCGGGAACAGCCATGATGTCGGTTTGGTACTGAGCGACCTACGGGATTTCGGTGGTTGCTGGAGGTTGAGGGTAGGCCTGATCGCGGTGTTCACCAAACTTTTCTCAGAGGGGAAATTCGACCTGCACACTGCTTTTTTGAATCTTGGTGGGCTCCGGGTGTACAAAAGTGGAGTAGGGTTTGCCTGCGCCAATGAGGACGGGCCTTGATTTTGGGGGTGCGGCCACTTGGGTGAGGCGTGCACCTATCAAATTCAACCTCGAACAAACTGTCAGCTGCGAGGTCTGTGCTTCTTAGTGGGAGAACCGTCGACGTCAAGCGCCAGTGGTGCAGTGATGCCCAGTGGCCGACAGCAGGTGCAGGCTGGTGGTACTCGGTCTTGTGATTCCTCCAAGCCTACACTCATAACGGCGGCTTGCGCAACACTTTGAAAAAGCCAAAGTCTAAACCTGCCATGGTTCTGTTCGGCTGGTATACTGATTTATAGAGTCTTCTGGCTACACCTTCTGCGGATGAAGCTCGATTTCCACTTACAAAGTGATACCCCACACGTCGTCACCCTGTCAAGTGTCAAGGCATCTCGGCTCTTGTCTTCCTCCATCGATTGACGGCCCCTGATTGTTGAGCTCGACTTCGCGATTGCCTGCGTGACGGGCGACGACTCCTGTTTTCTCTCGTCGTGACATTGGGGCGGCCTTGTCCCCATATTCACCATGGCGGCGCCGCAGCACAAGCACGTATGTGGTTTCGAAGCTGCATTTTCTCCCGAGCTGCTGCTAAACTCCAATGACACCTTAGTACTATAGCAATGTGCAAGCACTTCGAGGCGGAAAGCCAGAACAGGGCGACCTGGCTCTGACTGACTACCATCTCGTCTTTCGTTTCCCTCCAGAATCAGCGGCAGCTCCGGATCCAAAAGCGAAAAAACACACGAAACAAGTATGGTTCGCATTTCACATCATATCCCACTGCGCTTTGCGACCAACGCCCCCATCGAGCGGTATCCCTTCATCGCTACGGCTTCGTTTCAGGGATTTTACCTTTGTCAGTTTCAACTTCACAGACGACAAGCAGGCCCGGGATGCCTTCGAGTTCATCCGCGCAAAGACCTGCAGGCTGGGGAGCGTTGATAAGCTCTTAGCATTCAACTACTCCCCGCCCTCCAACTCTCTCGAATCCAAGATCAACGGATGGGACCTGTACGATGCGAGGGCCGAGTTTAGGCGACAAGGGATCAGTGAAAAGTCAGCAGACTTGGGCTGGAGGATTACGAACATCAATAAGGACTATGCCTTCTCCCCGACGTATCCGGCCGTTCTCGCCGTGCCTTCAAAGATTTCGGATAATACGCTGAAATATGCCGCCAACTTTCGGTCTCGGGCCCGGATCCCTACTTTGACATATATTCATCCCGTCAACAACTGCACTATCACCCGCAGCTCACAGCCCTTTGTGGGGCTCAGGATGAAGCGGAGCATCCAGGACGAGAAACTCGTTGGCGCATGCTTTTCAGCTTCGACAGACTTTCTGGATGGCAACTCGCCATCTCCTGCAAATGCAAGCATACAGGCAGACCATAGCCCATCGTCAAGCCATGTGGATCTCAGTGCGGATAGTCCCGATGCTCCCACTGATATGTCTCTTTCCGACACAGAGAGAATGGAGGACGAGCTCATTGCCGCGCCCAACGTGATGTACGACGAGAAGACCGGGAAGCGTCTAATATATGGTGCCCAGCAGCATAACCTTATTGTGGATGCGCGGCCTGCCATCAACTCGTATGCCATGCAGGCTATAGGTATGGGGTCGGAGAACATGGACTACTACAAATATGCGAAGAAGGTCTTTTTAAATATAGACAATATTCATGTCATGAGGGACTCGCTCGACAAGGTCATCAGCGCAATCAAGGATGCCGATATTTCTCCCTTTCCTCCAAACAGAGATCTTCTGATGAAGAGCAAGTGGTTGAAGCATATCGCTGGAATCTTGGATGGATCGGCGATAATAGCGCGGCAAGTCGGGATTCAGCATTCGCATGCCCTTATTCACTGCTCGGATGGCTGGGATCGGACAAGCCAGCTTTGCGCCCTGTCTCAGCTAATGCTTGATCCCTATTACCGCACTTTGGAGGGCTTCATTGTGCTGGTTGAGAAAGATTGGCTTTCGTTTGGCCACATGTTTCAGTTGCGGTCTGGACACATGAGCCATGAGAGTTGGTTCACAGTCGACAGTGATGCGCTTGCGGGCTCTGCAGTGCGCCCAGGTGAAAATGATGGCCGTGGAGATGTTGTCGAGAATGTCATGGCCAGCGCGAAGAGATTCTGGTCCAAGAATGTCACCAATGACAAGGAGGCGGGATCAGACCAGGAGGAGGGTGCCGCAGTCGACGAGGTCAAACAAGCCACAGCCCCAAATGCTGCCGAGGAGCAGACGACGAGGTTGAGAGATGTCTCGCCTGTCTTCCACCAGTTCCTTGATGCCACCTATCAACTTCTCCGCCAGCATCCTAACAGATTTGAGTTCAACGAACGGTTCCTTCGACGACTGCTATACCATGTTTACTCGTGTCAATATGGTACCTTCTTATACAACAATGAGCGACAACGCCACGAGGCCAATCTGCGGGAACGTACTCGGAGTGTCTGGGGCTACTTTTTGAGCAGGCGACCGGAGTTCACGAATGACCGATATGAACCAACCATTGACGACCACACAAAGGGACGAGAGCGGCTCATTTTCCCCAAACTGGGCGAGGTGAGGTGGTGGCATCAAGTTTTTAACAGAACCGATGATGAAATGAACGGGGAGCTCAACGCCTCTGCTGCCACAGCAGAAAGGGTGGCAGCTTACCAAGCCTCTACGGGGTTCTCTGAGAGCTCGGGTATTCCTTCCGAGTCGGCGTCAATGGTCTCGACGAGCCCGTCACCGCAACCTCCAGCCCTTACCTCTAGCCAGTCGGTGCTAACGGGTGTCGAAACAGCACATGCTGCTCTCACACCTGAAGCAAAAGTATCGCCGCCATCGCTAAATAAAAGCGCTAGCACTGGAGGAATGCCGGCTGCACTCGGGGCTTTACAAGATAAGATTTCTGGTTTGGCTATCGCTAAGGGTGTGTTTGGGGGGCACGCAAACAGTTCCAGCGCAGGGAGACAGGATGCAGACGACGTGGAGACGGTTGCAAGTGCGGCTGCAGTAGAACAAGAGTTGAAGAGCATGAGCTAGGAATTCTTGTGGAGCTCTTGCTGAAGGCTGTTTTTTAGGGAAGCATGTTTTTGGGAGGCCTGTATCTTTGAGGATGAGCGTTTATTTTAAGCCAGGCATACATACCTACACTCCTCTTACGAGCAGACTTTGGTTACAACATGAGCAGGTGCATTCCTAGCTGGTTGTTTATTCAGCGGAAGAATGACACGTTAAGCCGAATTCAAAAGACAATTGTCGTTGAAGATTAGTCCCTGGGAGCTAGTGCTGAAGAAGTATAAATGAAGTATCTGCATAACTGGGTGGTCTGCAGTGAGGTCATGGGCTGTTTGCTGGTCCTCCGTATGGGTGGGGATATAATATGATGTATCACGGTCTGCATCGATATCTCCATAGATGGAAAGATGAGAGAGAGTTGTTACTTGAAGCAGACAAGAGGGTACAAAGTGAAGTCGCAACACATGTCGTTGATGCTGGCCACCCTTGTCGTTGCTTCTTCAGCTGTCCCGCACTGGCTGTCAAAAAAGGAGGGGAGCACGGGGGAGGCTGTCAGCCTGGGACCGACGCACTGACCACCTGGGCCGTGACCAGCCTGGATTTGTTAGGCCGCGCTCCTGGCTCCTGGTCGCTGGAGAGCTCTCGCCTTGACAGTCCCCTCGCCGCCCACCCTCTGACAACCATCCCATCCAACATCACTTTGGGAATAAACATTCAACAAACTGCCCGGCGTCCTCCCATATCTTGTTGCATTCCACTCCAGTGTGCTGCTGTACGGTCGCCGGCGCGCTTGCCTAATTCCAGCATCGACATTGACACCCAACCCCGGGGAAACAGAGACCAGACCACACCGCAGACAGCTCTCTCTCAGGTGGGCTGCATTACTTGTAGCGCCCCGGTCGGCAACTCCCTCCCACTCTTCAGATTACCCATTGCATCACTTTCCACACCACACGCGATCCCGGCCGCCTTACCCAGCGCCCTGCCCAAACCACGGCCCGGATTCCTCACCAGCACAAACAAACATACCACCAAGATAAACATAATCACCCCCGACTCTTGGCATATTCCGCGCTTCTTTCAACCACTCGATACCCCCACAACAGCCGCCCACCATGGCTGATGCAACCAACCCCAGCGATGAGCTCTATCCCATCGCCGTCTTGATCGATGAATTGAAGGTATGGCGGTGACAAAGCTCCCAGTCTTGTGGCCTTTTGTTGGTTAACTTTTTCTCCCAGCACGACGATGTCCTGCTTCGCCTCAACGCGATTCACCGACTCTCGACCATTGCTCTTGCGTTGGGCCCTGAGCGCACTCGCGACGAGCTCATCCCCTTTCTCGACGGTCAGCCAGCCCCATCCCGTTTGGTGCACTCTTCTTGGTAGATGGACGAAACACTAACCTGCTTCTTGCTGCAGAAAGTGTCGAAGACGAAGATGAGGTTCTTGTGGCCCTCAGCGGCGAGCTGGGAAAGTTTATCGACTATGTCGGCGGTCCGGAGTGGGGTCACGTTCTGCTGTCTCCCCTTGAGAACCTTGCTGCCATAGAAGAGCCCGTTGTGAGGGACAAGGTAGGCGATTCCGATGCCGCTTTCCAGGATCGCAAGGGATATGGACTGACTTCTGCTGTCTCTAGGCTGTCGAGTCGCTGAACAAGATCTGCGTTGATCTTGATGCGCACCAAATCGAGGAGTATTTCATTCCGCTGGTGTTCAGACTCTCTAAGGCGGATTGGTTCACTTCCAAAGTCTCAGCGTGCGGTCTGTACGCGTCTCCTTACGCCAAGGTCAGCGAAGAAACAAAGCTACAGCTCCGTCAAGCCTTCTCACAGCTTGTCCACGACGAAACACCCATGGTGCGCCGCCAGGCTGCCACTAATATGGCCAAGTTTGTAAAGGAGATTGCTCCCCCACTCGTCATCTCAGAAATGATCCCTCAGTTTCAGCACCTTGTGACGGACGATCAAGACAGCGTCAGACTCCTTACGGTTGAGATCCTGGGTGCCATCGCCGAGAGTGTTCCCAAGGAGCAGCAAGCCAGCCATGGCGTTCTTCTGAGCTCGCTTCGTAGCTTGATTGAGGACAAGAGCTGGAGAGTTCGGTACATGGTTGCAGACAGGTTCGAAAAGGTGTGTATGACCTTGTTCGACGTTCACGGGAGCATGGCTAACTAGACCACAGATTGCCAAAGCTGTGGATGAGGAAGTTCTGACCAGAGACATGGTCCCTGCTTTTGTGAAGCTGCTCAAGGACCACGAGGCTGAGGTGCGGACAGCCATAGCAGGCCAGATTCCGGGCTTCTGCACCCTGATACCCAGAGAGCTTGTGCTGAGTGAGGTCTTGGAAACAATCGAGACACTTGTCAACGATACCTCTCAACATGTCCGTGCCGCTCTTGGTACACAAATCAGTGGCCTCGCGCCCATCCTCGGGAAGCAAGAGTACGTCAGTCGTGATTGGTCTCAGGACGCACTCGCTAATCAGCATACAGAACCATTGATCATCTGTTGCCCATGTTCATTCAGATGCTCAAGGATGAGTTTCCGGAAGTCCGTCTTCACATCATTTCTAAGCTTGAGCTGGTAAATAAGGTTATCGGCATCGACCGGCTCTCCGAGTCCCTTCTTCCAGCCATTGTTCACCTTGCCGAGGACAAGCAGTGGCGTGTTCGTTTGGCCATAATTGGGCACATGCCCTTGCTTGCCGGCCAGCTGGGTGTTGGGTTCTTTAACGAGAAGCTCAGCAGCCTTTGCATGGGCTGGCTTGGCGATACCGTCTTCTCCATCCGTGAGGCTGCTACTCACAACCTTAAGAGGTTGACAGAGGTCTTTGGTGTTGAGTGGGCCAGCCAAAACATCATTCCAAAGGTTATGGAGATGGGTAGACACCCAAATTACCTGTACAGGATGACCACATGTTTTGCTATCTCGGTGAGTTGAGCTTCCTCTCTGGGTGTCATTATGAGTAAGTGCTGACAGCATCAACAGACCTTGGCCAGCGTTGTCACCTTGGATGTTGTCGCCGACAGCATTCTTCCCATGCTTGAGAAGCTGACCGGTGATGCTATCCCCAACATCCGGTTTAATGTTGCGAAGACATACACCATAATCATCGGTGTCCTTCGCAGGTTGCCCGCCGAAGGTACCATTTTCACTCTTGAGAAGGCTGGTGCTCCTTTCACCGCATCCCCACGGGGCCAGGGGCTGATTGACGAGCGTGTCCTGCCATGCCTCGAGAAACTCAAGGACGACGAGGATATCGACGTCAGGTTCTTCGCCGCCCAAGCTATCGCGGCCGCCAGTGGGGCTCCTCCTGCGGCTGGCGGGGACCCGATGAACACATCACCATAGAGCAAGAACTTTAATGAAGCAATTCCCAGATCCAATTCAACAACTTTTCCCCCGGCCCGTCCCCATCTATATTTGTATCCCATCTGTCCTAGGTCAGCATCCGATTTACGCGCGCATATGCGCCCTTGGGATTGTTTGGGTCGCTCGATGAGCCTTCCCAGCGTACAGTTCTGCATCAGGGGAGGTTGTGTACTGGAAGTGGAAAACAAAACGAAAGCGAAGCAGCGGTTATGACATGTTGAGGTTACTGTGAGCTGGGTGGGTTAGTGGTGAGTGTACAGGTTTACAGCCAAAAAATGGTCTTTTTTTGCAGTTGTATGGATCGCGAATAGGGGGGAGATGAAGGTGAAGGGGGGCATAAAGTAACCGAGTTATACCAATAGACCGTTTTTTTTTCTCACTCTATGGAAACAAACCCCTGGGTATCATTTATTTCTATTTTTGTTTTGTTTTTGTCGTTTTAATGTTGGTCTCTACTCAACAACGACCTTTTCAAAACACAGCGTCGAGATGGTCTGCCCTTTGACACCCCCAAAGCTGAAACTAGGGTAGTCTACCCTGCCTGCCATTTTCAGTTTGGTCTTTCCGTCGTTGGGGGCGGTCGAGGTCTCGAACCAGGTGCGGAGTTCGGTCTCGGTCCAGTTGCAGGACGTGACGAGGAAGACGCCGCCCGTCTTGAGGAGCTGGAGGACGCGCTCGCCGTAGCCCTCGTTGATCCTGCGGCCGAGGGAGTCGGTTTCGGAGGAGAGGGAGACGGCGTCGAAGGTGCCTTTGTCGAGGACGAGGTCCCAGCCGGTTGGGGGGGAGATGGAGGGGATGTCGCCGTTTAGGACGTCCCAGACTTTGAACTCTACACTCTTGAGATTTTCATTCTCGCGGGACTGGGCGATGGATTTGGCGAGGGAGATGGAGTGGGGGGAGTAGTCGACTCCCAACAGGTGGCCGGACCAGCCGTCGTCGCGGAGGGAGAAGAGGAGGGACCCGTTTCCGCAGCCTAGGTCAAGGATGGAGGCTGTGCTGGGGGTGAGGTCGTGCGGGGGCGGGTTGGGGGGGTGGTCGTCGTCTTCGTTGTCAGAGTCCGAGTCGTCGCGGTTGGGGGAGAGGTAGGACAGGATTTTGGCCTCGGCGTCCGAGTCGTCGAACCAGACTGTGCCCTCTAGTGAGGGGTCGGAGGTGTGGGTTGTCAGCTCGGTTGTGTAGAGGGCGTCCCAGCTATGTTCAAGTCGTTAGCAGGGGGGTTGAGGACGGAGGGCTGAACAAAATGAAGGGGCTCAAACAGCATACTAAGCTTTTGTCCCCAACTTGGAAGGCTCAAGATGTGCAGGCTTAGACTCGGCCATTTTTGTTTCTTCTCCTCTGCTGTCTTTTCTCCAACCGGAAACAAAAAGAAATTCTCAGCTGTCGCAAATCTGAAGCTATTCCCACAGGCGCATCGCGGGGTCACCAAATCCCATAATTCTCAAACCCCCGGCAGTAAATTGCGCGCGCGCGCGAAATCCTGAGTGGTGGGGCCTAATTATCCCCCAAAGTGGAAAGCGGTGAACCCCAAAGCTGACAACCAACCCCTCCTTTTTTCCCGTCCCAACTTGCTTCAAGCCCGTCCCTTCCCCCCCTTTCAGTCCTGTGGTTACACGCACACAAACCACCCCGAAGCTGTGGTGGAAGCTTATTTCAAATCCAGTGCCGGCGATGACCAATTTCTTCCATAAAGCTCTCACAACACAAGACATATTTTACGTAAAAAAAGACATCAAGCCAAGCATAGAAAAGCTTAGCTTTGGCTTCTGGTGGGTGTAAGCGCAACTGTAAAATTTATATAAAAAAAGCTCTGTCTCCCCTTGATCTCGGAGAAAAGAGAAGGGATATCATTCCAAATTTCTTTCCATATTCATCGTCAGTCAGATACAGAAAAAAACCGTAAAAAGGAAAAATTATCTCTTGAGGCTTCTTCCTTGAAACTTCCACCCCATCCGTCCGCCGAGCTATATCTCGGTCTTATACCTCTCGCCCCCTTTTCAGTCCAGTGGTATCACCCGCGCACTTCTCTCCAAAATTCCAAAAAAAGACATGCATTTCTCGCAACCTTTTTATCAACTTCAGGCCAGCGTCCAGACCGGAGCCTTAATCAGCACCTGGCGACCCCTGACCTCAACAGCAACGAACCCGGCAAAGCGAACCTTGCCACCGTCCTTGGACGGTGGTGCAATCTGGTTCGCATCCACGACACTCCCCTTTCTGCTCCCCGGCGCGCTCCCACCTCCGCCTAGCACGCTCAACATGCCCGCTCTAGACTTGTCATTGCGCCGGGCATCTTTGTCTTTTCCTCCGCCCTCTTTCTCATCACCTGCACCCTCGTCATCTCCCTCTGCCGGCCGGGCCTCCAGAGCCGGAAGCCCTTGCTTCTCAACCTCCATGATGTCCGGCTGAATAGGTGACTCCGGCAGTGGATAGGTGATGGCAACATCGCGGCTCTCCAGCGGCAGGTTGGCCGCAATGCCCACGGCTAGCTCCACAATCATACTGGCACTGCCATCTACGCCAGGCGGCGGTGGGTTAGACAAATGGTGAAACAGAGATGCCGTCAGGTCCGTCGTCGCTCGCCGAGTGAAGTCGGCCTTGTAGTTCACCGCCTCCCCACTGCGCAGAGCGTCTTGCAACCCTTCCAGCGTAGCCATGCGCCAGCTCACCACCTTGCTCGTCAGCGCATCATACTCCTCTTGACTGCTCAACGTGTAGCTAAAGTTTCTAATGTTCCGCTCAATCATCTTCAGCTGCCGACTCAGCTCAGGCTCGAGACCTGGGTGAAAACACCGGTTGAAGATCTCTTCTACGAGCCACCGGGTTATTACCGCCCGCCCAACAGCTGTCATCTCTTGTTTGCCCGTCTTGAGCGCTTCTGGGCTAACATAGGGGACTAGCCACTGCGGAAGTGATTGCCAGTCCTTTCGAATGTTGAACGAGAGGTTATTGATGGCGCCATTGAGGCGGTTAAAGCGGGTCGAGTACTCGCTATCGTCGAGAGAGGTTCGGCTCTGAGACATTCGCTGGTTGGCAATGGCGTTTTGAAGTTGCTCAACTTGGCCACTCAATTGCTCAATCTCCTTCTTCCCGTCAAAATAGAGACGCTTTACATTCTTGTACTTGGTCACTATTGCATGGTTAGCTGAGTTTGCACAGGCCGGAATAGGAGAGTACAACTGGTCGTACAAAGGTCTTTAAACGCCTTATCTGGGTCTTCTCCACGGTCACTTGGTGGAGGTTGAGGGCTGTTGCGACCTGCAATATCCCCTGGCCCGTCAAACTGTCTATCTGGTACATTGCTCGTCCGGAAAGCCGGGTTCGCCCCAGGGGCATTAGGAGGCTGTGGTAAGGGGTTGTTCATGTTGGGTTGCTGGCTCTGGCGATAGCTGGGCGGTGGCCCAGGCGGGGCTTGGGCAGGGTCCCGTAGTCCTTTGTCTGCCTCTTGGGATCGTCGTGCCGGGGGTTGTCCGCCCGTGGGTGGAGCCATGGACTGTGGTTGTTGCTGCGGGGCTTGACCTTGCGCCGCCGATTGTGGATTCGGCCGGCCGGGGATATCCTGTGCCTGATGTGGGTAGCTTACCGCCGAGGACGTCTGCGAACTCTGAGCTTGGATGTTCGACGCCGAACGCTGGTCTGAGTCGGTAACAGGAGACTCATGCGACAGTTGCGAAATCGTCTCGGGATTCTGCTGTTGGGGATTGGCTAGATGTCCACTAAATCCGCTCTGGTATTGTGACTGCTGCGGGCTTGAATAGTGGTACTGCTGCTGCTGTTGGAGGTGAGGGTGCTGTTGTTGTTGTTGCGAATGAGGGGACAATTGCTGGTTGGGTTGCGGTTCGAAGATGGCCTGCCCGTATTGCTGCTCGGGCGGTGTGTGGTCGTTGTGCTGAAAGTGGCCCTGATGCTGACGGTATGCACTTTCGTCAGCCGAGTAAGGTGAGTTGTCCGAGTCCGAAGGGGGAACAGGCCGTATGGTGGGATGCTGTTGGATATCGTGGGGGTTCTGCAGGTGTAACTCTTGGTCAGATCCGTCAATCACGTACGACTCGCGGAAGTCTCCTACGCCTTGCAATGGGGATGGTTGAGATGGAGGCGCCTGGTTCTGCCAATCGAGCTGTTGCTGGTCGAGCGAGACTTGGGACACCTGGGTGAGACCAGTCCGGAGGCTTGGTGGTGCTGGCGGGGGAAGGCTCACGCGCTTCGAATTTCTACGGTTAACGCCGGGAGGACTGTTGTAATTGTTTTGCGGAACCTGGGGTGCGTGGTCGCGACTGAAGATGTTCTTGACCAGCTTGCGAGTGGACGACTTTTGCTTTTGTGGTGCTGGCGGGGGTTGCTGCTGTTGCTGGCTAAAGAGGGGTTGCGGGGGTCCAGTTATGGGGGACGAGATGCTTTGTCCGCCCGCGGCCGAGAGATCCTCAGCAGACCCGGATCCGAAGGGGTGCGAGTGGCGCGGCGAGTGTTGGGATTGCTGCTGACCCTGCTGCTGCTGCTGCTGATGATGATGATGTTGTTGTTGTTGGTGCTGCTGTTGCTGGGGGTGGTGATGGTGAAGTTGGGTCGTCACGGGGGAGATTTGGGGATAGCGTTGGGATTGGGAGCGCGAGACCTGGTCAGCGTAATCGTGCTCCCGTGGCGGGCGCGAGTCAAATGCTGCCCCCGAGACACTGTTGGAGTGCTGCAGCTGTAACAGAAGGAGGTCAGTAAGAGACAAGAGGGCCGGCAGGACTGCCCGTAAATACTGACCAGATGGGGGGGAGGCGGTGGAGGTTGTTGATGGCTTGACCGGTTGTTGCTGGTGTCGTGCTGAAAGGATTCGCTAGAGCTGAAGGTCGGGTTGGGCGAGGCTGAGGGGGGGTTTGCAGCAGCGCTCCCACCCGCACTCGGGGGGTTCGTCACAGCTGATCCGGGGACTGATGGCTGCTGCCCTGATTGTCCAGCGTCCTCGGCGGCTGTGGTGCCGACGAGGTTATGCTGAGAGCGATTGTTCTTGCCAGACCATGGATAACTCCTGGACGGCATTATTGCGCTGCTGGCGAGGAGAAGCGAGTGTGGCCGTCCAAAGTGTTTGTGCCGGTGGTTTGGTTTGTGACAAAGCACACGCCGGGAGCCGGACGGTGCGGCGCTGGCAGCGGGGTCTAACAGCCAAAAGACGGGATGAAAGGTGAGTGCGCAATGTCTAAAAGCCGCAGACTCGACCTCAGAGTGACCCTTCTGATGCGTGACGATGGCTAAGCAAAGAGCAAGCGCAACGCCAGACAGAGCTGGGGCTTGGGGTAGCAAGGAACAAGGAAGCAGGGTAGCAACCTGAAAGGCAATCCAGGGTCAACAAAGCAAACAATTACGCAGCGTTATCCTGCGTAGTGTATCCGTAGCGATGACAGGCCGAAGCAAGTGGAGGAGGGGAATGAGATGAGACGAAATGGCATCCCAAAGATGCTGATGCACTTGTCGAGACTGCCCGGTGGACGTGCCCCTCAAACAGGTGCGCCGGACGTGCAGGGTGCAGCCGCACGGAGGTCCAATGATTTGGCGGCGTCAGCCTTCCAAGAGGACAGGGAACAGGGGCTCAAGGGGAGCTCCTCTCACGCCTAGCGGGGCTGTGTTCTGTCTTTTCAGAACGATTCGAACCTCTTGACGCTTTCCATGTTATCATGCAGTTGGTTTGTGTTCTCTTCAATAAACGATGCAGGTTGGCAATCAAGGAATTAATTCCGTCTGCAGTATTCTGCCTCAGGTTGACGAGCAGCATATCAGATAGGCGCCAAAAAGGGGTTTCTTTCACCAACCTTGGGCTTCAAGTGACGATGCCTCACTACAACCTCTCCTCACCACCGAACCATCTTGGACTTTACCTATCATGATTCGAAAAAAGACCAATCATACCCAACACCTGCCAACCTGAAGTCCGTTTGTTCCACAGCATTGGTACCCTCTGCTCTCCATCTGTGCCTCTCTTCACCACCCACCCCATCGGCACTACAGCAAGCTGTGCCGCCCCCGCCATATCTAAACGCCTGTGTACAGAACCCTTACTCCGTACCAAGTATCCTCAACTCGGGGATAGGATCTCAACCCACTATAACACTGCATACAAGAGAGATTGGGCAACATATCACAGCTCCCCATCATTTCCTTCCAATCTACCGTACATATCTCCCACAGCATCAAATCTCGTTGGTTATCAGTAGCATTCCGCCATATCTCACTGCCCCTCCATCCAAAAAGCCAAGAACAAAACGGTCGCCTAAAAAGAAACCCTCACCACGCAGATCACCACTCCTTTCAGACGCTTGCTCTCCCCCCTTTTTGATATCCTGCATCTTTTTCAAGTGCCAAAAACTTGGACAAGCTTCCATTCTACTCCAGGTCAAAGCCCTCTTCTGTGCTTGCTAGGAAAGATGTGGGCCCACTCACTCAGCCCAGAAGCCAAGTTCTAAATATAGGCCACTAAGCTCCGTAACGCTACTACACTAGCCTCAGGGTTCAGTGGGGGTGAACATCAACAACGACGGCAACGACGGCAACAAACATGGCTTGCTGAAAAGTCCACCGCCAGCACTTTTTCAATACGAGAAGTGATGATCTTTGAAAACTTGATATCAAAAAGGGTTCAGCTTGGAGATAGGCGGTGAGGGTAGGTACAGGCTCTTGAAATAGAATCAGGATGGTTGTTTCGATAGACTCGGATCCTCAACTCATGAATATGTGAGATGTCCTTGATTATCACGATATCAAACACTGCCACAGAACTCCCAGACCTGTTAAAAACAGAATGGCAGTGATGTTCATCGTCAAATTCTGACTCGGGAAACATATTCCACTCTGGCTCTGGCATGTGACAGTTAACCTTTCTCAAAATCTCAGCATGACTTTCATAGTATACAACCGCATCATCACCACATCTCGGGGACTGATAAGATAGGACTGAAGACACTCTTCCTACTCCCGTTCCTTCACCAAGTCATACAGACCATTGGCAATCTACCCCTCCCACCCAAATACCCATCACCAATAACCTCTCCATTACCCCTCCCCCAAGAACACCTCTCAACATCTCCCCCATCCCTCACTCTAGTCCAAAATCCCCACAACAGTCGCATTCACCGGCCCCATCTCCCTCAAGCAAATCTTATCCCCATGCTTCTTCACCCCCTCATAATACTCATATATAATCACCTCCCCCGTCGCAATCGTAGTCGGATAGTCCCAAGGCACGGTAAAGTTCCTAATTTCCCCCCATCGAATCAGCCCTTTTTTCCCCACCCCCCTTTCCCCTTACCCACCCCCCCATCGTCCCCCCGGAGAAGAGAACTTACTCATCATCATGATACGTATGCGCAACCTCCAAGCTGAAATTCCCCGGGTGCTCAAAGCTCGGCACCGACGACTTGAAGAAAGTCCAGTCGTCGCGCCAGCAAAGCTGGTACCCCGCCACCGGGGTCCGCCAGTCGGTCGTGCTGAGGGACCCGTTCACCCCGTCCCAGGACCAGGTGTGGTGGCAGCTGCAGGAGGTGACGTTGTTTTCGCGGACCGAGTTGGGGTCGTGGAGGGCGACTTCCACAGCACACCGTCAGTACCACCACTTCAGGGGGGATGGGGGATGGTCGAGATAGGGAAGGGGTAAAGGGGGAAAAGGGGGGGGCTTACAGTAAAGTTCACAAGAGTAGTTCGTCTTGTTGTTGGGGCGCTTGCAGTCGAGGGCGATGTTGGTGACTTGATACGGGGCAAAGTTGAACTGGGCTGTGGGGACGAGTTTGGCTGGTTTGACGAGGGCGGCGGAGAGCTGGTGGAGGTAGTTGATGGATGAGGGGCCGGCTGAGGCCAGAGCCACTAGGGGGAGAAGGTTGGTGAAGTACATCGTGCGTTCTGAATGTTCTTCTGATGGAAATGGTTTGTCTCTGGCGATGTCAGGTCAGTCTATGGAAGGGGAAGACACGAGGACGAATATATACCTGGCAAACTGTCACCGATGAAGCTCTGGGTATCAAACGCAGTTGACGGCTCAACACACGTGCGTTGTTGATATTCAGATGGAGCCTGTGAGGTGCTTGAGTAACCGTACGGTGGTAAGAGTTACTCCGGGGCAAGTCGACAGTTAAGAGATGGTGTTTCTCTTTGATGGTATGGCCCAGAGCAGCTGGGTTATCCGTTCTTTTTATCTTGCTCTGCCATCATTTACCACGCCCATCTTTCCGGTGTGATAGATATGCCAAGTCTGAAAGATGTTTGCTGTGACACCAATACTTGTACTTATATCCTCCACACGAGGAGCGGTCAAGACGGATACCACTAGAAGGACAGCCGAGTTTTATTTGTGGACAGGTCAAGAAAGAAACCGTTGTTGTGGCCATCGACGTTACGTTCTGCACCCTTGGAAAATGCAAAAGGCGCGATGTTGAAGAAAGGCGGATATGATCCTCGTGTCATCCCATACATGACCGCTGGGCTCCCAAAATAGCGTTATACTGCGAAGTGCCCTTTCTTTCCTCGAGGGTCTAGACGTTGGCCTGTTTTGATATCTCGGCCGACCGGCCCACAACTTGCTCTCAGTAATTCACAAGTCAATACAGCAGGCACTAAACGGAGTCAATAGACACTGAGAATAATGTTTCCCCGCCAACACAAATCAGAAATCAACAAAGACAAAATGCCAAAGGTAGCACCAAAGTCAACATACCTGATGTAACTATGGTACGATGCCTGCCAGAAAGCAAAGTGGCACAGCAACCATCGGAGACATTGCGGATGTCACAAAGCTAAATCGATGGAGTGTGACAGGCAGGTCAGTTAAGCACTTTGCTCAATCATGCCCTTCTTGACCAACCTCAAATACTGCCCGGGTGGTCATAGGCTGCCTAGAACTCGCCGGCGGTGAGCAAGACATTACAAGCCAACGCAACTGTGGAACTCACGGTTGGACGTAACTTGGTCAAAACCACCAGTCTGGATGACGTACCCCTTGACTGCCTTATCAATAGGAAGTGTAAGCCTGGCACTGTCTCAAACACACGGGGACTTCTGCCTGCTTTGTGGAAATGGAAAAAGAAAATCACCCAGTCTAACATTCTGAAGCGCAACTGAAAGCCATCTATTGGCAAAGTTACATATGTACAGAGCCTCAACCAACCCCGCAAACTCATCACCCCGCCATGTCCCCTTTTCTGGTCTACATTCAAGCCAGGGGATAAGATGTCTGTGGGAGAGACTCAAGGTGCTTTCTGTGATGCTCGTTGGCCTGTGATTATGATATCAGTCTGATTGCCCGTAGCTTTCATAGCTCCTTGCCCTGTGGCGCCCTTGTCAGACTTACAAAAGGAAGGCCGCAATAACCGCAAGGCGTAATCTCAGCCTTGTCCAAGTTGATGTAAACCTTGGGGTGTCCAGCAGGACCACCGCCACCGTCGCAGGCAACGACCCGGTCGTGCGTCCATCTGACGGGCTCCTTGTGGATGAGCTCGATAGCAGCCCAGGGGCGGGGCTAAAAAAAAAAGACATAGTTTCAGCATGCATCCTCCCAAAAACAACATAGTTCCCCCCTCCTTTTGCCGTATCAATCCATTCCCCCCATTCCTCTATTTCCCTGACATCATGCCTCTCCCCCTTCCAAGTCCAACGCTCGGGTATCAACCAACCTGGTTCTCAAGATCCGTCTGCTCGAAACGAGGGCCAGTCATGGCATCAGCACGGGGTCTCTGGGTGCGCGACCAAACCTCGGTGCGGTTGGGCGCCTGCTGGACAGTAGTGGGCGCAGGGCCACCGGTGACCTGGGGTACTTTCTCGTCGCCCTTGGTGGGCACCGTCGTGGATTCCAATTGCCGGGCAGTAGCAGTAAACGACCGCTTCGAAAGTTGGCGAGGCAGGCCCTGGGCCACCGCCCGCATCCGTAAGGCGAACATTTTGTGGAGGTTGTGGTTTGTGGTGTTTCGTTCGCAAGGTCCGTCGCGAGAAGCAGCTCTGGGAACCTGTGGCCCAGTAGGGAAGCGTCAATTGACGTTGATGGAGCTCCAGGTGTAGCTCGCTGCGGTGCGGGAACAGCTCCGGCTAAACATCGGATTTCTGCTCATATTCCCTAACCCTGGAATCAGAAGCAGGATTAGCCTTGCCAAGTATTTGGGTTCCACTTCTAGGCTTGGCTAGCTGACCCAAGATGCATCACCTCAACTTTTTTTTTTGAACATCGCATTGCGACCGCCGCCCCCGAGCTTCACGCGCAATAGACATTTGTTTACTTTAACACAGCTACATTCCACCACCACCTCTCTTCTTAACATTAAACCAGACTTTCATTCCCAACCCCCTCCGGACCATATAAATCCCAACCTCCAACCCTACGCCTGTGTGTCGCGTATCGACACCCCACAACACCGCAACCATGCCACCCCCCAAATCCACCCAAAATGAATACCTCCTCCCCATGAAAGAAGCCCCCGCCGCCAAAACCATGTCCTCACGCCTCATGACCATGAAGTTCATGCAGCGCGGCGCTGCCCTCGCCGCCGCCGCCAATAACAACTCCCCAACCACTCCCGTTTCCGCAACCACACCGACCCCCGCAACCCCCCAAGCGGCCGGCAACGAAAACGACAACGACATCACCTCCTCCTCCAAACGCCGTAAATTCTCCCACGCCCCTTCCTCCGCCTCTACCGCGGCCCCTCAACCCCCCCTCTACGACCAAGCCGCCATCCAAGCCGCCATCGAAGAAGAAGAGAAGAAGCGAATCGCTGCCGTGGAGAGGAGAGCCGCAGAGTTGGGTGACAGCCACTGGGTCCTGGAGGGTGTGAACACAGGAGTGAAAAAGGGGGCAAAGAAGCCGTTGAATGTTGTGCAAGTGGGCTTTGCGCAGATTGACTATGGCTCATCAAGGACAACTTACTCTGGTGTCGAGGACGACAACCCATTCGAGGAGGGAAGCGCGGGTGCTGCCCCACCGTTGATGAGATTCAACATGAAGAAGGCCGAGGCATGTTTTTTTTTCAAGACACATCCTGCCATACTACAACTGACAATGCATGAAACAGGCCCCCAAGATCAAATCCGAAGATACCGACGAGAGCTCCAGTTCCGACAACTCTGACTCCGACAGCGGCTCAGTCTCCGATGATTCCGACTCCGATTCCTCCTCAGATGAGAGAAAGACTACGAAGAACCGACAACAACCCCGTGGCAGGCAACAGAACACCAACGACTCCGCCTCCCGAAAACGCGGCCGATCATCTACCCTTTCGACCAAAAAAGCGGAAGAGCAAAAACGCGCCCAAGAACTCGCCAGCCAGAGAAGGAAAAAGGAGGTCAAGCTCAACAGGCTAAGCACGATATCTGGCGCAGGGGGGTTAAGCTCAATATCTGGCGGTGGTGGGCTCTCCTCCCCGAAAACGTCAATGGCAAACATGACTTGTCATGGGTGCGGTAAGCTGGGGCATAAGAATGCGGATTGCCCTAATAAGAGGAGACGCTAGATCACGAGGGGGCGTGACTCTCTCTTTTTGAAGTTCGTTCAGGAAGTTCCAGATGACGATGATGGATATCGTTCCAACTGGGGGCAAGTATTTGGTTTGAAGATGTCATCTTCCATGCCCCAAACGTATTTTTTGAGTAATATTGTTTACTCTAAAAGGTCCCCCGTCCGTCCATCCGTCCGTTCGTCCGCCTGGGGGGTAATGGCCAAAAAAGTTTCACGGAACTTTGCCTTTTTGCTAATTTGCAAATAATAATGATATCCCCCCTTTTTCCCAGGGAGCAAAGACAGCCCCTGTTTCTTTTTTTTTCTCTCACTCGGCCAAGCTTCGGGAAGCTGGCTCTTTCTTTCTCAGAAGCAAATGGGAAACGGCTCAAAAGTAGATGATCCCTACAAAGAGGCAAAAAGGCAGTTTTGGAGAATACGAGAAAAGTTGGAGGGGAATAGATAGTTCTGGATTCGATATCCCGAACGGCTAGCTGGCTCCCTTAGCAGAGCAAATATATGAAATAGTGATTATCATCTCTTGTAGCTTGTTTCGTCGAACATGTACCTACCTTCCTAAAGTAGTGAGAGTTACTTTTTTGACGCGTCTTCGATTTTTGTTTTCTTGTTCCGAAGTCAGAATCCTGGGAAAATCCGGTGGTCTTGGTTTTCTTTTCCACACCGAGCGCCTGACGTAGTAAGCCATGGTGGTGCTATCTATCTTCTTACCTGCCATAACTGATGGATCTCAACAGTTTCAGATCCAGGTTTTTTTTCTTTCCATGTTTGGGTCTACTTTTTTCTGGTTCATGTGCTTTGGGCCTGCCTCTTCCTGGGGTAGCGTAGGCTGACTGTCCTCTTCCTAGACTTGAACCGGAGCATACACACCGCGGAGTGCTTCACTCGGCTGCTTCTCTCCTCTTAGTTCCAACACCGGCGTGCCTCGTTTACAAATTTTGCGAGCGAGCAATGTGGATAGGCTGGACGGTTCTTGTATTTTTGCGTCGGCTTCACTCCGGAGGGATTGTGACGAGGCTTGCATCATCGGTTGTCGGGGAGAGTAGCCGGATGATGGCTAGTCTCCTTCTTCTTGTGATCCTCTGCTTGTGTGTGTGTGTGGCTGTCTCGTCTATATCTGAAGCCACCACCCAAAGTTCGTCTTTCTTGCCTATGCCCTCTTTGGTTAAAGGTTAAGCTCTCTTGTCGGTAAGTAAAGGAAGAATGACGATGATTTGAGTTTTATACCAGGGCCGGTCAGGCAGAAACGGTTGCATGCAGGCAGCATGCCCCTTCTTTTTTGCCGCTATTTCGAAAAGGAGGCTGCCAGGAGGGGTGGGGGGGGGGGGGGAGTTGTTCCCGTTCGACTTTCTTGTGTGGTCTATGCCATGTCATGCCGTTGTGTCGACTCCCCTCCTAAACCGGGTAAAGTCTGGAAAACCTGGATAGACCCGAGAGGTAGGTTGGGAACTGGAGTCCATCCGGCGTGGTGGGAATTGTTGTCCGGTACGTTGCAAGGGGGGGGGCGCGAGTATAGCAACCATGTATCGGAACGCTGGCCCCAGGCCGTGTCTGTAGCAAGCAAGGCTGGGCGATGGTGGTTTTGTCTTCTAAAGGAAGTCAGTATACTTTTCATGACACCCATGGGGATAAATGTAGGAAAAAAAAAAGAAGTGCAACACACACCGGGCCGGATCGACCCTTCACCACAAATGCGGCCATGACCGACCAACTCTTGGCACCGGGGCGATCATCCACTTACAACTATGCAAGGCCGTTATGTGTCTCCTTTCTGGCATAAGATCCCGTCGTCATCAATTTCTGAAGCAGTCTGTTAGTTGTACCTCCTCGGCTTATCGAACTGCTGATGGCTACAGAAGAGATCGTCATGCGTGTGATTTTTGGTGTCGAGTCAAACTTCATGCTTGAAACTCGTCATTGAAAAGTGTTCAGCAGCATGAACCAAGCAATGTCGTCAACATGTCGAACTACGTATGCACAATGGAGGCTAGATGAGTAACTGCATGTGCGTTGTGTACCCGAAAGCTGCTGTAGCTTTGCCGTCCCCTTCCGATTGCATTCTGCTGCATGGCCGAGCAATAATCACAGGTGTGTAGGACGTAGCCGACGATAGCACGGGACAGAGGGACATCAGCCGGTGAGGACCAGCTTTGGAAGAAGTGTGGTTCGGCTCGGCCATCGCAGTCGCATCGCGGCAAACTGGCGGGTTGCTCCTAGATGTAACCAGTGAGTGCTTCCCGCGAGGCCGTGGTGGTTGCTGCCATGGTCGCAGCTCTCAACCATCATGTGCATCGAGACCATATCTGAGATTGCCGTGTGGGAGTTTTGTGGCTCATCGAAATGATCTCTGAGCGCCCTGATGCCGCTTGTTGCTTACCTAAAGAACTGTGAGAGGCTTCACCTCGGTTGACGAACGGCAATGAACACCACCAGCCTTCCATGGTTGAGATCTAAACGCATGTTGAAGGGAGCGGTCAGGCTCGCTAATGTCTCTCAATATGGAATCGCTGGCCGAAATGGTTGAGGTGTTTTCTGTCCACATTTGATCAAGGTGTTCGGGTGCGTGGCACCACCCACCACTCCACCCCGGTCGCTTCTAGAAGGTGTGGTGCCTTTTTTCCCTTGAAAAGGGCGAGCTCCGAATTCATGCGAGCCTGCCAACCCCAGTGACCCACGTGCATGGTACACTCTGGACAGCCTCAAGGAATAGCAAGACACACCTTGCCGTGTAGGGGTTATGATGACTGGGAATCACGTTGGCCATGATGGAGAAGGCCGAGAAAGGAAGTCAGCTTAGGTTGTCGCTGATAACAGGCACCATCTGAGTGAGGATATCCCGTATGTCCCCGGCAGAGACATGATCGGTAGCGAGTGATTGGAAGGATAGTGGGATTTATAAAGAACAAATTGGATCTTGGATGGTTGGAGGTTGAATTATTTGAAAAGTCCCCTAAACCACGAACATGGGTTGCACCCCACCGACCAAGCCATCCAATCAACAGCTATTCTCCATGATCTTAGATAATCAGGGGTCTGGCTGCAGGTGAACGGGAACAAAACTACCCGCCTTCCGTCCTTCTCAGCCGTTGACCACATCCTATGGTTTGCAGTTTAGGTGCCGTTGGGCTACTGGTATCGATACCTAGGTGAGCTTTACTTGGAGTCAAGCTACATGGTGAGAGCGAGGTACGGCCCGCATCCCTTCATCTCCCTTCCGACATGCTTGGTTTGCACTCGCGCCGGGCAGACGCCCGACCTGGGCCACGGCCGGCAGAGTAATCTCCCGGCGCCGTGCCAGAGATCGTCTCTCCACAGCCAAAGGCGGTTACATTTTCTGGCAACCCAACTTATACCTCTGCGTCATGAAGTCTTCCAACACCTTCGGCACCGAACAGTAGTGACATATCAGCTGTGTTCAGACCAGACAATCCAACATGTCACAAGTCCCAACAGCTGTTCATCCACATGCCCAATCTGATTGTTGGGTTGGGTGCTCTTCGGTCTGCGTACCATTGCGGGCAGGTTTCAACATGCCATTCTTTGACGTTCGGAGTTGGTGCGACCGCCATGGGATTCTGACTAGGTGCCTCCAGTCTGCATCGGCACCCCTCGCCCTGGCTGAAGCTTCTCGGCCCATGGGCGCTACCCGGGATGGGTCGTCCGATATTAGGGAACAAGCGTAGCTCACAACTTCCATGACAGGCAGGTGTGGTCATAGCAGCACATGTACAGTAACCACCAGAGAAGGATTCCGTAACCGTCGAGATGTAGTGATGCTGGCGTCGTTGAGAACCTCCATGGGCACTCCTCCCTACACCTACCCCTGTCATGAACCCCTCCACCCCTCCAACCCATGATTCCCCACTCCACCCCGCCTTTAATCCACACCTCCCTTGTCCATATCACGAACGTTATCCTATCCTACACCTGCGAAGTGGACTTCGATCAAAGAACTGTTGAGGAACAAGTTATACCCATCGTTTTAGACAGAATACCAAAGCAACAAGCGGTTCGGTCCCATTCCAAGTAGCCGCTCATTTCCCGAGGCGCCGCTTTCATGTTGAACCCCTGACGAAAGACATCAAAATTAAAATTGACAGCGAAGAATTGAAGCTGTTGGAGCAGCCTACCTATCTAGCTGCCCACCTAGCTATATAAAGCCCAAGACATGGGACTTCCTGGCCGCTCTGGGTTCTCTCCATGTTGAACGTGAGATGTCTACCTAATAAGACCTGAGCACACGAAACGACCCAACCTGTCTGTGTCTTGTCTTTCTAATACGGAGACATTACTCACGACTTTGCCGCTTCGCCCACCACCTTCCGACACATCGTCTCAACTTCCCTTGTTCTTGTTGTCAGGCACTTCAGGTACCCAAATCCAATCTGTTTCCCGTCCTGTTTCGGAGTTTTAATCATACCGTGCAGGTTGCCGGCAGTGATTCCTGGATGCCGGTCACTGGTTGCCAGTAGATCTCCCCATCTCCACCGGTAGCGCTCCAGACAACAAGCGCAAAATACCACCCGATTTTGCTGCCTTTCAACTCGCTGGGACAGCTTCCATTAGCGCGCTACCGGCTCCACAGCTGCACAAACGCGCAGGGCTACCCACCGCATCACTCAGCGGGCATTCAAGAGTCCCCGCCGCCGCCGCCGCCGCCTTCTTCCGCTATTGCCTCCCTTCGCCGTCACTGGAAGTCGGTCACTCGGTCTAACCTGGAAGTTCCCACCTTGCAGACGGAGCCAGGCAGGTAAAAGCACGCGCAGGTCAGCTTGGTCGCCGCCCCCACCAATTTCTCCGGTCCACCTACCGCCCCGCAACAGCCTACCTACTCTCTGTCTGTCTCTTCTTCACCAAGACATCCCACTCTCTCTCTCTCGAAGCAGCCTGGAACTGCCTGAACACTAAGTGTCACGACCCCATATTCTTTGACCAGTCGAATGCTTGTTAGCCTCCTGCTCACAAGCCACCAACAAGACCTGCTGTCATCGTTTCTGTCTGGCTACGCCCAAAGGTAACACAAGTCTTATAATTCAGCACATCACAGCATGGCCAACTCCGAGGAAACGCCGCCGCCTTCCAGAATCGAGGTTGAGGTGGTGACCGAGAACCTCGAGACCCCCGAGCTGGATGATCGTTCATACCGTGTCATCCGTCTGCCCAACGGCTTGGAGGCTCTTCTGGTTCACGACCCCACCACTGACAAGGCCGCGGCCGCGGTTGATGTCAACGTTGGGAGCCACAGTGACGAGGATGATATGCCAGGAATGGCACATGCCGTTGAACATGTAAGCTTGCTATTACCACCCCGCACACTCAGGCTGCAGCCGCTAACTTTGATTGCAGCTTCTGTTCATGGGGACCAAGAAATTCCCTGTCGAGAATGCCTATCATCAGTACATGTCAAACCATTCTGGGCTCACCAATGCCTTCACGGCGACAACCTCAACCAACTACCACTTTGAGGTCTCTGCCAAGCCCAGCAACGATGAAGAGCCATCTGCCACCAATCCCTCACCACTGCTGGGAGCGCTGGATCGCTTTGCCCAGTTCTTCATCGAGCCACTGTTCTTGGAGAACACTCTGGATCGTGAACTGAGGGCCGTTGATTCAGAAAACAAGAAGAATCTCCAGAGTGACAACTGGCGTCTGCACCAACTCAAAAAGACTCTCTCCAACCCGAAACACCCCCACCACCACTTCTCTACCGGCAACCTTGAGACGCTCAAGACCATCCCCGAGGCAAAGGGTATCAACGTGCGAGACAAGTTTATTGAGTTCTATGAGAAACATTATTCTGCCAACCGCATGAAGCTTTGCGTCTTGGGAAGGGAGCCCCTGGATGTTTTGCAGGCTTGGGTGGCCGAGTATTTCTCTCCCATCAAGAACAAGAACCTGCCACGCAACAGGTGGGAGGATGAGGTTCCGTTCACAAAGGATCACTTGGGAGTCCAAATCTTCGCCAAGCCTGTGATGGATACTAGAGAAATTACTCTGAGCTTCCCCTTCATGGAGCAAGAGAATCTTTACGAGACGCAGCCTGGTGGATACATTAGCCATCTCATCGGCCATGAGGGCCCTGGCAGCATTATGTCCTATGTCAAGTCCAAGGGATGGGCCAACGGTCTGGGCGCCGGGCCAAGTAACATTTGCCCCGGGTCTCCGGACCTGTTCGACATCGGGATCACCCTGACAGAAGAGGGACTGAAAAACTACAAGGAGATCGTGAAGGTCGTGTTTGAGTACATCGCCCTTCTGCGAGAGACGGAGCCGCAGCAGTGGATCTTTGATGAGCAAAAAGGCATGGCAGATGTCAATTTCAGGTTTATGGAGAAGTCTCGAGCTTATCGGTTTGCAAGTTCCGTCAGCCAAAGGATGCAAAAGCCAATCCCCCGCGAGCATCTGGTGTCTGGGTATTCCAAGCTTCGCAGATTCGACCCGAAGTTGATCAAGCAGGCTTTGGGCTGGCTACGACCCGACAACTTCTTTCTCGTTGTCACCTCACGGAATCCCCCTGTTACGTTGGACAAAAAGGAGAAATGGTATGGGACGGAGTACACCGTCCAACCAATTCCGGAGACTCTGATGAAGGAGGTCCAGGCGGCAGCTACCAGCACACCTGACAACCGAAAAGCGAAGCTTCATCTCCCCCACAAGAACCAGTTCATCCCAACAAAGCTAGACGTGGAGAAGAAGGAAGTCAAAGAGCCTGCCATCGCCCCGCGGATTATCCGCAACGACTCTATGGTCCGGACCTGGTACAAGAAGGACGATACGTTCTGGGTCCCGAAAGCAAGTATAATGGTTAGCTGCCGGACACCAATCACCTCACTGGCGTCTATGCGGGCAGCAGGCCGTCTTTTCACAGATTCGATCAAGGACGCGCTCGAGGAATACTCATATGATGCCGAACTTGCTGGTGTTGAATATACTGTGATCTGCGAGGAGCGGGGAATGTATATTGAGGTCTCTGGCTACAACGACAAGCTTTCGGTGCTCCTAGAACAGGTTCTGGTCACCATGCGCGACCTCGACATCCGCGAAGATCGATTCGCCATCATCAAGGAACGCACGATCCGGTCATACCGAAACTGGGAGCTTTCAGCACCATGGACACAGATTGGTGGATACATGAGCTGGCTGACGACAGACCACTACAACACCATCCTGGATATCGCAGAGGAGCTTCCTGCCGTGACAGCTGATGCGGTGCGATCTTTCAAGAGGGAATTCTTGGCCCAGATGCACATGGAAGTCTTGGTTCACGGCAACTTTTACAAGGAGGACGCACTGAAGCTGACCGACATGATCGAAAAGACGCTCAAGCCACGGCCATTCCCTCCATCTCAGTGGCGTTCACCTCGCGGGCTGGTGTTTTCTCCAGGGTCAAACTACGTCTGGAAGAAAACGCTCAAGGACCCCGCGAACGTGAACCACTCGATCCACTACATGCTCTACACAGGTGCCAAGATTGATCGTCCTCAGAGGGCAAGGACAGCTCTTTTGGACCAGATCATGCATGAGCCTTGTTTCGACCAGCTTCGCACCAAGGAACAGCTCGGATACATCGTTTACTGTGGCTCTTGGAGCAATGTGACAACGTTTGGTGTCTACTTCATCATTCAAAGTGAGAAGACGGCCCCCTATCTTGAGACCCGGATCGAAAAGTTCCTGGAGGACATGGGGAAGAGACTCGAGGATATGAGTGAGGAGGATTTCGAGAAGAACAAGCGAAGTTTGATTGAACGGACGCTTGAGAAGGCCAAGTCGCTGGAGGGAGAGAGCAACCGGCACTGGCAGGCCATTGAGTCTGAATACTACATGTTCAACAACCGTAAGTCTAACCTGATTATTCCCCTTGGGCCCAAGGCAAAACTGACCCGTATTTCGTGTTATAGGACAGTTGATGGTGGAGAATCTGAAGCCACTGACAAAGGCTGATATGATTGAGTTTTTCAACCACTACATCAACCCTTCGTCCCCTTCGCGGGCGAAGGTTGCAGCTTATCTGGAGGCCCAGGCCAAGAGCGATGTGACAACGAAGCAAATTACGGATCTCATCAAGACGCTCGATCTCGATGAAAGTACCGCTGCCCAGGCTGCCACTGACCTGCAGTCTCGCCTGAGTGCGGCTGGCCATGACGAGGAAAAGGAGGTCGAAGGCCTTGTCGACTACCTCCAAGGCCTCGGGGTACCAGACGGCAAGGTAAAGGCTGCGTCTGACGTGTGGAGAAGACTACACTCTGAGCATGGACCCGGCAGCGGAGTTGTCAAGGACGCAGAGCCACCATCATCCAATGGGACGACACCCACCCTCATCAAGGATGTGCGAGACTTCAAGGCACTCCATGCCACCAGCAGGGCTCCCTATCCAGAGAAGGATCTTGCGGAGTATTATGACCTGGATGCAAAGCTTTAGACATTTCACTTGGAACCATGCGGATCGGGGTAGAGGGGACTCCAGACTACTGAGCGGAAAACAGACTTATACCCAAAAGCATTATATTGTCACCATTGTTGGTCATGCAGCGCATAGATGAACTAATCAAAACTTTCTTGCTGTTTTATTTCATTGCCTGATGTTCTCCTGAATCTCCGGAACGTTCCTGTGCCACAGCTCAAGATAGATGAAGATCTCACTTGGGCTTTCCCATATACTACTAGCCCCTAATATCTGTCAGAGAACCAACTGCCAAACGGTTCCTGGCACGGACCAGGCACGGACCAGCTAGGCACTGTGTGTGAACTTCCATGGCACGGCCACAGGGCAGCGGCCCACTCGCAATGGCAGAAAAGCGATTTTTGTGAAGCCCGTGCCCCTCCAAAAGTCAAAGTGAAGTGCTTGGTAGCCGCCCGCGTTGCACTTGGGGTATACCTTTCATCCAACAGAGCGTGAAGACCATCTTCAACAGCAGCCAACTTTTCACCCCCACTGCTAGGAAATGCACAGCATTCTCCTCGCTGCTGTCCGCACCACCGTTTGCCCCTTACCAGATTCCCATCTGGTTATCGACGCAGCAACAGCCACAGCCTGACTGAGCTGCTTCTCTATTGACGCTGTACATTCATCATCGTCATTCACTGGCTTGGCTCTAGGTGTGTACTGAAAAGAAACCCCCCCCCCCCCCCCCAGCACATTTCTTTCACTACGGTACAAATCTTCTGGAAAAATCAATACACTCTGTGTACAACCTTTACCGGCTGTTTATGGGACGTCGATACGACCTTTTACACACAGTACAGCCTACTTGAACTCCACTTTAACGCCTCACTGTGTTAGGAAGGCCCTCACTGCCCACTCCGTCCACCGCCTTCTGCAACTTTCTACTTTTGCAATCCTAACGACGTCCAGAGCTGCCATAAGCAGCTCACAGTCACCACGTCTTCTTCAAAGAAAAGAAGAGTGACTCGCCAGTCGAGCAGGGAGCACGAGCCCAACGACGTAGTGCTGCCCTCCACTGAAGAAATCGATCCGACCTTCTCATTTACAGAAGCCGCAGGCATCCCGACTATAGACACTCCCACCTACGTTCGCCACGGCGACTCGCTGCCACCGTCGGGTGTCCCACCACGTTTGCAAACCCAGTGCAGTTCGGTACCTGACTCGCCCTCTGCTGCGAGCTCCCCGTGCGCTTCAGCCGACCTCTCAGTGGACTTTGACCGGGGCGCTGAGTTTGCCGACTCTGCCTCAAGTCTACGGCCAACAGACTGGACCCTTCCAGGTAGCCAGTCGACTTCATTCTACAATACAGCTCACCGTGCTCTCATGGGGGGTGCTCCCGATCTTCCCCAGCGGTCCTCGTCCCCGCTCAAACGACCTGCCTCCAGCATGGAGCCCGAAACGGACAGTACAAACCTGAAAGAGGATGTGGTTATGGGAACTGAGAATGAATCTGCTGCAAAGGCCAAAGAGGGCAAGGATGAAGTGATGGATGGGGCTCCATCAAGCCCAAAGCAGTCCACCACAGAGTCAAATGGGCTTCCTCTACGGAACGGTCAGTTGCCTCTTGAGCTGCCCACATGTGGCCTTCGCGCTAACATACTTGAGCAGATATTCCTCCGCTCGATCAGCAAATCAAAACCATCGAGACTCTCGTCAAGGCGTTTGCTGAGACTCCCATCCAGGAGGGTGACGAGGCGTACCTAGTGTCAAGGAAATGGCTTCAACGGGCCCAGGCCTTTGGGCTGGATAGCAAACATGTCAGCAAAGAGGTGCCAGAAGGGTCCCTCGGTCCAGTGGACAATTCGGACATTATTGAGACCAAGTTCACAGACTCCAATGGAGTAGAGTGTGTCAAACTGAAGCCAGGCTTGGGAACGGAGAGTTTCGAGCTGTTCCCCAAAGATGCCTGGGATCTCTTGCTCTTCTGGTACGGGCTGGCTACTGGACAAGCTCCGATTATCCGGCTTGCACACAACACGGCCCCCGATGCGGTTTCGGATCCCGTTATTCAGTTCGAGTTCCACCCTCCTGTGTTTACTATACACAGATTGTGGTCGGCCACGAGCCCGATTCCTATAGAGCAGGAAATCAAGCTCAAGAAGCCACCCCCTCCCATTGTGGTTCAGAGTACGTCCTTCAGCTATCACAAGTTCCTTAGACGAGTCAAGGAGCTTGCCAGTGTGGCACCGGACCGCAAGGTGCGCGTATGGCGAGTTCTGCAGACCATCCCCGCCACGGAAACCCCAGCCTCGGAGCCCTCAGAATCCTCTGGGATGATGAAGACTCCTCCGGACTCTCCAGTTCAAGAGGTTGGCGTTCCCGATGGATTTCCTGCCGTCCCCGGGGCTTGGCCTGAGATGCTTGTTGATGTGGTAACTTTTGGGCAGTTGGAGAAGGGTGTCCAACGCGCCCTTGTTGAGGCACAGGACACAACTGTCCATGCCAACTACAACGGCAAGAGGAGCCTGTCGCTGGTAGGCCTCAATGTCGATCAAACCCTTGTTCTGGACGAAGAAGTGGAGCGTCAGGACTGGGTGTCTACATATAGCGGTTCCAACGGCAAGAATTTGACAACTAGGAATAGCTCAACCGCTGTCGTTCAGGCCCGGGCCAATGTCAGCGGACGTAGCAGCCCCGCGCTTTCGGCACCTCTCACCAGAGGCCGCGCCCAGCAAAAGTCGGGGCGGACCCACGGCTGTGTAGGACTCCAGAACTTGGGCAACACGTGCTACATGAACTCTGCTCTTCAGTGTCTGCGTGCCGTCGAGGAACTCACAAAGTATTTCCTCACTCATGAAGCGAAAAAGGAGATCAACACCGACAATCCTCTCGCCCATGGTGGAGATGTTGCCCTCTCCTACGGACGGCTGCTTGAAGAAATCTACAAGGATCCCACACCAAACTCGGTTGCACCACGCCAATTCAAGAGCGTTATCGGTCGGTATGCTCCTGCCTTCTCGGGATATGGCCAGCAGGATTCGCAAGAGTTCCTTGGCTGGCTTCTCGACGGTCTCCAAGAGGATCTCAATCGCATCCTCAGGAAGCCGTACATTGAGAAGCCCGACTCTACCGACGAGATGATCAACAACCCTGCAGCGATTCGGGAGATGGCCCTCCAGGTTTGGGACATTACGAAGCGGAGAGATGACTCGGTCATCTCTGATCTGTTCACCGGCTTGTACAAGTCTACTCTTGTGTGCCCCGAATGCAACAAGATCAGCATCACGTTCGACCCTTTCACCAACCTGACCCTTCCCCTCCCCATGGCAAACTCGTGGTCCAGAGAGATTAGGTTCTATCCGCTGAATGATGCACCCGTCAACATTGTCGTTGATATCGACAAGAACAGCAGCATCAAGGGATTGAAGCAGTTCATTTCGCAGCGTGTCGGGGTACCTGTCGACCGTCTCATGGCTTCCGAGGAATTCTCGGGCAAATTTTTCAAGCACTATGATGACATGGCGACTGTCTCTGACGACATCTCTAGCAACGATATCGTCGTTGTTCATGAGCTCGAGGCTCCCCCCTCAAACCTGGCCTTGACCAAAGACCCAAAGAAGCAAAAGATCAAGTCTCTTTTGGCTGACAATGATGAGGAAGACTTGGAGGATCCTATGGTACAAAGCATGGTTGTTCCTGTCTTGCACATGTGTTCACAGGGCAAAGCCAAGCGCAAGAAGAGCGTTCTGGTGCCGCCGCACTTTATCGTGCTGAACCCAGAGGAGGCATGCAGCGAAGACATCATCCGGCGGAAAATCTTGGAGAAGGTGGCGACGTTTACCACACATCCTGAACTTGCTGCGGTGGAGGAAACCGACGCAGGCGATAATATTGATCCGGAGATGGCCAATGTGGCCTCGGATGTTGATTCTTCAGGCGACTCCAAGATAGTAGCGAAGTCGGTTGAGGGTGAAGAAGACATTGTCGACGTCAGCATGGCTGATGCAAACGATGCGCCCAAGCCAGCAGCGTCCAGCGGGGTTGAACAGTAAGCTTTTGTGATTCATGACGAGTGAATGCGGCGACTAACCAAGTATGACAGATCCTCACAGGCGCTGAAGGCATTCAAGTCACAGCGGCCCAAGTGGATAGACCCCGAAGAGTTCCTCGCGCCACAGTTCCAGAACCTGTTTGATCTCAGCTTCTTCCCGGAAGGCACTATGACCATACCTACTGGGTGGCAGTCTGTGACCGAGGGGAATGCGTACCCGAGACTCAGCACCAGGCAGCCAAAGCCGATAATGTCGGATGTCGAGATGCAGAGCCCCGGAGCTTGGGCCAACTCTGATGCTAGCGGCAGCGACGAAGTGAACGAGGTCACTCGCATGGCAGAGGAATCCAGCGATGATGACTCGGATTTCCCTCATCAAGTCAAGGTTCGTTTTGTTCAGACTGATCTATGGAAATGTTGTGCTGACCTGCATCACTCAGGACCTCCAGTCACGAGCGATTGAACCGCCATCCCACCAAGTGAACGCGCGCGGTGGTAAGAAGAAGATGAAGGCTCGCCAACAGCAGATGTATGGCAAGAAGGCCAAGAAGCGGTTCGAAAAGCAACAGAAGGGCCGCATGCAGAAGCAACACGCAAGCCGGCGTGATACCGGTCCCATTGAAGGTCCCCTGGTCCGTCTAGGTGAAGGTATCATCGTGGACTGGAACGAGGAGGCCTGGGAGGCTCTCTTTGACGGCCAGCCAGGAGAGTCAATGCGCGGCTGCAAGACCTTTGAGAATGTAGACACTCTGGTGGACCCTGCCCTTGAAGCCAAGAAGAAGCAAAGAGCTCTGCGTGCGAAGCATGGCATTACACTTGAGGATTGCCTGAACGAGTTTGAGAAGGAGGAAATCCTGTCAGAGCAGGATACGTGGTACTGCCCACGCTGCAAAGAGCATCGACGGGCTAGCAAGAAGTTCGATCTCTGGAAGACACCAGACATTCTAGTCGTCCACCTCAAGCGGTTCAGTTCTGTTGGATACCGCAGGGAAAAGCTCGACATTCTGGTTGACTTTCCAGTGGAAGGACTCGATCTGACTTCTCGGGTCATCGACAAGGAAGACGGGAAACAAGAGATTTACGACCTCATTGCCGTTGATGACCACTGGGGTGGTTTGGGTGGTGGTCATTATACTGCCAAAGCCAAGAACTTCAATGATGGCTCCTGGTATGAGTATAACGGTATGTTTTCCTGTCACAGGCTCGCGGCATCGAACATGGCGCTAATATTTAGTAGACACGGGTGTGAGTAAGTGCAGCGATCCTCAAAAGGTTGTCAGTGCTGCTGCGTACCTTCTCTTCTACAGAAGACGCTCTGAAACACCGCTGGGCGGACCCAAGTTTCAGGAGATCTTCGACAAATATGACAGCCAGATTGCCTCCGCCGATCAAGACATGTCCGACTCGGGGGAAGGGCAGCGTCTCGGCCTAAGCTCCTCCCTTCGTGGATCGCCGAGCGCTTCGACCGGAGCAGGTCTAACTCTCCCTCGAGGAAAACGTGGTTTGGTTAGCGACGACTCTGACCGCGCGGGACAGGCCCTTGTCCCTGCTGACCCTGAACTGCCATCCTATCAGGCAAGCGTGGGGAATGGTGACGAGGATACCGAGATGGGCGCTGCGCTGTGGGATCAATCCACGTTGCACAACAGCATTGAGGGTGATGAGGATGAGGGCATCGGCCTTCCCGACTACGACAATGGCGGTATGGCCGGCATGACTTCGGTTATTGGCTCGAACTGGAATTTCCAGAACATCAAGCCTGGCTCGGTGGCGTCTGACGGGGACATTGCTAGCGATATTGCGCAGAACGACAACTCGTCCAACGACGACGGCTTTGCGGCCGGGGACGAGATGGATGAAGTCTTCATGAGTGGTCCATCACTGGAATTTATTGAGCATGAGCCGACATTCCCCGAAGAAGAGATCCCAGCGCCTCCCGCCGAAGCACAGAACCTGTTTGATCAGATAGCCGAGGACAAATGGGCACAGCAGCAGATTCACACCGTACCTGCCGATATTGCCGATGATCATGCCAGCGACAAGGTTGCTGAGATACGGGTTGGTGACGGAGGCGAGGACCAACAGGCTCAGGTGCAAAAACCGAGTGCTTAGGATTCAGCTCGGTCTTCAGGAGGTGCAGAGCCAGAGCTGGCCTAGTATACCCCTCGGCCGTACAAGCCTTCTGGTGACCCACCCGAAGCGCATCCGGGTACCGATGTCAAGGAGGGTCTGGATAATCTTTTGGACTGGGTAGACGGAAACACGCAAAGCACTTAGGAAATGTCGGACCGGGTGAATTTTTACCATGAAGAAGAAGAGTCGGTCACCACCACCAGTGTTAAACAACCTGTACAAATCAAGACGCCCCCGGTCATCGCATCGCCCGACCCTACACGACTTCCCATCCCGACCTTTTCATTTGCAGGTATAAAGCCCCAGTCGGCGAAGTCAAACTATGGAGCTTTACGTCGTGTGACAGTCAAGAATCTCTCAGCCTCCTCTACATTGCTTAAAAGGCCACAGGGTTGTTCTGCTCATATAAGTACACTTGGTATCAAGCTGCCTCCGCTTGATCGGCAGCCTGGCCATTCAAGAAATACATTCCCCAGACTTTCACAACTTCCCACTCCTGGCGCATCTCTTAGAGGTGTCAAACTGCCTTCGCTTACAGAACTTGGATTTTTGAAAATCACATTACCGGGGCTTCCGGAACTTCCTTACACTTCATCTGCAGGTACCAAGCCGCCTCGGCCTAGGCGGGAGATTGACCCTTTGGAGGTTATGATACCCAAGTTTGCGCGTCTTTCTGGTCATGTTATGGGGTGGAACCCGTCTCTGTTGAGGAATGAGGTCGGATTCTCGGAGTCGAACCAGAGTTCATCCCCGAAAGGAAAAGAAAAAGAGAGGAGGATGGCGACGAGAAGGAAAAGAATAAAGACAAGGGCGAAGGAGTGGGAAGGGAGAGTAAGTGGGGAATTGTTTACTTCTAGGGGCTTCGGCTTGGTTAGGGCAGAGGATAAATGGGGATGGGGATGATGGGTAGTGATAGAGTGGAGTTTGATGATGGAGTAAAATTGTACCTATTATGCACAGACATGAATATGGGAATGAGATGCGGCGTCACATACATAACATACATTTGCTGCTTTGGAGGAGGGGACTTGGCGGGGGTAAATTGGCTAAGAGGGTGGTAGGATGGATGGAGAGGGGGGAAGCTTTTGTTTTGTTTTGTCTGGTGGATGGAGGGATTCTTTGCTTAGGAGACTAGCATTTACATTTGCAGCGAAAGAGAGAATAAAAGAGGCGTTTTAGATGAGAAAATGGGAGGTATCATGGGAAGGGGATAGAGGAGGGGTTGGTCTTTTTTTCTGTGTTGGAGCAGCAGTGCTCTAGCGTAGGGTAGGTATGAAGGGGATGTAATGTATTGCATTAATTAAGTCTTTTTGTTTGTGCGAGGTGGTGAGAGAATAGTGTGGTGTTATGGACATGTTTCAGTACTGAATGTGAGCTCTAGTGTGCTATGACATGTCTCCTGCTTTTTGGTTCTCTGACAATGATGGGAGATAAAAGATATAATTCAGCGGCAAGATTGGATCATAAACCTCACCATATTTGGGATGGTGGCAACATTTATCTAGGCGTCACAGCATCGGTCAACGATATATTAGAGAAGTTCTAGCCGTGCATTACCCCTTACAGGGGTTAGGGTTATATATAGCTTCTCATTAACTACATTACTATTACCAGCCTCGGAATTAAAGCCTTTGCAATTAAAGCTCTCGCAATTAAAGCCCTCACAATTAAAGCCCTCGTAATTTAAGCCGTCAGTTTAGAGCCGTCAATTCAAAAGCCGTTAATTCAAAGCCGTCAATTCAAAGCCGTCAATTCAAAGCCGTCAATTCAAAGCCGTCAATTCAAAGCCGTCAATTCAAAGCCGTCAATTCAAAGCCGTCAATTTAAAGCCGTCAACTTGAAGCTGTTAACTTAAAGCTTTTGTTTGTAATTAAAACCGTTAATTTAAAACCTTTGTAACTTTGTTTGTGTTAAAATATAGCTTTTGTTTGTGGATTTTACAGTGTATCTGAGGCCCTGTATTTTACAGGGCTCAGATACACTGTAAAATCTACAAACAAAAGCTGTATTTTAACACAAAGTATTAACAATAACCAAGAAAACAAAGACGGTTGCTACGGCTTTGAAAAAAAACAATGTCACCGACCACCCTTAATTTCACTCTCATAAAACATATCTTTTTCAAAATATCTTTCAATTTTCCTTCCTCCCGTCACGAGATATTGTTCTCTTCCATATCCGTCCATATCCCCCAAAAACAGCAAAGGCTAACTAGATAGCTACTGGGCAGCAAATAACAAATAAATAACAATCCTGTACCTAGCTTTTAAGATGAGATACGTGGCGTAGGTCTCGCCCAAGGAAAAAACAAACAACAGAAAAAGACAAACCCTTCATCAACACAACATCCACCCATCCACCACCCTAACCGCTTTGTAAATAATATCAAATTTTTGCCTCCCTGTTCCCCTTCGCTTAAACCCATTTTTTCGGTTCGCTTTTCCCATAAACCCACGCTTCCCTTAACAAATATGAAAAAAAAAAAACACAAAACTAGAAACCACTCCCATCCATGCCAAACCCGTCCATGGGGTTATCCATCGCCATGTACTCCAGCAGGTCCAACCCACCCACATTCACACCCTCAGCCGTCATCGACACCGAGGTGCTATTGTCGATGTTTTGGAAGAAGGCCGGTCCGGTGGGCAGGTACCACATTTCATTTCCGGGGTTGGTCCAGTCGTCCAAAAAGGCGTTGGTGTCCAGCCCGTTGTTGTGGCTGTGAGCAGAGTTGTTGCCGTTGCCATTGGTATTGTCCAAACCTGTGGTTGCGGCTGGGGTGGAGGGTCCAAACATGGATGCCGAGCCAGTCGGGTAAGGGAAATTGCCCGTGGTGAGATCCCATGGTGTGGCTGATATGTTGGCTGGGGTTGCAGATCGTTCTTGACACAAGAGGTTAGCAAGATTTGGCTGTGGTTCGGAAAACAAGAAGAAAACATACCAGCAGCACCAGCCCCCTCCCTCAACTTCAACCACGGATCCGCCAACCCATTATTGTTGTGATGGGAGTGCTGATGATGCAGCCCGTGCCCATTCACGCCCCCATGTTGATGCCCATTAGCATCCCCATGAAGCCCCATCATCCCCCCCATTCCATCCTGCTGTTGCTGTCCCGTAGCCGACCCCGCTGGCGGTGCTGGTGGAGGCGGCGCATGGATAAACCTGTTCCTCAACCTCCCCGTCAACGTCTCCAGCATATCCGCAAACCTAATGCCCAAGTGCACATCATCCACCACACAGTTCCTCAACGCGCTGACAGTCTGATCCATCAGCCCAATGCTAATCTCCACATCCGACTTGGGTGCCCCCAGAGCAAAGGTCTTGAGCAAGAACATAGCCCCAGAGATAATTCTGAAATACGTCCTCACCGGCGCGTGCTTCAGGTAATCATCCGGCAGCAACCCCTCGACCACGGTCCGGAGCAGGTTTCGGCTGCCATTAACAACCTCCCTCACATACTCCTGGTCCTCAACACCAAAACCGCCTAGCTGGCCCAAAGGCAGCTTGCCGTAGTAGTGCTGTGTCTGGGGTGACAGCTGCGGTCCAGATTGCCCCGATACACTGCCGCCTCCCTCCCCTCCGGTCGCGGTACCATTGCCCCCGTTAGGCCCCCCGCCGGCGTTGTTAGTGCACCGTTCGACGACAGCCTGAAGGGAGAGCGAGTTGATATAGATGCGGACGTACTCATACTCAATCGTGAGTATGTGTCTGATGTATGGGGGCATCCGGAATCGCTCAAAATGATTCCACCAGTCCCTCAGCAGCGGCTGGAACTCTTTGAGAAGAGAAATGTAGCTTCCGCTCTGGATGATATCAGTCGTGTGCTTCCTCGACCTGAACAATTTCTCGTTGCCGAGGTGCATCGCGTTGCTGATGCCCGCCCAGCAGTGAATGATTTGATCATCGAGCTCCAGATCAGGTATGTAGTTGAAAACGTTGGACAGTGACGACTGGTTAGTCCCGGGCGTGTTGCCCTCCACAGTATTGGGCCTCCTCTTGAAGGTGTACTTCTCGTCCGACCTCCGCAGCTCGTCAGGTACCATGTTCGTCCAGCCCAACCTACCGGCCAGTTGGCTGAGGTAAATTAGAAGCAGCCTCTTGATCCTGCTCGCTCGGAGCCGGTACGCTTCTTCTTCATACTCTGGCCTAGCAATAGCCCCTGTGGCGAGCAGCTCGTCGATGTCATCAAACACGCCCAACTCATACGCCAAGCCCATCCCTGTGCTCAGCAGCATCCAGCACATCCTATCACTCCGCCACGCCGGCTCAAGCCAGCTTTCAATTCTGGGGCCCCCAATCCTCCCCCCAGGCCGGTGGCTGTCACTATCCACCGGGCTCTGGGAGCTAAAGTCAGGAAGGAGTAGCTCGTCAGTGGCTTCGTTTGGCGGGAAGTGGAGGGCGCGAGGGTGCCATTCTGTCAATATCATCAGTGACTCAATCGTGCCCAGAGTTCGTAGACTGCCTCTCCGCAGACCCCTCCATGGAGCCGTGCTCGAGTTCTGCATATCATCTGCCCCTGAGCCACAGAAGCCACCACCAAACGCCTCCTGACCCCAGACGACTCTTTCGATCATGCCGCGGAGGTAGGTCCACAACTGTTCGTGGATGGCGTGTGAACGACAGTGGCCGCCGGTGCCGGGCATCTTGCGGTATCTGGAGGCGATGGTCAAGAGGGTCACGGTGAGTATCGGTTCCTCAGTCAGTAACGTCAAGTGAGAAGACGGCGTCTGGAATGTCGGCGGTGATATGGGTGTAAGTGGTGAGAGGTACTTGTAATAGCTGGGCCATTGTCAGCATTGGTCGCTCCAAAAACAGACACCAGGGTAGTCCATACTATTCAATGTAATCAATTGCTTCCTGGGCTGTAAACCATCCTGCCCGTACGAAGCGGAATCTCGCCCAGGCCTTGAGGGCCTCTTCCTTGCCAAGATCCGGCAGCTGCTCGGTCTTGCTAAGCTCCGGGTCGATCTGCTGGTCGACGGTGGGGCCATCTGCTCGCGAGGGGTGACGGGTATGATGGTATGTGCCCGGTGTAATCGTGTTCGACGACTTGCGTGAATCGACATGATTGTGGGCATGGATGGAGTGGGAGTGTGAATGCGAATGCGCCTGTGACTGTGTAGCTCGGCGGCTTGGAGCGGGGTTCTCGTCGATCTTGTGCGACGAGCTGTTCGCATGTCAGTTTACTAAACCTCAATGCTGACGACAGCAACTAAAACACTAACTTATCCGTAGCAGCCTTGTACAGCAAGTCCAGCGCATCGTGAGGTCCATACACCTCCCTCCTCATCATGGTCTTCGCCTCGAAGTTCTCCAGTGGTGTATTCGGCTCTCCGTTCCCAAACTCCCCACCACCGCCTACACTCCCCCCTCTCCCTCTCGTCGACGCCAAGTCATTGGGCCTTTTGAGAGGTATCGATCTCCCCCGGCTACCTCCGGGTGTAAGCGGGACCTCGCTGTAGAGTCGTCGATCATACGCAGCCGTGCTGCTCGCAGGTGATTCGACCGTGGTCCTGAGCGATTTCCTGCCATTCCTCAAGATATATTCATCCTGCTCCGGGTCCTCCTCCACAGACCCATCATCAATCTTTCTCTTCCGTCTCGTCGCGCTAAAGTAGCATTCTTTGCTCTCACGGCGGCACCGCACGCAAGGCGGTTCGTGTGGATCATCGACCGATCCCAAATCGCAACGGACTTTTCGACGGCGGCAAGGTATGCAGGCTTGGTACACCCGTTTGTGTTGCTGAGGTTGTCCACTACCACCCTGTACCTGGGTGACAGAAGACTGCGACTGTTCCCTATGGTGGCCCGGACGTAATGGGGGAGAAACGGCCCCACCAACACCGGACCCGGCCCCGACGGAGCCACTCGGTGGCGGAGGTCCAGAAGCGGAGCCTCCTGCGGCACCCGAAGATGACAGGGCGGCGGCGGGTGAAATTGGCGACATTGACAGCTGTGCGGCCGAGGCGGCAAATTGCGCCATGACGGGGCAAGCAAGCAAAGGCGGGTTTCCTTCTGTGTGGTGCAGTCGGTCGGCCCCGGCTGCGGGAATCGGCAGGCACGACGCACACGTCACTTGCTTTTCGGGCTGTCGGTTCGGGTCTCTGTCGTTTGCTGGGTATGCTATGTGTTGGTGACTTGGGTTCGCCCTATAGAATTGTTTCAATCGCCAGGTATTCGTTGCTGGTCGGCCCCAGAATGCCCCGGGCAGAGAGGGCGTTTGCGCGCGTCGCGGCGGCTTGAAGCGGTTTGCGGTGGGTGAAGGAGGAGTCGGGGTTCAAGGGAAAGTCGGGATGGAACCTGCTTTTGGGGCTAGAAGGGCCCCATTCAAAATAAATTCCCGGGTCCTCTGCTTTTTTGGTTGCACCTCAAAGGCTGATGGAAAAAACGCCCCGGGCGAGCTAGCCACCGTGGCCTGGGTGTCCCCTGGCTGCGGGGTGAGCGAAGGAGGGTGCGCGGCAAACGAACGCAACGGATGTCCACTGAGGAACCTTGAGGGAACCTATCAGAGTCACGATCAGGGACAAGGCAGGACAAGGCAGCTCTTACACCTGCCTAGCTCTGTCTAGAGAGAATAAAACCAACTCGATCCCCTCGATCTCGAGCCCATCAAGGTGGCTCTTTGAACGTTTCGTGCCGTCAACACTTTCCTCTGTAGGTCAAGGGCGGATGACCTCGGCAACGTGCCAAAGAAGCGCGATCCTTGTTTCCCGCTTCTCCTCCTCTTGTGGCGGTGTGTGTGAGCGTGTGAGCTTGTGAAGGTGTGTACGAAAAGTAGGAGTCAAGTCACGAAAACTCCAATTCCCAATTCCAGATCGGGAGCTATCAATTGGATGAGAAACAACAACTCGGCTTGCCCTTATCCGCCCCGGTGTGTGTTCAATTCGGTGTCGGCCGGGCGTTGGTTACCCCAAGGTGTAACATTGCATTGATAACGCTTCAGCCTCCAAGTCAGTCTTGCATGTCTGCATAAAGGGTCTCTTTCTCCTCGATCGAAACCGTTATCTTTGTCTGCCTTTGAACAGAGACTCGACTCAACAATCAATTGTTACATCCGGTATCAAATATCAAAACTCCGCAAATCGACAAATCATTTTCAAGTGTAGTCATCAGAAACGAGTCACTGGCTCGTCCACAGGATGTCCGTGCCGTGTAAAACTTGGGTCACGTTTTCCATCAATTCCAAGTTTGTTGGAGGTCATGTGGTTCTTCCAACTCAGCCTCCATTGACCACTCACCAAGCAGCTTTTCCACCTCGATCCAGCTCGGTGTAATTGAGCAGGTATCTTTTCCACACCTCCCATGCTTGACCTTGGCTACAAAATTCTCCCGATGTCATGAGCCCTATAGCCGGCAACGCCGCGTACCTTGCATCCAGATATCACCATCTCACACACCGTCACCAGATGTAAAAATCTCCGATCGCTGACTACAAGCCCCAAAATACCCCATCACATGCCTAACAACCACCACGAGTTACGCGCCAATGCGATGAAGAAAGTCTAGACAATTCGTAATTCGGGTCTCGCACCCGTCCATCACAACTGTGACGAAGACTTCCTGCTTGACCAATCCCAAACCGCCTCCTTACCCCAGTGCCATTCATTGCCTCTGAACGTGATCACGAGATTGCTAGAGGAATGCCAAATTATGTCATGGCAGAGTGCATCACCAGTTTCTCTATTCAGAGGAGAGATACATGTACAGTTACAAGACCAACAACCACACTTGCCACCACCGCGATGCCTCGACCCCATTCCCAGAAACAAAGGCAGATAGCAAAAGAACTCAATTTAAAAAGCAAAATCCTGGCCCGATTCCATAATAAAGGGCACGCACATTTCGCTAAAATCGAGAAGCAGAATCTTTAAAGCTCGCCCAGATATTGAAAGACCCTCTCCGCGTAAAAAGACGAAAAGGAGATCATCCCCAGCCTGCCTGTAAAAAGACATAGAAGCCCGATGACGCCAGCCAGCGAAAAAGAAAAGAAGAAGAAGTCTCATCTCCTACCCCTGCGATGTCAATCAAAGCCCACAAGCTTCATCCTCTCTCCTTTTTCCGTCTTCCAAGACGCCCAGAACGCCATTGCAAATGCACCGCAGTTTGTTGAGTGAAAAAAGACCAAGAGGAAACCCAGCAGGAGTCGACTTAGTCCCTCCCGAGGACATTGGCGCGGGTCTATCCATCAAACTGTCAGCAAACCAAACCAATACTCTCAAACACCACCCAGGGCAAAAACTCACCAAGTAATCCCAAAGCACCTTCATCAACGGATCCGGCAACGTGTACAAATCCACCGAAAACTCCCCCTGGTCAACATTGTTCTGGATAAACGTCCCCTCGTCCTTCCCGTCATGAATCAGCTGAATCACCTGCAGCAAATCATCCTCGCTCAGCTTCACCAGCCCATCCGCCATCTTCTCCACATCAAACGTCTTCTTCTTCTTGCTCCCCTCCCCGCCCTTCTTGAGCTGCTTCCTCTCCTCATCCGACGGCAGCGGGCCCGTCTCCCTCAGCAGCGCCTGCAGCGCCTGGCTCGGGTTCTTGAACGTGACGGAATGCACATTCTCGTACTGCGGCGCCGCAAAGTTCAGGTCGTGCAGGATCGTCTGCTTGCCCCCCTTCTCCGTCGTGTAGAGCTCAATCGACATTTCAAACTCGCCCCAGCCCTCGTTGGTGCAGCGGAAGGGTGGCTCGGTGAAGGCTATTTCCCACATTAGCATCCCCATATATCCAACCTTTGCGCAAATAAATAAACCTACTCTGAACAGGGTTGTCAAAACTCGGATGCAAGTTGTAAACAACCTTGGTAAAGCACCTCGCCGGCCTCTCCCTCCCCTCCTGGTCCAAAACATAAACCTCAATCGTCCACTCCTTCATCGGAAACCCCTCGTTGACGGGGGGCTTGTCGATGTTGTGCTGCTCCGTCACAATCTTGACCTTGCGTTCGACAATCATCTTGACGTTGGTTTTCTCGTTGTCGTTGTTGTTGTTGTTGTTGTTGTTGTTGTTGTTGTTGTTGTTGTTGTTGTTGTTGTTGTTGTTATTATTGTTGTTGTTATTGTTGTTGTTGTTGTCGTGGTCTTCCTTGTTGTCGTCCTTGTCCTTGTTGTTATTCTTCTTCTTCCTGCTGCCGCCTCCCTTCTTGTTGTTGTTGCCGCCTCTGCCCGAAACGACCCTAATACGAGGTGTGGTGGTGGTGGTGGTGGTGGAAGACTGGTTGCTGCGGCTCGAGTTGTTGTTCGCACCTAAAATAAAATAAAATGTTTCGCCCAAAGTCAGCGACATCATCCCATCAATCTCGAGTGTAATGTTTTGCGCCCAGCCACAGAGCCCCAGCCGCGCACGCGCCATCAAGTCTTTCCAATATTGCAGCTGTAAACACCCCCCTTCCCCTCCCCCCCCAAAAAAAGACAGCCTTGCTTCTTCCTTTCCCTCGCAATCAGTCAAAGTTGCGTAGAGCTCCCCAAAGCTAGGCAGCAAGCGCGAGCTCCAACACCCTCTCTCTCCATCCAAACAAAAGGAAACAAAGCTCCTATACCTCACCAGTAAATCTAACTTCCCTCTCTTGCGTATCTGTCGTTTAGGAATCGCGCGCGCGTGTGTGTGCAGTTAGGGCGTAATTAAAAACTCGCCAAAGTGAAGCAATTCCCAACCGTTGTGTCAAAAAGAAAAGAAAGGAACAGAAACGCGCTTCTCGATGCGCAAGCAACCAACGACACGAAACCCACCCAACCTTCCGCCAAGCGTGAATCACTTACCAGCAGCAGTTCCCGCGCCCGAGCCACCACCATTGTGGCTGATGCGACGGGCGGGAGCCATTTCCTCAAAAGTAAGTTATCCGAAGTTTAACCGGATAATACCGTTTTCCTGAATATGCTGTGGCGCAGTCGGACAAACTCAACTCGAAAGAAGCAAACCACCACCTCGAGTAAAAGAAAAAGTCAAAAGTCAAAAAGTGAATAAATTCACACACACCGGGACAATATCAGTTCCTTTAGAGAAGAAAATTCACCAGCAAGTGCTGAAATAAAGTGAACGCCTGCCCCGTCGTCTTTGGTTGCCGTTATTGTGTGCTCACGTTGTTGTTTACCTATCAGCCAAACCACCGAGATTGGTCGCCGGGAACTCCTCAGGCAGTCGTTCCTTCCACTTTCTCCAGATAGAGACTCTAGGCCTATCAGCGGCCACGTAAGACCGCTCTGCTGCCTGACCAGGCTGGGAGATTCAAAAGATCAGACGGAACCAAACAAGAGTTGAACAGAAAACTTGATGCTACGTAATTCCTCTATCTACAGCTATCTTGCGGCTCATCGTCTTCGCTGAGGGACGGCTGATGTATTCCACCAGGCCCAAAGGGGGGGGAGGGGGGGGCGGAGGAGAATCCATACCATGACATTCGCAATTGTAATCCAGCCCTCCTTCTTCTCCATATTCCACATACTCCATCGCTCGGGGGTAATAGTCTTGGGGGGTAGTGGTTTTGGGATCTTGATGTGGTTGTTTACTTAATCCTGAGCTCATTCATTTTCCATAAACAGTCAAAAGAAATTTTTCTTTTTTTGCTTAGGCAGTCTCCTCCTTCTTCTCCTCCTCCTTGGCCTCCTCCTTGGCCTCCTCCTTAGTCTCCTCCTTGGTCTTCTCAGTCTTCTCGGCAGCGGTCTCAGCAGCCAGTCTCAGGGCCTCGTTCTCCTTCTGGGCCTTGATGAAGGCATCCTTGAACTGGTTGGCATTGTCCGAGTTGGCGAAGCGGATGGCAAGAGTGACAGCCTCGGGCTCGCCCTCGCTGACATCGGCGGAGGCGTTCCACACCCAGCTGCGGTCAGAGCCAACGTTGGGGGAAAGCTTCATCTCGGGCACAACTACATCACATGTGAGTCTCCAAAATCAACAGACATAGCCTTCAGGGGGAAAACATACTGTAGTGGTTGGCGCAAACCTTGAGGGTCTGATCACGACGCATGATCAACCGGGTCTTGCCATTCTCCTTGTGCTTGAGCAGACGGACATCGCCAGTCCCGCGCTCCTTCCACTCGCGGGTCTCAGCAACATACTTGAACAGCTTGGCGCGCATCTTGAACACCTGCTCCTCCGACTCCTCGTTGGTCTTGACCTCGACCTTCTCGGTCAGGCGGATGACTGGCTCGAAATGGACATCCTCCGACTCGGGGGCCTGGTCCTCATCGGCGGCAGCAGCAGCCGCAGCCTCGCGCTGGGCCTTGGCACTGCCAGAGTTGTCACCGCGGTCCTCCTCCTCCTTCTTTTCCTTCTTGGCACCGCCGCCAAACATGGAGAAAACAGACGAAGAGGTGACGGGCTTCTGCTCCTCAGCGGCAGGGGCGGCAACCTCCTCGACGGGCTTGGTCTCGCTCTCGGGGGCAGACATCTTTGCGGTTTGTGGTGGTTTGTAGAAGTTGACCGTGGTACAAAAATGTGGAGGGAAAGAAGAAAAAAAAGAGCTGCTAATAATCTGGATAAAGCACAGCATACTCGTCAGCGCTTATCGATACATTTGTGATGAACGACCCCGCCACGGAGCGAAAGTTCTTTGCCGGGCACGTATGAGCGGAAGTGCAGTATATTGGGAGAGCCATTCCAAAATGTAACCCGACGTCGACGTCGACAACTCGATATCGTAACCGCAAGGGTTGCCGAGGGCAGAGCATAAAAATGCTTCCCCATGTTGTTGCTTTCCCCTCCCCCGCCATCCATCGAAGGCGCGCGCGATCTTGCAACAAGGCGGGGTCGATTTTCCCTAAGCAACACCAGATTCATTGGATCGCTCGATGCCGCCGTGTTGATAAGGCCCATTCTCATGCTGGCAAAGACCTTCGACACCAAAAATAAAGGAGGGGCAATGGAAAATGTGTGTACGTACCAGATGTTGGGTATCCGCGAGCTGCTTTGCACAAGACGCGCGCGCGAGAGAGAGAGAGAGAGAGAGAGAGAGAGAGAGGTGTGATGTGATGGGGTGGTGCTGGAGTGGACTTTTTAGGATGTTAATGGTAGAAGTGGGTGGCTGTTGCCCGTCCAGAAAGGAAACAAGTGGATAGGTTTTTTAGTAAATTTAGCTTGGGGAGGCACAGGCAGAGCAACCGCTGGAGCAGCTCTCTCTTCAGGCTCAGTTCAGTCAGTCACAGTCACAGCAGCAGTGCGAGGCAGCAGGCAAGCGTGGGGTTGGGAAAGATGGAACCCGACCGAAAAATGATGATTGTTGCCCCTCCCCCTCTCACAACGGTGGGGCTTTCACCTGCTGATTGGGTAGCAATTGCTTGGTTCAAAATGCAGGTTAGGCTTCATCGTGGTGAAGGCCCGTGCGTCAGTGAAGGGTGGGGCCATGATATACCTCTTGGCACAAGTTCCGAGTTCCAGCCCAACAACGACAGCCCCTGAGGCAGCCCCTGAATCCGGCATTTGATCCATCTATCAAAGAACATATCAAAGTTGCAGTCAACTGTTCACAATCAACAGCCTGACACCATGCCCAACGCACTTCACTACCCATCTTACAATCAAAAGCTTACAAGTACACTGCGTTTTCACGTGTGGTATAAGACAACAACAACAACAACGCATTGGTCTATGAGCTGCCAAAGCAAGCAAGCTGTCTGATATCATCATCATGGCTTTCCATTATCTCTCTGGCCACGTAGAAACAGAAAAAAAAGACAAAAGTAAAACACAGTGTGAAGTCCATAAGCATAGCCAAACCAACTACAAATCAAAAACCAACGCAGCCTCAAAACGCCCGTCCCGAATAACCCTTCACCGCCAGCTGTCTGGTTTCCCATGCCATATCGATATGCCCGGTGGTAGGCGAATGTTCCTCCCTTTCCGTTTACCGTCCTGTAACCCCAGCCGGTCCCATCGCGAAGCCAAAAAAAATAAAAACACAAAAACAAAATAACCTCCCATATTATTATTCAACGCATAATCTTCTTCATCCACCCGTTGCCCCGGCTGATGTCCTTAGCCATGTGACCTGCCGTCTGACAACGGCTCTTGAAAGGCAACCATGACTTGCCACAGACTTCCGTACCAGACGCGCCCTTCTCAAAGGCCTGGACCCTAGCCAGCTCGTCCTGCCTCATCTTGAGAAAGCGAGTTGCGTTTCGCTGGTAGGCATCGTGTTCCTCCATCTTCCCCTGCGCCTTGAGCCAGAGAAGCTTCGACCGGATTTGAGCTTGGAGGACAGACAACTCGGCATGTTCCTGGAGCTGTCCTGCTGACCAAGTAAGCTGCTCCTTTGCCCAGCTCCCAGCAGATTTGCCAGCCTCCAAAGCATGCTTAAAAGCATTGGCGACGGCTCCCTCACCCACCTGGGATGTCGCACCATCCACACCGGAGGACACCTTCTTCATCACGTCCTGCAACATGTGCAAGCCCGCCCCAAATGCGTCCGCCATACCAGTCTTCCCCAGATCAACCTCAAAGGTTTCATTGATCTTAGGCTTCCGAGTGGAGACGATGGTCACATTGACCGCGCCCCAGGCATCCTTTGGTTGAAGCTTGATGAGGAGGCCTTGGTCCACGGAGCTGATGTCTTTCTCAAGACAGACACCGCCGCGGCACACATTGAGGTTGATGCCATTTGGCAGTAGGCGGCGAGCCTTGTGATTCGAAGGAACACCCACCAAAATCTCGCTGGCACCGGCAATGCTGGCGGAAAGCGCAATATTCTTGACAGGAGCTGACTTCTTTGTCTCCTGCTTTTGCGGCTCCGGTTGAGCGGGAGCCAGTGACCGGTCAGACAAGAGGCCAGCATAGGAGAGAGCAGACGCGAAAGAACTAGTTAGTGGTGCTGCTTGACTGATTTCGACAGTCCTGGTCTCCGTGAGGCTAACGACAACTGTCTTGGTGGTTGTTAACACGCCAGCTGAAGTGCTCTTTGTCGACAAGGGGCTAGCCGCGCAAACTGGGGTAGAGCCAAGGTTGGCAGCAAGTGGCACTTGTGTGGATGGGGCGACAGATGACGATGGGTCCCGAGCAAAAAGTGACATGAGGTAGGGGGAGAAAAGAGCCAGAAAGAGGGGCACGAGGAAAGGAAGAAGACGTTGAGGACCACCGCGCTCCACGAACTTTGCCCAGCTATCCCTGGCTGCATCAAGAGCCTCCACAATCTGTAGCCGGGGCATGTTCTTCTTCTTGGGTGTCTCGACTTCAATGAACGATTCCTCCTCTGGCTCCGACAGTCCGGTGAGATAGGCCAAGTTGCGGTTCATTTGGCGAGCGTCGATATCGTTGAATGATGCAAGGTCAATGGGGAAGCGCAGGGGGGCCAGTGGCCTGTCGGGGTCTCGAGACTCCAAGCAAAGATGGATAGCATGCTCGTTCACATAATCATTCCAACTGCCCGTGTTGCACTTGGCAAACTCCTGCGCTTCCGAGATAAAAATGGACGGGACGCGGTGGCGCCTCAAGAAGTTCCAAGCAGCGTCTCTTGTCCGCTCCGCCTCGGCGTCGTCTTTCTGGCTGCAATAAAAGAAGGCAATGTGTGGCAGAATGTATCTAGGCTGGATGGCATTGCCGCCAGGCGAGGATATGGACGTGTATACCTTGTCGTGCTCCACGGTAATGGTGTACACTGTGTCTGAGGGGAACGAGGATCCCTCGTAGATGACCTCTTCAGCTGATGTGCAGTGCTCAACTTTGATTTGACACGGCGAGGCATGCATGAGATCAAGCTCGGGTGAGGAACCGAAAGACGAAATGGGGACAATATTGTAGACTCCTTCCCTGTCTTGGTTGCTGTGATCCTGATCCTCATCGCTGGTACTGGGGGAGGCCCAAATAGCATTGCAAGTCTTGAGCACGATAGCCCGTTGAGCCTCAGGTCGGCCCACGTAGAGGACACGAAGGGGTTTCTTGGTCGAAAGGTGAGCCTGGGACATAGTCTGACGAATAGTGGCCACAAGGCGCTTGGGGTGTTGCGACAAATCTAGTTGAGCTGCCAGAGAGGCCGAGTCGTCCTCATTATACTCCCGCACGGCATGCTTCGCCGAGATCTTCTCGAGCATCAGAGGCTCGTCACCATCGTCCTCCTGAAACTCGATTGCCCGCACGACAACACCAGACCCCTCAGAGGACAAGCCACACTCCAGTGCGGATGCGGGGAGCTGTGTAGAAGGGTTCCCCAGCGCCTCATCCGTATACCTGATCGAGGAAGCATGTGAAGAATTACCGACCTCCTCGTCGTCTTCTTCATCGTCAACATCTTCTTCCTCCTCCACTTCACCATCGGACTCGCTCGTATAATGGTGGTCCGAGCCGCCCAAGCTATGGACGTCGTCAGACCGGCCAGCGCAGAGAGAGCTTGTGGATTCGGTCAAGCGGCCATCTTGGCTCTCGGAATCGGTGGTGTCGGCGGGGTTGATTATCTCATAGGCCGAGTCGGCCAGATTGGTCGGCTCTAAAGCGGTTGCCTTCATGATGTCGGGCGAGCTTCTGGAAATCCAGTTGGCAAGATCTTGACTGCCTTGAGGTTTGGGGAACCGAAGAGCCGGCGACGATGGTGTGAGGTCGTCGTCTGGCGTAGAACTGCAAGTGTTGAAGATAGGTCGAGTGTTGTCTCTGGTCTCGGTGCCAACGGCGGGGTTAAATGGGGGGAATTTGATGGTCTGCTGTTCCATCATGAACGATGTGTGTCAGCCTGCACAGGTAATGTCATAACCCGACGTCCGAACCCGAGACTGCTGGCGGGGACAGTCGAGGCAAACAAAACAAGCGAGGAAGGCAAACTGAGAGCCGACCAAAAGTTGAAGTTGAAGTAAGTGTTGGTGATGTGTAGTGAGGGAGGGGCAGGCAGGCAGGGTATGGGAGGCGAGGCTCAAGGTGGGGGAGCGTCCAATGCGGAAGGAAGGAAAGTGAAGCAGAGTAATAGGGCAGGCAAGGAAGCACTCGGAAGACGGCGGAGAGTGGGTGACTGAAACTGGGCCGGGCGTGAAAGAAAAAGGCCACTTGACGTCCCAAAACTCAGACGCGTGAATTAAACTAACTTTTGATTCAACACTGCGGTTTCCTTTCACCTTGCTCTTTCAAGGTTCCTTGGGGGCACTAAAAAGCCAGACTTTGTTGCGGTTCGCAGTTTGGGTTTCTGCCTGCGCCCCGGGCCAGAGCTGCCTTACACTGGGCTGCGAGGTGGGGAAGGAGGCAAGTCGTGTCAGCCTGTGAATGAGCTCCGGGGGGACCTGGTGGCAGCTGTCAGGACGACAATGAAGTCGAATGAAAACGGACAGCACGACACGACTAGTCAGGGCGTGTTGGTCCGGGTCGCCAGTGGAAAGCAACAAGTCGCATTCGGCTGTTGTTAGATGGGGGAAGCAGAGAGTGAGAGAGAGAGAGAGAGTGGTATGGAAGGAGGCAGGTGATGAAGTGGGAGAGTGGAGGAGAGCAAACGCAGGTCTCTCGACAACGTGGGACAGAGTGGGATAGCCCAGAATGGATGGGTAGATGAGGAGAAGATAAGCTGTGCCTACACCTCGGGCTGCATAATTCGTCTGTCCCGAGACTGCTCTGGGTTGGAGCCTACCTATAAGTTGAGGTGCCGCTGGCTATCACAAGACGCGGCCTGCCCCTCATCAAGCTGTTAGCTCATTGCGGGGTTTGACCAAGCTCAGGGAATAAGGTACGGGGAGCATGTCGGGGTGCTGGACATGTCCAAGGCTCCAAATTCTCACCATGAGGCGGCAAATTTTATTGAGAGCTCTGTTTGTCTCTTCAAGGTCCACTGTTTACAACGAGTCTGCAATCAAAATTCCTACCAAGAGATGCATTCTCGCTCTTTGAACTACCGACTTACACGACCCCCTCCGGGATAGAAGCTCCACGATGGTTGTCCCCACTATGACCGCAGACAGTGGGGCCGAATCCTCACCCAACCAAAGCTAAATTCGAGGTCAACCCCAAGCCAGACCGTCGTGTCCGGATCACAGGCTCGCCAGATATCGAATTTGACGCCACAGGCAACAAATCACTCAGTGGAGATGAATCATCACTCCTTTCCGTCGACTTCAATGCTCGGGCACGACTTTCATGAACGCGGTTGATTGCTCCCTGCCGTCATATCAGTTCAAACCGAGCGCTCCACCGTCATCGTTATCAACATCAATCTCCCATCCCCACATCACACCTTGGCATCACGTTAGATGGCAATGAGGGGAATCACAGTACAGTACCGATGCGGGGTTGTAGTGGTGGAGGCCAATGGTGAAGGTGATGATGTTCCTCAGTTTCAATATGTGATACAACCTGACTGCGCCTATCCGCTTGCACACAGCGAGACCTGCTGGCGCTCCCGCTTCCTAGTAATACAGCAGCTCAAATACAGAGAGACCAAGAGACTAATGCAAGAAGTTTAACCCAAACTGAAAAATGCCATTCCATCATTTTGCAAAAGATCGACCCTGAAGGGGAGCCTCGAGGTCGTGGTATCTTTGGTAGTCATCTCATAATATCTCGCATCTTCCCAACATGACCGTCATGTGTAAACCAGTAAGAGTAAAAGACGGGCGCGCCTCTGAGGTGGCCCCAGCCACCAAGTGAAAATAAAAGCCTCTCAACCCTTTCCCTGACTTGGATTTTCCAAGTGACCCAGACATGAACATGCAAACCGTGACCCAGTGTCAACACCGAACTGGAAACCATACAAAAGAAAACCTGCCCCGACGCAATCACAAAATGTTGTGCTTGGTAAAGATCCTCTTGAGGGCATCCGTGTCGAAGTCATCCTCATCTGGGATCAACTCCAGTATGCCAGTCAGGTTCGCAAAAAGGTCGCCTTGGTTGCGGTAGGCCAACACCGCCGGTACACCGGCGTTGTCGAATTCGATTTCCTCGTAGTGTACTTTGACAAACCGAACAGTGGGATGTGTTGAGACGAGGGGGACGAGGGCTGATTCGATTGCCGCTGATACTTCGCTCTGGTTATTGAGTTAGCACAAGCTTTTATCCAGCACGACGACGGTTCAAACAAACCTGATGGTCATAGACAAACACCACAACAACTGTTTCCCTCCCAACCTTTTCTATCGAGTCCAGATAGCCAAGAGCATCAACCTCCTCGAAACGGCCATACATCCTGACGCTTGGGCTTGTCCTCCTGTTCCGCACAGGATTCCTGCTCTCCTCCTCCAGCTCTCTCTTTCTGCTTTCCCGCCAGCGGTTCAAGAACTCTTCCTCATCGGCGTCCTCAGCTCCGCTTGCGTCGCTGTCGGTCCCGCTGTGCCTGCCTCCTTCGAGACCAAAGACACTTCGGCGAACAGCGCGCGCCTTATCCTTCCAGGTCCGTTGCCGCGCATTCTCGTATGATCTTGCGTCGGCAATCACACCCTTCACACCAGTAGAATGGCCGTCGTCGAACGACGTTGGTGGGAGGCGCAACGCTGTGCGAGAGTCCATAGTAGGCATCCTCATGGCTTCGTCGATTTTCTGCGCGCGATACAGTTCCTCCTCGTCTTCGCTGTGGTCAGCTGCCTCTCTAGCAGCACTCGCTCTGTCTTCGGGGTGTATTCCGTCCAGTGAATCACGGCTATTCTTGTCGAGAAAGGCAGCGAATTCTTCTTGGGCCGGTGTAGGGTTCGACATGGTGGGCTAGAAGGGGGGGAGCGAAGGACGTGTGAGCGCGGGGTGTGGTGAATTAATATTCGGGACAGCCTGAGCAATGACGGCCAGGTTTCAGGGGAGCGGGAAGGACTGCGTGTTGACAGGTAGGGCAGGCGGCTGCTGTGTACGGCGAGTCCGGTATTCGACAGGGGCCGCGGTGTCGCTAATCGAATATCCTATCACGGCACGGGAAGTTTGTGTGACTGTGTTCTTGAATGCTATGGGCGAAAAACAGGGTCGTGTGATGGGAAGGCCAGTTCGCTGGGGGAGAATAGCCGGTTGCAGACGATAGTTTTTGGGTATCAAACCACGCGGCGGCCGAATGCAACGTCAGGATGGGAGGCAATGGATGCCGAGCGTGGGATCGGTCGCTGGAGTGGAGGTGAGAGGGTGCGCCGTGTCAGAAAAAGCAGGCAGCGAGAGTTCCAGAAGGCGACGGGAGAAGGGAAAGATGCTCAAAGGCTGGGCAAACATCAGCGGTTGCTGGAAGTGGGAACCACCTCACAAGTGGGATCGGCAAGGGGTTGAGGCAGGGGCTGCACGGGCTTCGCGCCCTGCACTCGTCGCGTGGTCGACAGGGATTGACAGCCCAACGAGAAAGGACGAAAAAGGATTTCGAGGATTCAGCTACACCTCATTCCAGCCTCTCAGTCTCTTCCCACGGGAGATTTGCTTGACGGCGCGGAATTTTACAAACGTGGCGTGAGAGAGGCTTGGAGGGGCACGACGCTGAATGTTGAACGGCCAAGGGCCAACAACAATTGTTTGTGAGTTCTGATTCTGAGCGAGATGGAGCTGTTAGATAATCTTAGATAATCGCTATTATATGGTAAGAGTTCAAGCATCTTCAGCCCTCCTGGTTCCTGTTTCAAGCGGCCAATCGAACATTGGCGATATGGAGAACGTACCGGCCTCGCCTACAAGTAACGAGTCGGTGAGAAGCACATTGCTAGTGACTTGAATTGAGGGGGTTTGGGGAGCAAAGCGCAGCATCTTTCGGCAGAACAAACCACCCTCGTGGAGGTTAGTGTGTAGGGCCAGAACGTGCGACCCCATGCCGAGGATTCCAGGGATTTCGACGGCATTCAAAGATTTCCGATCTGTGGGAATTTCTGCATTGCTGAGGCTGAGCTTCATGCATATTATTTCCACACTCCCTCAAGGAGAACCCGAGGGCGAGGATCCTGAATCCTCCTCCTGTGCTCCATACAATACATCAAACACGGAAGAACACTGTTCAAGGCTCTATGGTTCCTCCGAACAACCAAATCAAACGTCATGTTCACTATAACACTACTACTCACTGCCCAACAGTTTGCTTCCTCATCAGCCGAATGAATGATCTCATACGAGGCAAGATCTCGGCGCCGAGTACGAACTCTTCGCCATCGGTAGCCGGCAAAAATCAGATCAACGTCCTGTTCCTGGCCAGATCTCCATCGCACACGTTTCATGCTGTGTTTCACTTTTTTTGCTTGCCCTTGTTTCCCCAGACCCCAGTCCGCACGATGCAGGAGAGTGGGGTTTATCCAGAAATCAGGTTTAGCGTGTTTCCACCCTGTCTGATTTTTTCCTTCCTTCCAGAAGCCTTCCATTTCGAGACGTGAAGCCTCCGAGACCACCGATGCCGTGGCCCTGAGCGTCACCGCCCGTATGGTTTCGCACCGGGCCTAAGCACGTCTCGATAGTACCTGCATAAGGATCATGTCACCTTCCCTGTATCTAAAAGGAGTTATTGGATTCTGCGGTCCTACGGATGAATGTGCTCAGCGCACAGGCCGGACACGGCGAGAAGGTTGGTAGATGTCTGTCGAGTCCCGACGCTCAGGCTTCTTGTGGTATATGTAGTGCATGATCCTGAAAATCTCAAGAACGGGACAACTTAACACGGTTCGTTCTCGGAGTCCGTGTTAGTCATACCCAAACCACCCGCATCATGACAATAGGGACTGTAAAGCGCCGATCTACAGTATCGTTTCCTTGAGTCTATCTCAAACAGTTGGGCGGGCGTCAGATACCTATCTCCATGGACCTCGGGCAGGATCTTCGTCGCGGAAGAACATCAAGGCATGAAGGATAGACATGCCCCCACATGACATCAGCCAGCTCGCAAGAACGATCAGGTTCTTGAGCTGTTTGAATCAAGTTTGCCATCGGTGAACGCCGTGTCTTGGAAGGGATCTATTCCTAGGCTGGGACACCCTGATAACGGCTGACCAGGAACTGCACACCCTATGCTGAAGCTTCCAAGCCAGTGGCAGTTATTTCGCAAAAGTACATCGCCTCTAATAAGACCGCATTAAGACCAAGTATTCTTCCATGCCTTAGTTTCCACTCTCATGTGTAAGCACTGAGAGTAAACAATCTCATGTAGTTGGCAATCTTCTCATCACAAAGTCATTATATCCCATAAAAGACTTCCACATCGCCAAATAATATGAGGTCACGGTCTTGTCCTAATGCCCATCTTGCCCCAGCACCTCAAGGCCCCGTACCATCATTTCAATATTCCCAGCAAACATTCGTACGAGCTTGGTCAGATCTATGCAGGCACCTCGGTCTAACTTCCCAAAGATGGTTACAAGCTAGTTCTATATTCAATAGCGCCTCAAGCTGGTGAAAGCACGACATTAAAACACCACGACAAAATCGATGGCCAGCTTATTACTACCATACAACGAGCCATAGGCATATCTCGTGGGCTTCGTTTACCTTCTGCATTGACAAGCCCAGTGTTTACGCAGAGCGAGGCTGGGATCTCCCGAGTCGAGTACTCAACTACAATTTGGTCAAGAATGGTGGTACCGCAAAGCAAGTAGATAATTGATAACCATACCAGGGTACCTAGGTACCTAGGTGGCTACGGTACGCATTGTTCGAGTATTTATGACAAGAGAGCTAATACGTCCCCAGGAGATGTTGAACGACCTGGAAAGGCGCTCAATATCTCGAAAGCGTCGTGGATTGAGCATAAAGCTAGAGATCCGTTGAAGCACAACGCCAAGACATAGACCCCAACACACAGTCTCCTGTTGCCAGAAAAGAAATACTGAAAATAACAAGTAGATAAATCCTCTACCAGAAATGACTGAAATCTCAGGGCTTTATGCATCTAGCTAGGTATTGGACCCAGCAGGGGAAAACGAGCTTAATAAGCAAGGTACGTAGATATCCAACGATACCCCCCGTCGGAAGCCATAATCCTCCAAGAGATTCAGTTTTTGTCTCATTGCTATCTCCTCATTATTATCCTGGTGGAGGGGACCGTATCAGTCCAGCATTCACCACCTTTCATACCTAGGCATACTCGACAAAACAGTGGGATGGTGCTATAAAACACAGGGCAGGTTGTTGCCGATCAAACACTCGTCCCTCTTTTGCTTTTTCTTCCTTTACTCCGTTTGTTTTGTGGTTTGTTGTCCATGCTCACAGGATCTCGCCAACATCAACTCTCTCCTTTTCGTCTCTCTCATCTAGAACGACGTCCTGGGAGTGTTGTTGAACTAGTATCTCTGCTCCTCCCCATCAGACTGCACTTTTATGGCGAAAATGTTCGTAGTACTTACCCACCAGGTTTCCAGAACGTTTACGCCAGAGCAAAAAAGACAACCACAGTGCTTTCCCGAATGTAAGCATCAGCACACACAACTTCATACGCATCAACCCATCATTAGTTTAAAACATCCATTGATCTACTACAATCCCACCCATTCCGCGCCCACCACGTTTCCTCTCCACGCCCTCCTCCCTCCTCCCGCCCTCCCCAATCCTCCCCATACAAAACTCAAACAAAACAAAAAAGTTTACAAAAAAAAAAAAGAACAAACCCCGCCAAGAACTATGGTGCAAGAGAAAAAAAATATCAAGTGGTGGTAATGTGTGTTAAGTGTGGTTAGTTAGCAAAGTTGTAGAAGAAAGGGGACACAGTAAGTTGTAAGATAAAAAAAGACCAACAAAAATAAGAAAAATAAAAAGATAATCAGGAAAAGAACACCCTTGGGGATTCCCCCCCTCCCACCAACGACAAAAAGTTCTTCTTTTTCCCCCACACCATAACCCATCCCAAACACCACCACTCTCAACTTCTCCCCCTTCCTTCCTTCGTTCTCTAACACCACCACTACCCCAACCCCGTTCCCTTCCTATCTCCCCTCCCTCCCTACCTATACAATCCTGTCCCTCGGGCCCTCAAGTTAGTTTCGTCAAGAGCCAAAAAAAAAGATCTTTTTTTGCAATAAAACAAACATTTAACCCCCGCACCGCAATAAAACATAAAAGCCAGGAGCCAGTTAAGTGAGAAGAAACCCAGTTTATACCACCCAAAACACACTAGAATAGGTGGACAACCGAGACTTTCGTGTTGTGTATGTATATGTGTGTGAGTGAGCGAGGGCGAGTTGTTGTTGTTGTTGTTGTTGTTGTTGTTATTGTGTCGTTGTGTGGCCAAAAGAAAAATGAAAAGCGCAGGGGGGGTAATATCGTGACTTCGTCCTGTGCAGTCCACGCCGGATCGGTGTGATTAAAAAAAGGGCGTGTGTCGACAGATTGAATTAGGAACAACATAATAGGGGCACTCGATTAATCCTCTCTTCTTTTAGGCGGCTCAGTGGCGGGGGTCGGGTATCCATATGGGAGGACAGTTCGTTTATCGGCATCACACGGTTGGGCTTCTAGTAGGCCCAAACCTTGAGCTGTTGCGGTTGTTAGTATTTTGTTGAAAAGACATGGTGTCACAGATCCGGAAGATCGGAAGAGGTGAGGTCTTACGAAAGCGTCCCATGAACCGGTGCACAAACTTATACCGTCGTTGGAAACTCCCAAGCAGCTGACACGGTTTTCGTGGCCTACGAGAGAGCCAACCTTTTCACCCCGGGTAACATCCCAAACCTTATTACCGACGGTTAGCCTCACAAACTTTGCGCACGCAGGGGAATTTTTTCTTCTTTTTCTTTTTCGGTCTGTCCTACCTTGCACTCGAAATCATCATAACCAGCAAACAGCAGCCTGCCAGATACAGAGGTGGCCACCGAGGTGATACCGCACAGGATCGACTCGGACTATCAAGCCACATTAGTATTGATAAGTTGCAAATTCAGACAAGACAGGGTTCGCTGCTCACCCCATAAAAGTTCAATTCCCTGTCGGCACGGATGTCGAATAATCGGCAGGTGGCATCATCGGAACCTGTTACAAAAGAGTGGCCGTCGGGGAAAAACTGGATGGCGTTGATGTCGGACTCGTGACCGGCAAACGTCTGCACGGCCTTGCCGGCGCGGATATCCCAAAGCTTAGCGAAGGCGTCGCAGGCACCCGAGATGAAAGTGTTTTGGTTTGTTGGGTTCAAGCTGATGCTCATGACATCTCCCAAGTGGTCGGCGAATTCGACCACCTTTGTGCCCGTCTCGATGTCCCACTTCATGCAAGTCATGTCGCCCGACGAGGTGAGGATGCTCCGGTCGTTGATGAAACGGCAGCAGGAAAGATAGCCGGCGTGGCCCGACAGTTCCCTGGCGACGCGCGTGGGCCCGTCACGGCTCTGGTTGAGGTTGTAGATGGAGCAGATGTTGTCGAGACCACCGCAGGCGACGTAGTTGCCGCTCGGGGCGTAGGCGCAGGTCATGACCCATGATGATCGGAGGGGGATGGCGTGCACCTTGTTTGTTGTGTAGGCGTCCCAGATGATGAGCTTGCCGTCTTGTGAAGCAGAAACGAGGTGTCTTCGGTCGGTCGACCAGTGCATCGCATAGATCTTTGCGAGATGGCCCTTCAGTGTCCTCTTCGTCCTCATCAGCTGGTTCTTTGGGATCTGCTCGTGGGCCTGGGCGGCGACGGCGCGGACTAGAGATGGCAAACATGATGGCGTAAGCAGCAGTTCATTCAATCGCACAAAGGGGGACGCGGCGATGGCGGCGACGGTGTCGGGGAACACAGTCGGCAATCAATGGGCGACGGATGAACAAAATGTCATTCATTTACTCACGCGTCGTGTCGGCCAGCTCCTCCTTCTTTCTCTTGATTCTGTCCTTGAGAGTCTCAGCCTCGCGACGCGCCTGCTGGATGCGTGCCTGCATCGCCTCGGGCGATACATCGTTCGGTCGGCCTGGATCCATCTCTGCGGTGCTTTGCGGTGGTGGTCAATCGTCTCTGCAATGGGGCGGGGGGCCGATTGACGAATGGGCGCGCGCGGGTGGTGGCAGTCGACGACGATTGTCGATGTCGGCAGGATTGAGACAGCAGGTGCTAGTTTGGAGGTTAGGGTGTGGTTGAATGGATGCAGGAGTTCTCTTGGGGAAGAATGCGAGCTCCAGGGGTGGGTGTGCCGGGCCAGTAAAACAGCTAGGCAAGGGCCCGACGGTGCTGAATGAAATGACTATCGGAAAGCAAGTGGAGAGAGAGGGGGGGGGGAGGCGAGCAAGAAGGGAGGCCCAAGCAGAGCAGAGCAGAGCAGAGCAGAGCAGAGCAGAGCAGACAAGACAAGACAAGACAAGACAAGACTACCGATCGCAACACTGGGGTTGCAATTCGCGAGATTCCCTTCCAGAGAATACAAAATTGTCAAGTTTGGTCAACAATGGAGGTCGGGGGCAGGAAAAGGAGAGAGAGGAAGAAAAAAAGAAGAAGGGCAGCTCTCGGCTGGCTGGCGGACGGGAGGGTGACCGGCCAGTTTTGCGATTATTACCCAGCGCAACCTAGTCGTGTCTGGATTGGGAAGGGGGGCAGTGGTGGGTGAATCGACACCCTTGCACAGCGCCGTGGTGCTGGAACTGACTGCACTGCTGACTGCACTGCAGACCGCACTGGCCACGGACGTTGTTGAAGGCTGATGATAGAAATGGATATCAGTTGTAATCAGACACTGCTTCTATCATTGGCCAGGAGTCTAGGTATTGCAGGTAGATTTTGGCATACTACTCCGTAGGTATTTTGGAGTCTTTTGACCACGGAGCCAAGCGAGGTGCATTCGGGTCCAGTGTCCGCCCAGTGCAGCGGCAGCAGCAGCCAGTGGTATCTTGCAATGTAATCTGCGGGAGCTTTTGGAAGCGACATGCACGGCAGAGCAGCAGCAGCAGCAGCAGCAACAACACCAGGCATCCGGCCGGAACGGTATTTACAAAGAACAATATCTCTGTATCCGTAGCAATGCCAGTGCCGGTCGGTAGTTCTCTCTCTCTCGATCACCCGGCGCGAACTGCAGGCTTTGAATTAAAGGTGGACTGGGTGGAGGAACCTAAGCTGCGGGATCGAACGAGCGACAAGGAGAAGGGGAGCTCTGTCCTGGTGGGGCCCATGCACCGACTTGGGCTTTCTCCTGCAGCCCGGACATTAGCTGTGCACGGGCCATTTCCAATCTGCTTGTAAGGTCCTCTTTTCTCTCTATCTTGAATTTCAATTTTCTACAGATAGAGATACGATCATCTGGAACACAGTGAGTTTTGTTCCTAACCCACCCAGATAATGCTGTGCCCCCAACTCCACGCCAATCAAGTCAATCGACAGGATAACTGTCCCTCTCCTCCGAGCGCCCGAGTCACCCAACCCGCGCATGGACGATGGAAAAGGGGCTTTTTCTGGTTGCTTGATAATCTACCCTGGCCATCCCCAATGCAAAGTCGTGGCGCACGCGGTTTAACATCTGCCGTGGGGAATGGGGATTGCAACATCCGGGCTTCTCCCAGCCTGCCTTTCTCGGTCAAATAACTTTTCTGCCACTGCCACTTCTCGATATGCCCATGATGCATCACCTCACTCGGCCTACCAACGCTGTCTGGTCTTGTTGGTATCTCTTGGCGAGTCATTACCGGGTGCTCTTCGATTTCTTCCCTCGGTCCTTTTGAACTCTTTCGACATGCTGCAGTGTACAAGGGAACTTTTGTAAAATGTCAAGAAAGTGCCGGCTGGCAGTTGGCACATAAAGCTGCATAATGTTCTAGATAGATCGGCATTCCTCCAAATGTGGCACCCGTCACGGAATCACCACCCACTCGGCACCACCCGGGATCCGTACGGGGCCGCTGAGAGCGGAGGCGCTGCTGCTGATCATTGTGTACCTGGCTTGGCACCGACCTCGATGTTGAACTCGTGATAACTTCACCTACCACGCCGTGGGCAGCAACCTAGGTAATAATGCACGCATAATATAGTGGCACTGCTCAACAGAATCATCAATCAACCCAATTAATGCCTGACGTTCAAAAGCACCTCACCCTCTTCGACAGCACAGCCTGCCCCATATCCAACTTTGAGCAGCCTGAGTGACTTCTACAACACCCCTCCCCCCCAAACTCTCACAAGATGGACTTCATCTCCCTCCCCAAAATAGAGGTAGCCCCCCCCCCCCCCAATCAACCCCATCATTCCCAACCATCCACTAACAAACAAACCCCAGCTCCACGCCCACCTCTCCGGCTCCATCTCCCGCCAAACCCTCCACGAAATCTGGTCCCAAAAGCCATCCTCCTCCTCCTCCTCCCTCCCCGACCCCCTGGTCGAAATGCCCCCAGGCAAACACGACTACGACCTCCAAACCTTCTTCCCTCTCTTCACCTCCTACATCTACACCCTCATCTCCGACCTCCCCTCCCTCCGCCACTCCACCCTCTCCGTCCTCCGCGACTTCCAGTCCGACGGCGTCGTCTACCTCGAACTCCGCACCACACCCCGCGCCATCCCTTCCGCCAACATCACCAAGCACCTCTACGTCCAGACCATCCTCGGCTGCATCGCCGAATTCGAGGCCGGGGAAGGGTGCACCCTCCGGACAAAGCTGATCCTCTCAGTCGACCGGAGGAACACCCTTGCCCAAGCGGAGGAGGTGCTAGAGCTCTGCAGGCAGTTTAAGGGGAGGGGCGTGGTGGGGATCGATCTGTGTGGGGATCCCGCTGTGGTTGACAACCTCAGATCTTTCACGCCCGTGTTCCGACAGGCGCGAAAGGAAGGGTTGAAGGTCACGCTTCATTTTGCCGAGGCCGAGGTTTCTGGGACGGAGGAGGAGTTGGACTTGCTGCTGGGCTGGGGGCCGGAGAGGTTGGGGCATGTGATTCATTTGGGCGAGGGGGTTAAGCAGAAAGTGAGGGAGAGGAGGGGGGTGGGGTTGGAGTTGTGTCTGAGTTGTAATGTTCATGCTGGTATGGTTCGTGGGGGGTTTGAGGGGCAGTGAGTTTTCTTTGAGAGAGAAAGAGAGAGGAGACGAGATGCTGACGGGGAGAATAGTCACTTTGGGGAGTGGTGGAAGGTGGAGGAGGTGGTTGTTGTTTTAAGTGTAAGTCTTGGAACAAAAAGAGCTGGAGATTGAACCGCTGACAGACAACATGGATAGACCGACGACGTGGGCGTCTTTGGCAGCCCACTGTCCAACGAATACGCCCTGGTGGCCAAACACTTTGGCCTGGGCCGTCGGGAGATATGCAACCTCGCCCGAAAAGGCATCGACGTCATCTTTGGCGGCGAGGAAGAAAAGGAGAGGCTTCGAAAGATAATGTGGACCAAGTAGGAAACACTGCACCCATCAACTACTCCATTCTAAACCTAGCAGCCCCCTCAATCTATGTCTATGTGCACCCTTCTACCTCCCCTCCCCCATCCCAACCCCCCCGTCAGCCCAAACCACCAAGTTCCCCGGCCTCTCCTCCATCTCCCCAAAAAAACTCACCACATCCCCCTCCTCATACCTCAAACTAAAATGCATCACCACCCAAACCACCCCAGGCCACCTCCTCACCACCCTTTCCAAATCACTCCACATGGTGTGCTTCGTCTTATCCGCCTGCTCCCTATGCTCCCGGCTCTCCCTCAAAAAACTGCACTCCGTAATCACAACCCTGACCCCCCGTTTCAAAAACCCATCCATCTCCCCTCCCTCCTCATACACCGCAGCAGTGGTGTCCCCCATGAAAGCAAAAACAGGCTGCTCCACCTCCCCCGTGATCTCCACCCCTTCCGTCCTCAACCTCTTGATCTCCTCCCCCTTCAAGCCCTGGTACTCAGGTTTCAGCTTGCTCGTCGTGGTGGAAAAGACGTAACCAATACTGGCCACAGTATGGTCACACCTCACAGCCGTGGCCTTCCACCTCTGCCCCTTCACATACCTCAACCCCGTCTCCTCCCCCGGCTTCATCGTCGTGATGGTGTACCTCCCCAACCTCCCCAACCTGCACTCCCCCTCGCCCTCCCCAAACCCAGTAAACCCCTTGTTCAACAGCTGGCTCCCCTGCAGGAACTGCTCCAGCGGCCTGGCCATCTCCTCCGGGCAGTACAGCAACGGCGGGGTGTGAGGGGGGTCGGCCCTCAAGAAGGCAGGGGTGAGCAGGCAGTGGTCGGAATGTCCATGAGTGAGAAAGACATGTTTAGGTCGGTGAGCCCCCACCACCAGCCCAGCATCGAGAAGAAGATTCAGCTCGGGAATCACAAACGAGGTGTGCCATGCTGCGCGGGAGCGGCCGGTCAAGGTGAGCTGGTGGAACGGCCTGGGGAAGCGCCAGGTGAGGATGTCGGAACGGATGGATTGAGGCAGCGGGGTGGGGAAGTAGTCTGGTGGTGGGTTTGGCTTCGAGACCGGTGTGTTGTCCTTTTCTAATGGTGGTGGCATTTTCTTGTTTGTTTGTTGGTGGGATCTGATGATATTTTGGTGTAATTTTGGTGGCCATGGAAGGTGATGATGTATATTTCTGTCAAGTGAATTCACTCAGATAAAGAGTTTGGGTTAGGGTTAGAGTCGTACATCATCACATTGGACATGTCAAGGTTGGTACAGAAAACCGTACATCATAACCGGCGGGATCGCTACCAAGAAATCTATCTAACACGCCTTTTTATCGTCCCGGTCATTATCCATATCCATTATCAGTCACTCAGTTCTTTGGTGCAGGCTCCTCCACTGTGGCCTTTGCAGGCGCAGGACGAAGTGGCAGCGTTGTGGTTTCCCCAGCAGCAATGGGAGCAGCAGCCTGACCAGAAGCGGCGGCGGCGGCGGCGGCAGCAGCAGCCTCCTTCTCGGCTCTCTCCTTCTCCTTCTTGAGTTTCTTCTTCTCCTTCTCCTTCTCCCTCGCGAGCTTCTTCTCGGCAGCCTTCTTAGCCTCGGCCTCCTTGATCTTCCGAAGCTCCTCACCACCGAAAGCATCGCGCCACTCCTCAATCTTGGCCGCTGGGATGGTAGCAAACAACAGCTCGGGCTCGCCAAGCTTGTGGCCGGGCTTGATAGCATCAGCCTCCCAGACATCGAGGATGCTGGCGGTCTGGCCCTCGCCGTCGAAACCAAGCTGCTTGAGGATAGCCTGGGATTTGCCGGGCATATAAGGAGCCAATACGTTGGCAAGGAGGTGAATGTGGTTCAGAGCGATACCGATGACTGCATTGCAGCGCTCAGGCTCCTCAGCAATGAGCTGGTTGCCGAGCTTGTTGTCTTGAAGAAGCTTGTTACCAAGACCAGAGATACTAGTCACCGAATGTTAGAATGAAATCCAAACATCATGCTCTACAGAGGAGAACATACGCCATGATGACCGAGAGACCGTGTCTAAGCTTGAGGCCCCTGAGAGTAGTGTTGTACTCATGGAGAAGCTTGTTAACTTCATCCTTGTGCTGCTGGAGAGCAGGGAACTTGGAAAGGTCAAAGTCGGGAACCACGCTGCCCATCTTGGCCTGAGTGAACTTGATGACACGCTGGCAAAGGTTGCCGAGGTTCTTGAGAAGGTCGTTGTTGTTGACGTCAACAAATTCCCTTTGAAAACGTCAGCTTCAGGCCAAACAATCAAAACTTGGGATTTCATAGAACTTACTCCCACTTGAACTCTGAATCACTGGTCTCCGGGCGTCTGGAGAGAAGGTAGAATCTCCAGATATCAGGATCAATACCAGTATCCCGAGCATTGTTACCAAAGACACCAACACCCTTGGACTTGCTGAACTTGCCGCCCTCATAGTTCAAGTATTCGGTGGTGGACAAGGTCTTGACCTTGGTCCAGTTTTCCTTGGAGCCGATCTGCGACGCAGGCCAGATGATGGTGTGGAAGCTAGAGTTCAAATGTTAGCTCACAGGTGCTTACAGTTTTGCAAAGCAACAGAACTCACGGCACGTTGTCCTTGCCCATGAATTGGTAGAGAGACACCTCCTCAGGGTTCTTCCACCACTTCTCCCAGTTGGTGCCGCTCGGGTTCCCAGCATCGGTAAATGTCTTGGTAATTGATGGATAACCGACTAGTCGGGTCAGTATTTCAAACATGTTGTCTTCAACAGAAGAGACATACTGCAGGCGTCAAACCACACATAAAACACCTTCTTGGCAAAGTCCTCCTCAGAAAGACCGTCGAGACCAGTGGGAACTAGAAGAAACTGTTAGCATCTTGTTTTCATGATATCTTAGCTCTCGACATACTTGGTACACCCCACTTGAGATCACGAGTGATGCCGCGAGGCTTGAGGCCTTGGTCGAGCCATGAATAGGTAATCGAGGTACAGTTGGCACTCCAGTCCTTCTTGGCCGAAGCAATCCACGTCTCAATCTCTCCCTGAAGGGCATCTAACCGAAGGTAAAGATGTTTGGTCTGACGCTTGATAGGAGTCGTGCCGTCAAGCTTGCACTTGGGGTTGATAAGCCACCCGGTAGCCTTGGTCTCCTGGTTGCCAGAAGCATCAAGATCGGGCTCCATAGGGTCGAGCAAGTTACCGCAGGCATCGCACTGGTCACCACGAGCACCCTTGTCATGGCACAGAGAGCACTCTCCCTCTACATAACGATCAGCCAGGAAGGACTCGTGCTCGGGGCAGTATGCCTGAGTGGTCTCGCGCTGCTCAATGTAGCCATTGTTCCACAAGTGCTTGAAGACAGACTGCACGATTTCAGTGTGCTCATCTGTGGGCGTGCGACCAAAGGTGTCAAAGTCGATCCGGAACCAGTCGTAGATCTCCTTGTGAATCGCGTGATACTTGGCGCAAAGAGTCGCGGGATCCACACCCTCCGAAAGCGCCTTTGTCTCTGTTGCGGTGCCGTACTCGTCGGAACCGCAAATGTAGATGGTTGGCAGACCTCTAGCCCTGCAGAAGCGAGCAAAGACGTCGGCCGACTAGATGGGTGATGGTGTTAGTGGCTGGGGGTAGAAAGTCTTCATCAACAATATATGAGCCTGACTCGCAGGGCGAGAACGGCCGTGAGAGCCAGGTTTTGAAACACCTGATGGGAGAGAAAATTCATTACCAAAACACTGCCAATGATGTTGCCGAGATGCGGAACGTTGTTCACATAGGGCAGGGCACTCGTGATGAGAATGTTCTCCTTGCCGGGAACGGGGAGCGTTGGTTTTCGTGGGGCAGCCATTTTGTCTGTGTGGTCTCGGGGTATTATCGAGGGGTCGTGTGAATCGACTTGAGTTGATAGAGGGGTTGATTTTGGGCTGCCGTCTGGGACCTGCAGGTCTCTGTCTCTGGCGTGAAGAGAGTGGGGTGAGTCACGGTCCCTATGTCCAGAACCGGGAAAACTTCGGACGGTGTTGTAGGACGAAAGGCGCTGTTGCGATTGTGCTGACTTTGACCCTCTACTCCGGGTTTGCTCTTCTTACTTATGAGGCTTCAGCTTCGGAGCTGGTTGCTCCCGTGGTCTGGATGACTCTTGCTCTCACTGTGGCGCTGCGGGGTCGAGAGGCGACGAGCTGAGACACAAGTGAAGGAGGGGCAACAGATATCTGGGGTTAGGGTTCCGTATGCCATGATCCTTGCTCAGGGGCCATTCAGGGGTTGTCACCACCACGTCTACGAACAGACACCTTGGCAGACTGTTTCTATATGATACAGCACCACACATATTCTAATGTGTACAGACCAGCGGATTCCAACCATCACCCCATCTCAAACCTCCCATTATGGCCACCAGCATCACCAGTCCCGTACCTACACTTCCCGCGCCATATATATACGCATGTCTCCTCCCTAGTAATGCCAGCTCCGCAACCCATGTCGAGACAGTCGTCAAGCACCCACAGAATCCGTCCTGTATTCCTTGCAGCACCTGACACCCGATGACTCCCCCTACCGGCAGATGAGCCAGGTCCCATGACATTCCCAGTACAGCCGTCCCAAATATGTTAACAGCAAACGTCCCCAAGGGGAAACTAGGCGCACGACTGTTGAGCCGCAGCGAGATATAGAACCGGAGGAGGCAACCCAATGGCGCGAATACCAGCGCAAAGGTGGCTGTGCCTCGCCAACTGTCATGCGGCGGGAAAATAGACATTATGATCGCTCCTAGCCAGCAACCCCAGCCGAGCAGAACAATTAAACGGTCCAGAATTTTACTAGTAAAGAGAAAAGGCAGCGATGGCGTATATGGCTCGAGAAAAATAGCCATGTGTGCTCCAAAGAAGAGGCCCGCCAGAGACATGGAAATGGTGATCAGAGGGATGGCGATAAATGCGAGAAAAGTATGGCCTCCGCTCCTGCTGGGGGCATTGGTCGCAGGTAAATCGTTTGAGAGCGCAAGAAATACGTCTCTCATAAAGGCAGAGAAAGACGTAAAGGATCCACAGAAACCCGTGGCGAGACCAATGTACAGCGGAATAGTCTTCTTGATGGCAAGGTGCGCTTTTCTCGCGCCCTCCGAGTCAACTGACACACTGCCACGTTCGGTATCGGCTCCGTTTGATGAGGAACTGCCCCATTCTTGCCGGAATAGCATCCTATCTTCGGCCAGGAAACCCATAACCACGCTGCCAGCAAAGTTGGGCCAGACAGAGGTGAAGATGATGGGTGTTCCGGAATAGATGGTGATCGCCTGGAGCCCAAGCCTGGCCAGTGTCCCAAAGATGGAGAAAAATATCAAGTGGGAAAGGGTGTAGATTTGAGTTTCTGTTTTGGACACAGGGTAGCTTGCTGCTTCGGCTTTTTCTCCTGCTTGTACTGCTGCCCTTGTTGCAGGATCCTCATCCTGGCGTCGGCGGTCGCGAGCATAGCTTTGTTCTCTGGCTCTTTCTTGCTCGAGTGTCTCGTATCGATGAACTAATTCCTCGTCCGGGTTCTGAACAGGTGGGATGTTGGCTGTCTCTCCCAAATTTTCATATGTATCCGGGACGTCATACTCGGCGCGGGATGCTGCTGAGGCGCGTCGAGCAACCCTAGCTTCTTGTGAATAAGAGGACTTGGTGTGAGGTGTCTGTAGTGGGCGTGAAGACCCAGGGAGTTGTTGAAAGCGGCCCTCAATGCCTGCATCTTCGACAGGAGTTAAGTCATGATTGTAGGCGACCCTATCTGCTGGTTGCGATGTCATTGTGTGACGTGACCTTGTACTGGTCCACCGGGATCTAACTCCCCGCGACCACAAGTCTCTCTCTGAGTCAAGTGTTTCGAACCATGGCGTGTCACCTTTGGTGCGGAACGTGGTTCAGTCGATTTTTTTTTTTTTTGCAATGAATTTCAAGATGAGAAGGTGCAATCAGATGCCAGGAAAACTCCGGATTCGGAAACGGCCGCCTTCCAAGAAGTACCCCCGCTAGTGCTATCGGCAGCTGTTATCATATCGGCATCCTTGGATGCGGGAGCTGCCTGAGCTGCCCCGCCATTCCTTCCCTGGACTCCCGCCGGCGCCCGGTTCTCACACCGATCATCTGTCACGAGGCAGGTACAGAGCCCGTTCAAGGTCTAGCTTCCAAGCCGACAACTGTCCGTGACAGAGACACCGCTATCGCAGCTCGGAGCCAAAGTCGTCACAGGCCAGTACCCGATTCGCTGGGCCTTTCCATGTTGCCCAACAGCTTGCCATCTCTTGTCTCGGAGGCGCGGACGGGGTAGTAAGCCATGTTGGCATACCTCACCAGGCATACAGAAAACAGCGAATCAAGCTCGGGCACGACCCTCTCGCTTTACGTAGCATGAAAAAGGAACCCTTGGTATCCAATTCCCGGCCCGGCGTGTGTGGGAAGACGGACCGCCGTTTGCATCAGACCTAAGATATACCAGGTAGTTAAACCAGACACCTGCCCGTTCCAGTCCCGGATCCGCGGTCAGCTATCTTCTCCTCATTCTTCCAAACAAAAAGATCTTCTGTTTTCTAATCCCATAATCTCGAGTCCGTCTTCTGTGTTGTCGTGTACTCTGCTTGTCCAACCCAACCACACCACCACCACCATCACCATCATCACGATGTCCTCCCTCCCCCCCAACGTCCACATTTCCACCCACCCCTGCCTCCAAGCCAAACTCTCCCAACTCCGCTCCACCTCCACCACCGCCCGCGACGTCAAAACCCTCATCAACGAAATAACCCTAATCCTCGGCACCGAAGCCCTCGCCAGCGCCCTCACCAGCTCCCCAGGCCCAACAGTACGCCCTCCCCTCCCGTTTCCCCTTTCCCCATACCCTAACTAACCATCACCCGACCACCAGGACACAACCCCCCTAGGCTTCACCTACCCAACAACCCACCTCTCCCCCTCAACCATCTCCCTCGTCCCAATCCTCCGCTCCGGCCTGTCCATGGTCGACCCCCTCTCTTCCCTCTTACCCCATCCCCCACCAATCCACCACCTCGGCCTCTTCCGTGAACCCTCCACCCTCCTACCGGTAGAATACTACAACAACCTCCCCAACCACCTCTCCTCCTCCTCCTCCTCCGAAAAAACCCCCGACCTCACCATCGTCCTCGACCCCGTCATCGCCACCGGCGGGACTTCCGCAGCCGCGATCCAGACCCTAAAGGAATGGGGTACAAAGCGTATTCTCGTCCTATCCATCCTAGGAGCCAAGCCAGGCGTCGAACTAGCGGCGAACGAATGGCCAGAGGGGACAGAGATCTGGCTTGCCGGGTTGGATGCCGAGCTCACCGAACGTGGCATGCTCAAACCAGGCATGGGAGACGTGGGGGATAGGTTGTTCTTGACCATCGGGAAGTAGTAGTATGAGCCTTATGCTTTGGGACAGCTTTGAACATCGTGGTTGGATAATTACTGGAGAGAGAAAGATCAAAGAGAGAAAAGAGGTGGATAGAAGGAAGGCATGCTGCAAAACTAAACACAAATGAATGAAATGGATAATGATCAAATGTTGTTTATTTCCCCACCCTCTCTCTCCCATGCAAATGTCTGTGTTGATGCTCTACATACATTAAATGTGAAAAAGCCCCCAAGTCCCCATGCAAAGGAAAATGTTCGGTTCGCTTCCCGCTTTGTTGAACCCTGAAAATGCCAGAACCTCTAACGCCCTGCTTCCATGGCTCGAGAGCATGAAAAGACACATTAACGCCTCCCAAAATGCTGAATAAAAAGACTTCCAAAGTTGCTTCAAACGCTCTCGAGATAAGCCAGCCACGCCGCCCCTGATGTTGGATAAACCACCCCCCCCCCACCACCCCCCCCCCAATATTTCAAATCTCCCCCTCATCAGTATCCCGCCTCGGGACCACTATTCGTCTGGTT